AGACGTTTCGGGCGTGCGCGTTGGGAGCAGGCAGGCGCGCGAAAGTGGAGACGTTCCGGGGGGGGAGACATTTCGGGCGCGCGCGTTCGGTGCGGGCGCGCGCGTTCGGAGCGGGCGCGCGCGAAAGAAGAGACGTTTAGGGGGGGAGACGTTTCGAGCGCGCGCGTTGGGAGCTGGCGCGCGCGAAAGTAGAGACGTTTCGGAGGGGGGAGACGTTTCGGGCCGGCGCGTTCAGAGCGGTCGTGCGCGGAAGGGGAGAAGTTTCGGGGGGAGACGTTTCGAGCGCGCGCGTTGGGAGCGGGCGTGCGCGAAAGGGGAGACGTTTCAAGGGGGGAGACGTTTCAGGCACGCGCGTTCAGAGCGGGCGCGTGCGAAAGGGGAGACGTTTCGAAGGGGAGACGTTTCAGGCGCGCACGTTCGGAGCGGGCGCGTGCGAAAGGGGAGACGTTTCGAAGGGGAGACGTTTCGGGCGCGCGCGTTCGAAGCGGGTGCGCGCGAAAGGGGAGACGTTTGGGGGGGAGACGTTTCGGGCGCGCGCGTTTAGAGCGGGCGCGCGAGATAGGGGAGATGTTTCGGACGCGCGCGTTGGCAGAGGGCGCGCGCGAATGGGGAGACGTTTCGGGCACGCGCGTTCGGAGCGGGCGCGCGCGAAAGGGGAGACGTTTCGAAGGGGAGACGTTTCGCGAGCGCGCGTTCGGAGCGGGCACGCCCGAAAGGGGAGATGTTTTGAAGGGGAGACGTTTCGGACGCATACGTTGGGAGCGGGCGAAAACGAAAGGGGAGACGTTTCGGGGGGTAGACGTTTCGGGCGCGCGCGTTGGGAACGGGCCCACACGAAAGGGGAGACGTTTCGGGCGCGCGCGTTCAGAGCGGGCGCGCGCGAAAGGGGAGACGTTTCGGGGGGGAGACGTTTCGGGCGCGCGCGTTGGGAGCAGGCGCGCGCGAAAAGGGAGACGTTTAGAAGGGAAAACGTTTCGGGCGCGCGCATTCAGGGCGGGCGCGCGCGAAAGGGGAGATGTTTCGGGGGGGGGGGGAGACGTTTCGGGCGCGCGCGTTGGGAGCGGGCCCACACGAAAGGGGAGACGTTTCGGGCGCGCGCGTTCAGAGCGGGCGCGCGCGAAAGGGGAGACGTTTCAAGGGGGAGACGTTTCGGGCGCGCGCGAAAAGGGAGACGTTTGGAAGGGAATACGTTTCGGGCGCGCGCATTCAGGGCGGGCGCGCGTGAAAGGGGAGATGTTTCGGGGGGGGAGACGTTTCGGCGCGCGCGTTGGGAGCGGGCGCGCGCGTTCAGAGCGGGCGCGCGCGAAAGGGGAGACGTTTCAGAGGGGAGACGTTTCGAGCGCGCGCGTTGGGAGCGGGCACGCGCGAAAGGGGAGACGTTTCGAAGGGGAGACGTTTCGGGCACGCGCGTTTAGAGCGGGCGCGCGCGAAAAGGGAGACGTTTCAAAGGGGAGACGTTTCGGGCGCGCGCGTTCAGAGCGGGCGCGCACGAAAGGGGAGACGTTTCAAAGGGGAGACGTTTCGGGCGCGCGCGTTCAGAGCGGGCGCGCACGAAAGGGGAGACGTTTCGGGCGCGCGCGTTCGGACCGGGCGCGCGCGATAGGGGAGACGTTTCGGGGGGGAGACGTTTCGGGCGCGCGCGTTGGGAGAGGGCGCGCGCGAATGGGGAGACGTTTCGGGCGCGCGCGTTAGGAGCGGGCGCGCGCGAAAGGGGAGACGATTCGGGGGGGAGACGTTTCGGGCACGTACGTTGGGAGCGGGCGCGCGCGAAAGGGGAGATGTTTCGGGGGGGAGACTTTCGGACGCGCGCGTTGGGAGCGGGCGCGCGCAAAAGGGGAGACGTTTCGGGGGAGAGACGTTTCGGGCGCGCTCGTTGGGAGCGGGGGCGCGTGAAATGGGAGACGTTTTGAAGGGGAGACGTTTCGGGCGCGCGCGAAAGGGGAGACGTTTCGGGGGGGGTAGACGTTTCGGGCGCGCGCGTTGGAAGCGGGCGCACGCGAAAGGGGAGACGTTTCAGGGGGGAGACGTTTCGGGCGCGCGCGTTGGGAGCGGGCGCGCGCGAAAGGGGAGACGTTTCGGGGGAGAGACGTTTCGGGCGCGCGCGTTGGGAGCGAGGGCGCGTGAAATGGGAGACGTTTTGAAGGGGAGACGTTTCGGGCGCGCGCGAAAGGGGAGACGTTTCGGGGGGGTAGACGTTTCGGGCGCGCGCGTTGGAAGCGGGCGCACGCGAAAGGGGAGACGTTTCGGGGGGGAGACGTTTCGGGCGCGCGCGTTGGGAGCGGGCGCGCGCGAAAGGGGAACCCCACCCCGCCACCACCCCCACCACCCTTGCCTCCCTTGCCCTTGCCGCTGCGGCGCTTCCCAGTAGAAGCAGAAGCAGCACCGACCTCCTCAGCACCAAGGAAGTCGACAGCAGCGGCAGAGGCAACAGAGGGGGCAAGGGGGGAGGGGGAGCACCCCTCAAAGAAGGGCGTGCGAGGGGTGCGACGGGTAGCACCGACAGCGATTATGCTAGCCTCAGCTGTAAGAAGGTGCTTCCCTAGCAGGTTTATAATGAGGTCTGTGGGGGGGAGAGCGAGAAGGGTGTCCCGGACTGCACTAAGAGCATCAGGGAGGCGGGTCAGTATGAAGTGGAGAGTGATATAGATCGGGGGCTCGTTCTTGGGGAGGAACTCGGCAGGGAGGGCAGCAAGGTAACGAGCGTCCGTAGCGCGAAGGTGGGAGAGGAGATCATCTACAGTGGCGAAGGAGGACAGGTCAGGGAAAAGGTAGGGCAGGAAGAGGCGGGTAAGCGCTGTAGTGGCAGGGGAAGAGTGGCAGGCAACTACAGCGTCGTACAACGTTTTAGCAGTTTTCGCCTGGTCAAAATGCTCGCATTCAGCTACCGGCAGGTGGTTGCGAATGGCTAGGCGAGCAGCAGCATCGCGGGTAAGCCACTGCGAGCGAGTCGTCGCGTCAGCTGAGGCTGGTGGGGCAGTGGAGGCACCAGTCGCTACCGTCATCGCCCGGATATAAGACATATATGTCTTATCTCGTACACGGGCAAAAATGCTTGAGTTATCTTGTAAACGGGATGGTTTAGGGTGTCTTATAAGTCTTATAAATGGACAAAGAACCGTTTAGAAGATACCCCCTCGCTATACATTTGCCCCTAACTCCTACACTTTCTTAACTCGTACACACAAATAGGTGTCTTATAATGAGGCTAGCCTGTTTATAAGAGACACCCGTATAATAGACAACCCCTGTCTGTCAGAGGTCCACTGGTGATCCCCGATTGATCCTAGGGAAGGGTTACAGGCACGGCGGCCTGGGGGGTTATGGGCGCACTCACCCGCTACACAAACAAGCCCTTTTATCCCAGTGGTTAGTGGCTGGGATTCTGACATGGTATCAGAGCGAAGGTCTCGGGTTCGAATCCCGGTGTGTGCACCTCGGGCATCCCAGTGCGGGGGGGTGTCAGAGGTCCACTGGTGATCCCCGATTGATCCTAGGGAAGGGTTACAGGCACGGCGGCCTGGGGGGTTATGGGCGCACTCACCCGCTACACAAAAAAGCCCTTTTATCCCAGTGGTTAGTGGCTGGGATTCTGACAACCCCTGTCTACTATTCAACACTGTCTTATATCCGGGCGATGACGGGCTCTAGGTCATAGAGCGAAACACCGTCCCTAGCGTCACTCAGCAAGTACAGCTGCAGGTCCTGGAGCCAGGTTGCGAATTTGACTGGGCGGCCCTCAGGATCGAACGAGAGAATACGTAGAGTGGCCATAGTTTAGCAGCTCAGAGGCAGCACAAGGGCAGGGCGTAGGCTGCAAGGGCATTGCGCATGAGGCAGGGCAGAGGCAACGTGAGGGCTGCATGGGCTGGGCGCGGGCTGCAAGGGCGGCGCACGAGGTGGGGCAGGGGCAGCGCGAGGGCTCCTGAAGCGGCGCGCGGGGCTGCCGGGGCTTAGCGCGGGGCAGGAGAAGCGGCGCGCGGGGCTGCCGGGGCTTAGCGCGGGGCAGGAGAAGCGGGGCGCGGCCTGCTGGGGCGGCGCGCGGGGCTGCTAGGGGCCGCGAGGGGCAGGAAAAGCAGCGCGCGGGCTGCTGGGGCGGCGCGCGGGGCTGCTAAGGGGCCGCGAGGGGCAGGTGAGGCAGCGCGCGGGCTGCTGGGGCGGTGCGCGGGGCTGCTAAGGGGGGGCCGCGAGGGGCAGGTGAGGCCGCGCGCGGGCTGCTGGGGCGGCGCGCGGGTCTGCTTAGGGGTCGCGAGGGGCAGTTGAGGCCGCGCGCGGGCGGCTGGGGCGGCGCGTGGGTTTGCAAGGGGCTGCGCGCGGGCGGCTAAGGCGACGCGCGGGGCAGCGGGGGGCAGCGCGCGGGCGGCTAAGGCGACACGCGGGGCAGTGGGGGGCAGCGCGCGGGCTGCCAGTAGGCGACGCATGGGCTGCAGGGGCGGCGCGTGCGGGCGGTACAGGGCAGGGTAGGTCGTGGGGTAGCGTGGTAACCGGTGGGCCCTAAAAAAATCAGTCCTACAGATCTACTGCTCTGATAGCATGTTGAAATCTATGCAAGAATGAATTGACTAGGAAGCATTGGGATACAAATATGAAACCCTAGGAGGGTTGTAACCCCTAGTGGCTATCCAACTATAGCTTACACAATATGCACAACATATATTTTGGCAGTGCCATGATGCCTGGTGCATTGGTTGGATATTAGCCTGGCTTCGTCACTTCAAAGAGTGCAGAAAAGGCTGCTTTGCTTGCCCTAACAACGCTCTCATCCTCCTCCCACAGCCTGCTAGTCCTTCAGTAATTGGTGCTAGTCATTCACACGTACTGCGATCCTACCATTGCTGTTTTGGTCTCAATGAACAACGAGTACCATTAAAAATGTGTAATACATTATAACATGTAGCAACTGCTAGCTTTTATACTGTAGGCTGCACCAACTTGAAATCTGACTGCAGGTCCAGTGAGTGTCACGACTTGTCTGCGTGTGCGCGTGAGAGGGTCACCGTGGCAGGTCCTCTGTGACGGGCACCGTCTGACCCCTCTCTGACTTGGCATTCTCAGCAAACTGCAGCCACGCACACGCAGGGGTGTGAGGAGGGAAGATGGGCAAGCACACAGAGTTGAGGAAGAGTGAGGGGAGGAACAGAAAGCATGTGCGGGCAACAAACAGTGCAGAAGCACAACTCTAGCCTGCATGCTTTCTGCACGAGCGCAGCAGCGGATGACAGAGAGCGGCAACTGACCTTGAGTCCGCTGGAGTGCATGTCCTTGGCCTGCTCCTTCTCCGAATACTCCCCCGCGTAATACGCCTCCTCCGTGGCCGACGGACGCTTCGAGGGCGGAGTGAGCATGGAGCCCCACTGGGGGAAGTACACGGCCACCACAGGCAGCGTGCACGCGATGATCATCACGCCCATGTACGCCAGCCCCTGCTCCGTCGTATACGCGCCCTTGAAGAAGATGGCCTGCGTGATGGCCGAACCCACATTGCCGCCCGCCCCCGTGAACCCTGACACGATGCCCAGCGCGCGGTGCGACACGAACGGGATGATGCCGAAGGTGGCGCCGCAGGCGGCCTGGCAGAAGTAGGAGAAGATGAGCATCACCAGCGTCGACGACCACAGGTCGTTCATGTACCCCAGCACCAGACAGAACACGCCGCCCAGCGTCTGCAGCAGCCACAGGTTCCAGAGCCGCCCGCGCATGCCGAACCAGCGGGCAGCGACATCGGAGAGGATGCCGCCGCTGGGGCGAGAGAAGATGTTCATGAGGCCGAAGGAGGCGGCGATGAGCCCGGCCGTGTTGAGGTTGAGGTTGAAGCGGTCGTAATAATACTCGGCGATCACGTTGTCGACAGTCAGCTCCACGCCGAAGCAGTAGCCATACGTTATGACAAACACCCAGGTGCGGTAGTTGAGGCACGCCGTCTTGAGCACCTTGAGCGGCTGGTCCATCTTCCTCACGCCCTTGCTCGCCAGGTCCAGGTACTGCCCGTCGGGGCAGTCCTGCCCCAGCAGCAGCACCAGCAGCCCCATGATGGTCTGCGCCGTGGCGGGCACGAAGAAGGACAGGCGCCACGCGGTGAAGGCGGGCACCTTGATGACGTCCGTGATAAGCGAGTAGATGAGCGGCATCACCAGCTGGATGGCTCCCCCGCCCAGGTTGCCCCACCCCGCCGCCGTGCCGTTGGCCAGCCCCACGATGCGCGAGTTGAACATGGACGACATCCAGTACTGCGCGGGCACAGGGGTGGGCAGGGGGAAGGGGAAGGGGGGAGTACGGGGCAGGTGAGAGAGGGTGGTGAGGAGAAAAGCATGGGAGGAAGAGGCGTGGTTTCCTGCGCAGCTGGAATGACAAGTGGGCTGTACCTGGCATGACACGAATGTTGCAAGGACGAAGCCGATGAAGAAGCGGCAGATGATGAACCCCGCAGCGTTGGTGACGGACGCCATGGCCGCCACACATGGCACCGTCACGATCAGCAGAAACGACGTGCCATACCGCGGCCCCACCAGGTCGCACACCGTGCCTGCGCAGGGGAGAGGGCGGGAGGAGGGGGGGAGGGGGAGAAGAGATGAAGCGAGAGAGGGAGAGAGCGTGAGCGAGGGAGCGAGAGAGGGCAAGAGAGGGAAAGCACGCGACAGAGAGCGCAAGAGAGCGAAAGAGGGGGAGGGGAGAGAGGGATGAGCGAATGACGTACCCATGACAAGACGGCTGACGACGGCGCCGACGACAGCGGCGATACCGGCGTTGGCGATCTCGGCCTTCGTGAGGTCGAGGTTATCCCGAATCACCGGCAGCAGCGGCGGCGCTGGCGGAGGAAAAGGGAGGAGAGATGGGAGGGCAGGGCGAGAAGAGATTAGCATCACGCGGAGTGAGAGGAAGCAAGGAAAGGATGCAGGGTTAGGGCAATGGTGTTGAGGGTGTGAGGGAGTGGCGGGGTTACCGGCGAAGGCGGAGCAGAAGGAGAGGAAGAAGGCGATCCACGACAGGTGGAATGCGCGCATGTGCGGCCGCGCCGCGCTGCTCGGGGGGACGCACGCGGACAAAGGCAGAACGAGAGGGCGTGGTGAGTGAAGGGGGAAAGCGCACGGCGGAGTTTCCGAAACGATTGCACCAAGGATAAAGTGGACAAGGGGCAAGGGCAGGAGGGCTCTCAGATTTCTCAAAAGCGAGGGGTCGGCGGGTTAGCAGAACAGATCAGGGTACGGCCCGCCCGGGTGCGCGCAGTAGAGCGCAGAGGCGGCAGGAGAGTGGACTGCGGCGCTAGAGAGTCGGCTCGCAGCGGAGCGGAGAGTGGAAACGCGAAGGACACAGCACCATCATCATCACGACGTGGACTCGACCAGTGGGAGCGCGATGCGCGGCGCACCTGAAGAGTTTGAACTTCTTGGCCTTGTGCTCCGAGTCGACGGGCAGCGGGAAGAGCGAGTCGCCCTCGTCCAGCCCCACGTCGCGCGAGAAGATGGGCTCGCGGCCCGTCACGCCGCGCATCGACTCGCCGGGCGCACCCACTGCATCGTGCCCCACCGCCGCTGTCGACACGTCAGCCATGGCTGCGTCGCTGGCCGCCCGGCGTCTCTTGCGCAGCAAAGTACCCTGCTTCTGCTACCTCGCGCGCAGTGGCTGCGTTCGCGTCGCAGCGATTGCGGTGAGTGTTCGAGTTTACGTTGACAGTCGGATTGGCGTCTGACGCTGCTGTGATCGACTGAATCGTGTGCTCACCTCGCTGGGAACAGCCAACCCAGTCGCGCTGCTAGTAGGACGACGCGGGAAGAATGCTGTTTGTTGCTGGAAAGGAACGAGTGAAAACTCGACACAGTGGAATGCAGGCAGACACTTAGATAATGCCTTTTTCCGATCCCGCATTTATCGTGATTGAGGGATCGGAGAGACTCGCACGTGAGGCAGTGCCAGTTCTCGGCAATCACTGTCGCTCGTCGCAATGCCTCCTCCACTCGACTCGACCCTCTCCCTGCCGCCTTCGCCGCATCACGTGCTCTGTCCCCGTCACTGCTGATGTCACACGTGGCGCTGATTATCCAATCAGCACCCAGCGGACGATGCTGTCGGTGCAGCATGTGGTGGATGGGAAAAGGCCTGGCTGTCGGGGAGGGCAGGGGACGAGGAGGTGACGGGTGAGGAGGCAAGGGTGAGTAGGCGTCGGGCGAGCGGGCAGATGAGGGGTGTCGCTCGTTCGACGGGGATTCGCTAGGTTTGGAGGGCAGATGCACGGAGAGTGAGGATCGCAGGCAAGGGGAAGGAAAACCAGGGGAGGCGGTTGGGGATTTGGGGGCGCCGATGTGATCCAATGGCGCGGAAGGGCGCTACCTCCTGGCGGCTCGCGGGTCCGTGGACACGACTGCTGCTGGGATGCCGGGGGGCATTTGAGCACCTGCAGCTGACTGGGAACACTTCTCGGGGGCGGGATTGGCTTTTGGTGAATCACGAAGTCAGGAGCCACGGAGCACTGCAGCCAATCGATTAGCAGGGTTACCACGGTCGAGAGACAGTATTGGCTTGGGCCGGCTGCCCTTTCAGGCAAGTAACGAGCGCGCGAAAGTCCTTCGCCAGCTGTGAGCTCGTGTGGGGACCAGTGAGAGAGCCCTGCCATGTGGCTATCTCGTCCGTGATTGGGTCTAAACATTTCAAAAATCGGCGAACCAAATTCACAAGAGCCAGACTCGCACAGCACATAGCCCATCAATACACTTCGCAATAGTTGAACAAGAATGAATCCTTTTCTATCTTTGATCTCAGAACTTCAGTAGCCCTCAGTTTTCCCAGGAACATTTCAACCCTACAGACTTCATTTCTCCACCCCATTTGCTGGTGGGAAAAATCAGGATTTGTACCCAACACTTGATCTGCAAATCCATCATCCATAAAAAGAAATATCGTGCACATTCCATCATCGATCAGGTTCACAAAGGCTCCTTGCCACAAAGGGGGGAGCAGCGAGTGTATAATCAGCAGTGCTTCAAGGGGCTGCTGCGTGAGAGAACTTCACTCGACGTGGAAGAGATCCACAGGCGCAAGGATGCATAAATGACAAGGAACTAACTCAAGCAACTCGACTCGAGCCACATTTGTGAACCTCAAAAGTGACCCCAATGTACGGTAGGTATTCATGAAGTCTAGTGCTTCAAGGTGAGAGCGGTGACACTAGAGTGGGGAGGGCGGTCGGTGGGGCTGAGTGCGCAGGGAGGCATAGCGCGGAGAGAGTCGGGGGCGCGGGCAGAGGGGGAATGTTGAGGGCGAGGAGGGCAGGCGGGGGGAGGAGCTGAACGCAGAGGAGAGGAGTAGAGGTGCGTGTGCAATGAGGGGAGAGGGGGGGCATGCCACGCATGAGGGGGGGATGCAGTGAGGGGGGGTGATGATGCAGTGAGGGGGGGTGATGATGCAGTGAGAAGGGGCCGTGGGCTGAGGGAAGGGGGTGAGGGACGGCGGCCATGGGCTGGCGGTGGAGAGAGGGGGGGTGAGGGGGATGGCAAGTGCAGGTGCTGATGATGGTGTGACGTAAGCATGACCTCATGGTCTGCACTGCTGTCAACAAACAGTTGCTCCTTGCCCTCTTCTCCCCCCTCCTCCTCATCCCCCCCTTCCTCCTCATCCTCCTCATCCTCCTGCTCCTCTTGCTCCTCCCCCTCCCCCTCCCCGTCCTCCTCCTCATCATCATAATACTCTTCACATTCTTCCTCCTCCTCCTCCTCCTCTTCCTCCTCCTCTTGCTCCTCATCTCCCTCGCCCACCTCCCATTCCTCCTGCACCTCTCCTCCATCCGACCCATCCACGTGCCACTCCCTCTCCACGTCATCCCCTTCAATCTCCTCCTCCCCCTCCTCCGCCTGCTCCTCATGTTGCTCCTCCCCCCCTCCCACACTCCACGCGCCCACACTCGTTCCACCCTCTACCCACTGCCACGCACCACTGCGTCCGACCGCACTCAGCCACCGCGCAATTGTGCGTGCATCCCCCTCCCGCCCACTCTCCACACCCCCCACCACGCCCTGCCCTCCGCTCATCTGCTCATTTGGCATTGCCTGCCACCCCCCATCCTCCTGTCCCTGCTCCTCTCCCCCCTGGCCCCCCTGCGCCCTTACCCCGCTCCGTCCGTCCGCCCACCTGTGACCAGCGCCCTCCGCCCCTGCCTGTCGCCACCACGCACTGCCCTCCTCGCTGCTGTGCTGCTGCGCGTCCCACGGCCTTCCCCACTCACTCACGCCGCTCTCCATGCCTCCTCTGCTGCCCCCTCGCCTCTCCGCCCCCCCTGTAATGTCCGCCCATGCATGCATCTGCCCCGCGCCACCCCACAGCGCGCGTCCCGCTTGACTCACTCGCTGCACCTCCCGCCCCTGCGCCTGCTGCTGCACCCGCTGCGCCAGGCCACCAGTAGAGGCCGTTGCTCTCGCAGGAGTCCCCTCTGGTGCAGCGAGAGCAGGGGAGGCGGGGCGCGCGGGGGAGGCGTGGCGGTGGTGGCGCAGGGCGGAGGGGGGCACCAGACGGCCGCCCCTGGACCAGCCCTGCCCGCCCCACCACTGCACGTCAATCCCCTGCTCCCTCTCTGTCTCGCTCTCCCGCTCGCTCCCCCTCACACTCTCCCTCTCGCTCTCCCTCTCACTCTCCCGCACACTGTCCCTCTCACTCTCTCTCTCACTCTCCCTCTCACTTCCCCTCTCCCCTTCCCTCCCCCAATTCCGAATCACCTCTCGCCGCATCTCCCTTTCCCACTCCCTCTCCTCCCGCACGCCCCTCTCGCGCCCTCCCCGCGGCCCCCACCCGCCCGCAGCTCCAAACGCGCCCCTCCCCCACCCGCCACCGGCGCCAACCCCATCCGCATTCTCCCTCATCCCCCATCCCCACCGCGTGCGCCCTTCCCACTCCCCCCCCCTCCCCGCGCGCCCCGCCTCCCGCGGAAGCGAGCCCCGCGCGCTGCTGGAGGCGCTCAGGCTGCTCAGGCTGTTCCTGTTGCGCGCGCGGGCAGCCACTGCCTGCCCCAACACTCCCCGCACTCCCACTCCCCCGCCCTCCCTCGCCCTCTCCCACGCCCGCTCCCTCCACTCCTCTCGCTCCCGCTCTCTCTCTCTCTCCCTCTCTCGCTCCCGCTCCGACCACTCCCACCGGAACCCCACGCTCTCCCTTTCGCTGTCCCCGCCCTCCCACCCGCTGCCGCCCCCCTCCTCTCCGCTCACTCCGCCGCTCCACCCTCCGCGGCCCCTCTCCCCGCTCTCCGTGCTGTCCCACCCATCGCCGCCCCCGTCCCTGCTCTCCCCGCCGCCCCACTCGCCCTCGCCGCGCTCCCCGCCCTCCCACTGCATCTCATGCCACTCAACGTCGCCGCGCTCCCCCTCGCCTCCCCCTGCTGCGCCGCCGCCACCAGCATCCGCTCCCCCGCCCGCGCTGGTCCCCCCTGCTCCTTCCGCCCCCCGCCCCTGCCCCTGCTGCGGCGCGTCCTGCGCGTCGGCGGTGGGCAGTTCGAAGCGGCAGACGGGGCACGTGTTGTGCCGCTGCAGCCACGGCAGGATGCAATCGGAGTGGTACACGTGGCGGCACGGCATTTGCCGCGTGACGGCGCCCGCCTCGTAGTCGTCCTTGCAGATGGCGCACGGGTCCATCAGCCCGCCGCCCTCCCCGTGCTCGCCCTCGTCCGCCGCCTCCCGCTGCGCCACGTCAGCAGCGGTCACCACGCGCACCAGCATCGCCTCAACGGCCGCCGGGCAGGCGGGCGGGTTGCGCGTGCTGCGGAGGAAGGGGGGGGGGGGGGGGGGGGGGGGGGGGGGGGGGAGGGGGAAAGGGAGGTGCGCGCACAGAGAGTGTCGCAGTAAGGCACAGGAGTCCCGGAAACGCTAAGGGTGACCTAATCACCGCACGGCACGACTGGCGCGCTCACCCCCTTTCCCGTGCCTCGCCCGCACCTGACGGCGTCGTCGGCGGAAATCCTCTCGACAAGCGCGTCAAAGTCGTCCCCGAAGAAGTAATCCCCCACCGCGCCCGCTATGCCGCCCGCTGCGCCGCCCTCAACGGCGCCGCCCAGCAGCTGGCCGCCGACGATGGCATTGAGCGACTCAAGGCGCGCCAGCAGGCGCCGCAACTGGCAGGAGGGGCGAGAGAGGCGAGCAGGACGAAGAGGTAGGGGGTTGAGCAGGACGAAGAGGTAGGGGGTTGACAAACGGCGGCGCGAGGAGCGCGACACAATGAGGAACATACCGCGAGGCAAGCGGCATGGCAACCCTTCCTGATTCCCTCGCGCACGCACCTCCCGCGTATCCACCCTCCACGTCTCAAATGCGTGTCCCGCCCCCCCCACCACCCCCCTGTCATGGTACCGTGTGTTCGCGGCTCATGCGTCGCTCCATGAACTCCAGGATCGGCGACGCCTCTGCCTCGCTCCGCACGCCCAGCAACGACGCCGCCACCCCGCCCCCCGCGTCCTCGGCCCCTCCGAATCGCCGGGCCCGCGCGCCCCCCACCCGCGCCGACGCCGCTCCCCCTGCCCTTCCCGTCAGTCCCCCTCTGCCGTACGCAGCACCGAACGTTGGTTCCCTACTGGCCACGTCAACAAGTCGCTCGTGGTCAACACGGTCCTCCATGTCTCGCAGCATCCTCGCCAGCCCCAGATACGCGCCCTCCAGCCTCCGCGCTGCGCCGTGCCGCTCGCCGCCCTCCTCCGCTTCGCCGCTCGCTCCAGCCGCAGCGGAAGCGGCAGCAGCGGAAGGACCACCACTGGCGGCGCCGCCGCCGCCACCGCTGCCACTACGGCTAACGCCAGCGGCGGCAGCCGCAGCGCGGGCGTCATCGTCGGCGGGTCGCACGCCCCACCCGCTGGACTCCCGAAACGCTGCTTCGCCAGCAGACGGGCCTGGGGACCTGACGTCAGCACCCACGCCGACGTGCCGCCGGCGGACGAATCCGCGGAAAGGCCGCTCGGGGCGGAGCGACGCGCCGGCGGCGACCCCGGCGGTCTCGCCTGCGCTAACATCCGCATCGCCCGCGCTCTCGCCGTCCCACGCGAACGGGCTCTCACGAGCCTCCCTCGCGAACCCGCTCGACGCGCCGGCATGCGCGTTGCTGGCATGCTCCTCCGTTAGGTCAAGCGCGGCAGCAGCAGCAGCGCGCGTGTGGTCGAATCCGCGGTGGCTCCATCTGTGGTGGCCGCCGTGCTCTCCGCCGTCGATGTCGCTGCCAGCTGTCAACTCCTCCACGAATCCGCCGCCGCACCACGCGCAGATGACCTCCGCCGCTTCTGCGTCGCTCGAAGGAACTGTTAACGAGCGGACCGTGGCGCACTGATGACACCAGAACGGACGAGATGGCATGGTCTATACGTGTAGCATAAATCTAAGCTGCTTCCTCGGCGTGCACGTTAGATGCTGACGCACGCAGGACGAGGGACAGCACGCTGTTAAACGAATTCCGGAAAAAAAAAAAAAAAAAAAACAGAACATATGCTGGAGCGAAGGTGGGAGGATTGCTTACGCCACACGGCACCAGAAGACAAGAGGCGATTGAAAGAAACGAATGATAGGCAATGCTTCCTCAGGCATAACATTGCCTAGGCTAACCGTCACGCGCTTCTTACTCGCAAGGAAGCCTGCTTCGAACTGCGATAGCAGGAATTGGCAGATGAACCTGTTGCCATCAGCTGGCAGGCAGCAGCGAGCTAACAACTGTGAGCGTGGCCATGTCATTGAGTTTGTGAGGCAAGGTACGTTATGGTGAGCAGTGGTCTAAGACGGTGGAAACCGGAAACCGTTCCAAACCCGAAATCAACGCAAATGAACCGCGCTAGAAGAACCATAAAAGGATAAACATAAGCAGGGGGGCTAGGAGTTGCGAAAACGAAGAGAATCGCATGGTTTGGGAGGCCATTGTTGTGCGCTATGTGCCTGAGAGCATGGGTGTTGTTGATGGAAGGTTGGTTGGAACACGAAGCTGTCATTCGCTGTGGCCAGGTCAGCCTGTCGCTGGACAGACAGGCTCGGCGCGAAGACAGTAAGTACGGGAAATGAGGTACGGGTATAGCCGTACCAGCTTTCCAGTAGGTGGTGGGGAAGGGCAAAGGCCGCTCCCCCAAAGCCCAGCGTGGTAAGGAAATTTGTGCTTCGGTACCCGAGCCAGGCACCGAAGCTCCGAGACGCGAGCAGCCAAATATGCACACAAGCCCTAGGTTCGGCAGACCTATGCGCTGTAAACAGCTCCTATGCAGTTAACAGCCCTGACTCGAGATAGCACTAAGTCTAATAAAGTTTACACGGTCAGATATCCTCTGAACAGCCTAGACAGAAATATGCTATCGATGCCATTATTTTGCATTCACAGCACTAATAAGAGACAAAAATATCTCATACAAATTATTATTAAATGCAGCATAACAGCAGCTTCAAATCGGGAGTAAACGTGTAAGAATATGGAGCAGGAAGAAAGTTAGCTAGCTGATTTCCATTACATCACCTGAAAAGGGTAAGGTAGTCGAAGATTACGCGAATCGGCGCTGACTTTATGGGGTCCCTCATGATGGTGGATGACCACCAGCGATCACGCACATGGATATGCCTGCCACCTCTCGTTTTCGCAATAAGCATTGTAATCCGACCGAACTAGAACCGTTCACCCCGTCGCACACGTCCCTCCATCCCTCTCGTCACTCCCATACCGCCTGCTTGCCCTTCCATGCCCCCCTCAGCGCCCTCGCAGCGGCAAGCCAACAAAGCTCTTCTGCTGTGCTTCTATCCGCCCTTTCTCTCCCCTCCCTAGTTTCTGGTTCCTCTACTCTAGACACCCACACGGCCCGACATGGTACGCACTACTCTCTTAGCTTCCGGTGTACATTCTCTCGGTGTTTCTCATCTTCACACTAGTTTAGCATATCACTTCAGAGGTCGTATTGCAACAATCTTCACGCGCTCCCCGTTTTTTCGCAATAGTTGCAAACCCTAGCTGCTGATGACGTCTCTGACCGGCGGGCGTACCTTCGTGCCGTCCTCTTGCCATGGTGCAGGCGATTGATCTGAAGGCCGGCGGGCGGAACAAGAAGACCCACAGGACAGCCCCCAAGAGCCGGAATCCCTACCTCCTCCTCCTCGTCAAGGTCAGTCGCGCACCGCGCACGCGTGTGTTGAACAGCAGCAGGATAGATTCTATAATCTGGGAGCCTCCTTGTTGCGGCGCATGGGACTCGCGCGTTGGAGCCAGGGGGAAAGAGCTCGTCGCGTTGGGATCGCAAAGTGCCTGTGCATGTGCCGAGAAAAGTTTAGGAGCGGTAGCGTTTGGATCGACGGAGGGAAGGCTGCGGCAAGTAGTCTTTCAGGGTTCAGGATAGGCGAGAATGGCAAAGCTTTAGGGTTCCGTCCAGCCGCCGGTATCTCGATGGGTGGTAATGCTGGAGCTTCCCCCCATTGCGCCAGTGTGACTTATGAGATGCAGTCTTGCAGCCGATCCAGATGCCTAGGCGTGGGTAATGCGCCCGTCGCGTGTTCGGCGTGGCGTTTAGAACAGTCATTAGTGGGTGGAATTTTCATAACCGTAGCGGGCCGCATGCTGTAGGAAATTCAAAATCAATCCGTTGGACTCCCTACTTCCACTTCGAAACGCGACCGACTCGCATGGTCCCTTTCTTCACTCCCGCTGCTTATCTCTAATCACGCACCTGTCACCATCCGCCATGCCGCTCTCGTTCTCAATCATGACGCATCCGCGCACGTACGCACGCACGTAGACTCGTTTGTAGTCACCCCTTACCTTATCAGCACGTTTTTCCTTTGTTCATTTCCGCGCACCCCTCCCTTCCGCCCGCTCCTGCCTCCCCACCCCCCTTTTCCCCACTGCTTTCCCCCCGCTGCCTTCCCCTCCTGCTCCCCCGCCACTCCGCTTCCCTTCGCCGCAACCCTCTTCCCCACCCCACCCCCCCCCCCCTTCCTCCCGCGCGCGCGCAGATCTACCGCTTCCTGGCGCGGCGTACGGGCAGCCCATTCAACAAGGTGGTGCTGCGCCGCCTCTTCATGAGCCGCACCAACCGCCCGCCCGTCGCGCTCTCGCGCGTCCTCGAGTACGGCGAGAACAAGGTCCGCGCCGGGGGGGAGGGGGGGGCTTAGGGATGGGGAGGGTTGGAGTGGGACGCGAGGGAGGCGGGATACCTGGTGTAAGGGGAACAGGAGCCAAATTCAGAGGGGATGATCGGGCAGCTAGTGCCACAGCACGGTCCCTCCATCGGAACCGTCGCAAGCCTCATCGCGTGCAAGCCATGGTACCTTGCAATCCCGCGTCCTCCCACCTCGCCCCGTACTGACTGCTTTCTCGCTTTTCCCCGCTCTCTCGCCCCTTCACTATTCCACCATCTATCTTTCCCGTTTCACTCTTCCATCCTCTCCCCCCCACTTCCCCAACACCCCTCCCCTCCCGTCCTCCCTGCTGCTCCGCCGATGCGCGCGCGCGGCAGGGCGCGGAGGCAGTGGTGACGGTGGTGGGCAAGGTGACGGACGACAAGCGCGTGTACGCCGTGCGCGAGGGCGTCAAGGTGTGCGCGCTCGCCTTCTCCGCCACTGCGCGCGCGCGCATCGAGAAGGCGGGCGGCGAGTGCCTCTCCTTCGACCAGCTCGCGCTGCAACGGCCCACCGGCAACAACTGCGTACGCCCCCCATCCCCCGCATCCCCCTCATCCCCCTCATCCCCCTCATCCCCCTCATCCCCCGCGCTCTCTCCCCGTCTCTCTCCTCCACCCGCCCGCCGCTCTCCCTCCCGTCGTTTGTAGTAGCGTTCCTTCATTCTCTGCGCGCCCCTCACTCAAGTTCCCTTCTCCCCCTGCTCCTCCGCGTGCCTGCAACGCTCGTCCTGCGCGCAGCTGCTGCTGCGCGGCAAGGTGACGAGCCGCGAGGCGTTCAAGCACTTCGGCCCCGCGCCCGGTGTGCCCCGCAGCAACACCAGGCAAGTGCTCCTCCTCTCCCCGCTTGCCGCCATGCCCGTCTGCCGCCTCGTCCGCTCTCTCCGCCGCTCCTGCCTCCCTTCCGCTCTCGCGTTCGCTTTCCACCCTTGCCCCCCCCTCCCCCTGGCGCGTCCTCGTGTCTCTCGTTGTGCATTGCCACCCACCCGAATCTCACTGGACCGCGCCATCATCTGCCGGCGGGGGGAATGTCTGGTGTGGCCTGCGGGGCAGAGGGGCTGTGGCGCGGGACAGGGGCGTGGTGGGTGGTGGGTTAGGCTGTGGGGCGTGGGCGCGCGACAGGAGAGGCGGCGGGGGCTAGGGGCGGGCACCAAGGGAGCAGGCAGCAGCTGCAGCGGGCGTTGAAATCAGATCGCAGGGTATCAGGGCGGAAGAGAATTAGAGCGCAGGGGAGTGGTAGCACTGGGCGAAGTGGGAGCAACGATGCAGCAGACGAGTGATCCATGCAAGGCAGGAAAGTTTTGCGCCGCCTTTTGACGAGCAGCAGCAGAAGTAGAAGCAGAAGCAGCAAGAGTAGAAGCAAAAGGAGCAGGAGCAACAGCTGAAGCAGAAGGAACAGCAGCGACAGCAGAAACAGCAGAAGCAACAATAGAAACAGCAGCAGCAGAAGCAGCAACAGCACAGCAACAGCAACGGCAAAAACACCAGCAACAGCAGAATCAGCAGCAACATCAGAAGCGGCAGCAGCACATAGGGCAGTGCAGGCCACAGGGATTTTCTTTCCGCCTCCCCCTCCACGCCTTCACCTTCCCTGTCCACCCCCTATATCCTTCTTCACCTTCACAACTTGCTTGCTTTCCTGCCCCGTCCCCCACCACCTCCCTTTTTGTCCTCTCTGCAGGCCATATGTGCGCAGCGAGGGCCGCAAGCGGGAAATGGCTCGTGGTCGCAGGAACAGCCGCGGCTTCAAGGTGTAATTGGCGATACGGTACAACTGAGCTGGTTATGGTGGAGTGCGGTACAGTTGCTCTCATTGCACTTGCTGTTGCAAGCACGGATGCAGGCACAGGTGCAGCGGGAGTGTGGCGGCATGGCCGGGTGTAGGGTGCAGGCAAGGGCGGGCAGGGAGGCGGGATTGGCAGGCAGGGAGCACCACAATGTGCTGCTATAGAATAGGTACCAACCATTTTCTTGTGTGTTTTGCCTGTGAGTGTACCTGTGCTGTAAAGCTGGGCTTCAGCTGCGCCTGTGCCAGAATTCATGTAACAGAGGGTTCACTGCCCCTGGTGGGTGCAAGCACGAAAACGATCGTGGGCTAACAAAACTAGTTATTACCCTAAGTAGCTGATAGGTTGTGATCAATTAGCTGTAATATTCAAATGTCGTACACTGCAGTCCATCTGAATACACGTCATCAAATTTTATCCTTCCAATTTCCTGCGAAATTCCGGAGGACCTGATAAGCAGAACCTCCAATCACAATTCCCTGGAGAAAATAGGCCAAGGAATTGTTGCGACTTTTTCAGCTGCAAAGCGCCATAGCTTTCCCATGGTTGCCACAACCCTCCGTGTTTCACCGCCATGCTCTGCGCTGCCAACAGCATCGCACCGCCGAGTCAACTCAGCGGCACCGAGCCTCGCTACTGGAAAACATCTCGTTGAGTTCGCCTCATTACAGCTCGGTCGACCAGCGGCAAGCCGCGCCGTGAGGCCACTGTCGAGCGCATCAGGCGCGCCGCTCGCCCGTTCTGCTCGCGCGCCGCGGGCCATGGGTGGAACTGACGAGTCGACGGCGAGCGACGCGGCGACAGTCCAGGAATGCCGGCGGCCCGCACGGACTCGTCGGTTCGCCATCCTGCTGGCCGGCCACAGCAGGTGCGTTGAGAGCTGCTGCACCCGAACCTGAGTCGAGCGAGGCTCGAGCCAACGTTGAGTCGGTATATAAGCCTTCCGTCCCACGGCACGTAGCAGGGCGGGCGGCCGCATCCAGTGCTACTTGCGCTCGAGACCTGCGCTCCACCTTTCTCGTCCTGCGCTCCACCTTTGTCGTCCTCGTATTCCTTCCCTTCCGCGTCGTTACCTCGTCGCCCGCTTTTCTCCTCTGTCCCTCCCCCTACCCTCTCCCTACCTTCCCCCTACCCTCTCCCTACCTTCCCCCTACCCTCTCCCTACCTTCCCCCTACCCTCTCCCTACCTTCCCCCTACCCTTTCCCTACCTTCCCCCTACCCTCTCCCTACCTTCCCCCTACCCTTTCCCTACCTTCCCCCTACCCTCTCCCTACCTTCCCCCGTGCGCGCGCCAGTCCATACTCGCAGCAGCGCTATGGCGACTACAGCGGCATGTTCCTCGCGCTGCTCAGGGATCACGGCGGATACGCGCAGGGCGAGAGGGCGCGAGGGGAAGAGGAAGCGAAGGAGCGGTGGGACGTGTTTTCCGTGGTGGACGGGGAATTTCCCTCTGTGGACGACCTGCACGAGGTGCGCGCGGCGTGTGGCGTGGCGTGACGTGGAGTGGTGTGGAGTGCAGTGTTGGTCTGCTGCTGCAGGTATCTGTGATTTCCCGAGGAGCTATGGATCCTACTCCATGCACCAGCCAGCACGTATCATGCATCACGGATCCTGCATCATGCATCCGCTCCGCTCACATGAGACACACATGCATGCTTCCCATCCATCATGCATCTGCTCTGCCCCCATGCGCCACGCATGTGCACATGGCACACATGGCATGGGGCACACATGGCATGCTGTGGGGCCGGCAGGTGGAGGCGGTGGTGGTGACGGGCAGCAAGCACGATGCACATGCGGACGACCCCTGGATCCTACAGCTCTGCGCGCTGCTGCAGCAATTGCACCGCCGCCGCACCAAGATCCTCGGCGTCTGCTTCGGCCACCAGGTGCCTCTCTGCTTTGGCCACCAGGTGCCTCTCTGCTTTGGCCACCACGTGCCTTGCGTGTAACAGTGCAGTAAATGTGACGTTTTCCCATCCCCATGTACCCATCCCCATGTACCCATCGCCATGTACCCATCCCCATGTGCCCATCGCCATGTACCCATCCCCATGTGCCCATCCCCATGTACCCATCCCCATGTACCCATCCCCATGTACCCATCCCCATGTACCCATCCCCATGTACCTCTCTTCAATGTGCCGGCCACATGCCTCGCCCATCCCTGTCACCACCCATCCCTGCGTTCTTCTCATTGTGTGCCACGCCCTCCCCTCATCTCCCTCATCATCTGCCCCCCCCTTCCTATGAGCGCCATGCAGGTGGTGGGGCGGGCTCTGGGGGGCCGCACGGGGCGGGCAGCAGTGGGGTGGGAGCTGGGGATCAAAGCCGTGCAATGCACTGCTGACGTGGCATCGCTGCCATATGCTGCTGGCCTGCCATCGTCGTTCAAGATTCTGGAGATCCATCAGGACCAGGTGAGTCTAGTTTCCTGTTCACTCAGGAAGGTGTGACAATTAAGAAAACTTTGACTTACTTGCTGGCCTCTGCTTTTTTTGGGCTTTTCTTTCATGCCACAACAAGTTCAAATGCATGTGTGCCGCTGCCATCGCTTGCAGGTGTTGGAGTTGCCACCCGAGGCTGTTCTCCTGGGCTCATCACCGCGCACGCCCATAGAGATGTTTGCCATTGGGGAGCATGTGCTGTGCATGCAGGGACACCCCGAGTTCACTAAAGACGTCGTGGAGGACCTTGTAGTGAATCGAACCAAAGATGGGGTTTCTCATTCCTGTAAGTCTGTTTTCCATTTCCGTGCTTGAAGATGTGTGTGCACGTGCTTCTTTCACCGCTTTCATCACGTGGCTTGTTTTGCGCATGGATTCATGTTCCCAATTGTCCTGTTTTTTCTTCTTCTCTTTTGCAGAAGGATGTGGCGGCTGAAGCTTTGAAGTCGCTAGAAATGTACGATGAGAATAAAGACGAGCTTAGGGCCTTGTGCAATTCATTCTTGAGATCCTAACGTTCTCATACAATCAGTTTATCGTTTATCGTGCAATGTACAGTGTTCTTATCGCGTCCATTGATGATTCCCCATCGCTTGACTTCCCCCAGCCCATTCCCCCGCCTCTCGCTCCCCGCTCGAATGCCGTCGGCCTCTTCCCCCATAGCTCAATGAAAGGCAGATTCGCTGGAGAAATCCAGAAAAATCGATCTTGCCACATTTTCCTTTCCCCAATCTGCCACTCCTCGCAGTTCCTTCTGACTGCCTCACCCCATCAGACCAGTCACCTAAGTCCCGCCATGGCTCGCGGTGCGTGCGCGAGTCCATTGCTATGGGCAGCCGTCGCAGCGCTCGTGCTACTCGGATCAACAGCGGCGGCGGAGGAGGGAGATCACACGCTCAGCGCGAGCGTGGCGAAACTGACGGACGCCAACTTCAAGCGCAAGACCAAAGGCCACACCTTCGTCATGTTCTATGCCGAATGGTCCGCAGCCGCTGCCGCCCACCGCCATGGATCCGCCACGGATAGCCCACGCGCTAATGCCCAGCACCCCGTGCCGTGGCTTTATCTCGCCATTGCGCTGTGCTTCCTGACTCACCTTCCCGCTCCGCATCCCCATTGTCGCTGCCAATAAATCTGGCGACAGCAAGCGTCTCCCCCCAGCGCGGAGATCCATGGCACCTCCCGTCCCCCCCCCCACCCCCCCAACACCACCCTCTCCCCCAGGTGCGGGCACTGCAAGCGGCTCATCCCCACGTGGTCGCAGCTGGCGGACGAGCTCAAGGAGGCGGGCCGCGCTGACGTCAGCATGGCGTCGCTGCTGGCGACGGAGCACCGCGCGCACCCCGCGGCGAAGCTCGTGCGCGGCTTCCCCACGCTCATCTGGTTCCACGGCGGGCGGCCCGTCGCGCAGTACGAGGTGAGGCGGGGGGGATGGGGAAGAAGGGGGCAATAGGGGAAATTGGGAAGGGGAAAGGAGAGAGGGGGGGGGGGGGGGAGGAGAGAGGGGAAGAGCGCGGAGCACCGGGCTCGGGGGCCGCTGGTGCGGCGCAGGTTATGGGCGGGCATGCGTGTGGCGCTTCAGGCGCGTCCCCCCTAGCTCTCGCTGCGGCATTTTCATTGGCTCTGCTTCCATGCACCCCTCTCCTAGCCGCGCTCCTTTCTATGCGCGCATTCCCGCGCCTCTCTCCGCGCATGGCAGCCGCCTTGCTCCCCCACTGCCAGCGTCGCCTTCACTGCATGCCCCTAGCGGCCCTGCTGCCCCTTCCACCTAGCCACCCCAAGTCCCCTCTTCTCTCCGCCCCATCCACTCCCCTCCTATCTCTCACCCATCTCCCAACCCCCATCCGCGCCTCCCCCCTCTCCCGCACTCACTCTTTCTCCCATCTCCCACTCGCGCTCCCCTTTCCTCGCTCCCCCATCCCCGCCCCTTCCCCCCGCGCGCCCCCAGGGGGACAGGTCGCGGGAGTCGCTGCTGGCGTTCATAGAGGAGCACGCGCAGCTGGGGGACGCGGAGCTGGCGGAGGGCGCGCGGCGCCTGGAGGAGGAGGCGCTGCGGGCGGAGGAGGAGGCGCAACGCGCGGAGGAGGGGAAGGGCGCGGACCCCACGTTCAGTGAGAGCGTCGTGGAGCTCACGGATGGAAACTTCCAGGAAAAGACCCGCGGGCACACCTTCGTCATGTTCCACGCTGAATGGTGGGGTCATCTCCTTCCCCGTGTGCAATTGAATTGAGCTCCAACTTTTCCACCCTCCATTCTCAGTCCGAACTTCCACCTCTCAACTTCCACCTCTCAACTTCCACCTCTCAACTCCCACCTCTCAACTCCCACCTCACGCCACTTCACGATATCACTGTGTCCTCCTCGCCGCCCTCCTCCCCTGCTCCTCTACTTTCCGCTCCTGAGACCCACTCCTCCTTCAACCCACTCCTCCTGAGACCCACTCCTCCTTCAACCCACTCCTCCTGAGACCCACTCGTCCTGAGACCCACTCGTCCTGAGACCCACTCGTCCTGAGACCCCTCTTCTCCTATTTCCTCTCCTTTCCCTCAAACCATCTCTCCCCACCCTCCACTTCCCCTCCCCCTCCCCCCACCCTCTCCCCCAGGTGCGGGCACTGCAAGCGCCTCATCCCCACGTGGTCGCAGCTGGCGGACGAGCTCAAGGAGGCGGGCAGGAGGGACGTGAGTGTGGCGGCGCTGCTGGCGACGCAGCACCAGAAACACCCCGCCGTGGGCTTCATCCAGGGCTTCCCCACGCTGCTCTGGTTCCACGGCGGCCAGATGGTCGCTGAATACTCGGTACGAATCAAATGCTGCTTTGCATTTGTGTTTGCTTTGTGTCCCTCTTCCCTTTCCCTCTCCGCCACCACTTCCATCCTCGCCCCTTCTTCAACCCTCCCTCTATGCCATCCCTTGTACCTTCCCCCTCCCCCCGCCCCAATCCTCTCGCCTCCCTCGCCCCCGCCTTCTTCCCTTATTCTCTCGCTCCCCACCACCCCACCCGCCACCCTCCCTCTCGCCAGGGCGACCGCAGCATGGCATCGCTGAGGGCCTTCGTGGAGGAGCAGGCCGCGCTGCAGGGGGCAGCGCTAGCGCGCGCCAAGAAGGACTTGAAGGCCGCCATGGAACAGAAAATACGCGAGCGCCAGGAGGAGCAGCAGCGCGCCGCCCAGGAGCAGCGCCGCATCGAGACGGAGTTTGCCGCCCGGGTGCCGGAAGTCAGCCTGAGTGACCCGAGCAGGGTGGAGGGCAGGCACGTGGTGGTGCTGCACTATGCGGACTGGTGCCACGCGTGTGGCGCCATGAAGACTGCTCTGCTGGACCTGCAGGCGCACCCCCCTGTGGACGGGCTGCTGGTGGGGCGCTTCAAGGACTCCCAGGCCGGCCTGCTTGCTGCTGGTAACACCCTGCGTAACGGCCAGCCTACGACGTTTTTCGTGAGCGACGGGCGGATTGTGGATGCGTTGAAAGGGGTTAAGAAGGGTGAGGAGGTGCGCGAGTGGGTGAAGGAGCTGGGGGAGTTGAGTGAGGAGGAGGTGGAGGAGAGGGGGAGGGAGTGGAGGGAGGGGGTGGAGGAGGAGGTGGAGAGGTTGCAGCGTGAGGAGAGGGAGAAGATTCAGGAGGAGGTGAGGCGGAAGGAGGAGGAGAAGAGGAGGGCGAAGCTGCAGAAACGCAAGCAGAAGACGAGGTGGGCGGCGAGGTGAAAAGGTTAGGGAGGCGTGAGTGGGTCGCAATCGCAATGAGTGGTAAGTTTATGGTTGGTTTGTGGTTTTGGAGACATGTAAAATTTTAAAAGTGTGTAACACTTTTCATAAATTGTGTATTGTGACAGTGTAGCGATTGCCAACGCAGCAAAAGCAGCGTCGCATCGCTACTCGCCCTCTTTTGGCTACAAAAGAGGGGGTTGAGGCCATTTGGCCTCACCCACGTTTTTCTTTTCAATTTCGAAGTTTGAGTTCTCAATCTCGTCCAGTCTGGCGAAGACTCAGTCCCTTCCTCGCTTCATTGCCCCGACGACTCTACTTGCGGATATTTTTAAGCACAACATCGGAGCCATGGCGCCGACGAACAACACTGTTAATCGCGAGGGGAACAAGGCGACAGACACTCCCGTCGCCCCGAATGTCAACATTCCGCCCGGGACAACCGCCCGCCGCCCGAAACGGGCTGCCGAGGAGTCACGCGAGGACCTCGCGACTGGCGTCGAGGTCCTGCTGGGCGGAGGCTCCCCGGCGCCTTCCGAGGAGCCTTCCAGGCAGCCGCGCGAAGTGGCGAAAAAGACAACCGCTGACGCGGCTGTCTTGACCACCACCTCGAGCCCCTCAGGCGCGCGTGTCAAGCAGCACGCGCCAGCGCTCTCGAGCCACACGCCTGCCACGACCGACCCCAACCCCCCGTTCAACCCAGCGCAACTGCAGGCACTACTGGCGCTGTTACAGCAGCATGCGCCTGTTACGGCGGGGACTTCAAAAAATGAGGACGCTACAACTTCTGCAAAATATGATAAGAAAAACGAAGAAGCTCCCGTCGTCGCACCGCGCCCTCCCAAGGCTGCTCGCATCGATAAGGAACCGGCCCCTGCTCCTGTCGAAGATGACAGCGACGAGTCAGACGACGCTGATGGTGAGGCCTCCCCTCGCCATCACAACCCAATTTTTACTCATGCTTCTTGCTCTACGCTTCCCTCCCTCAACCCCGCAACCACAAACTCCACATTCAACCGCAAGGGCGTACGCGACCAGGCAGAGGTTTTCTCTGCCATCCAGGCCCACCTCAGGCACATTGAGTTCAAGCTCCAGCAAGGTGACGCAGAAGGCGCTCGCACAAACATTTCTCAAATCGACTCGCTCATCAACAAGCGATTTGAGGTGCTCTTGGTGGCGGACGAGGCGGGCTTCGAGGCGGCCGATCGCTTCCAGCTCTACCAGTCCAAGAGTGTGCTGACCTCCCGTTCGTACAAGCTGGCCGTGGCCGACGTGGCCGCGTCGAAGCGCGCGCGCATGACCTACAATCGTCCCACCCGCGGGGGTGGCCTCAACGTCGGCGAACTCGAAAACAAGGGGGCCGGGCAAGGCTCCTGCCAGGAAAGGACCTTCAAGGGTACCTGTTTTCGCTGCGGCCAGCCCGGCCACATGGCGAATGCCTGCCCCATGGGGGGGCGTGGAGGCCAAGGCCCCACACCCGTGGTGTGAGGGACCAAAGGGCGGAGCCCTCTCCCCTTATGTCGACGGAACATAAGGGGGCTGCACCAGGGGGTGCAAGGCTGAGGAACAGCCAAGGAAATGAGGGCCAGGAAACCCAGGGAGGAGCCCTAGGGGCCATTAGCTATTGGTGCATTTGTGTACTTTTGCAAGAAATAGTTATCATGTGATGATAAGTTGCCTATGGAAGTGTTTTTTGTCGCTTTATTTCAACTTGGTACCTTTGGCTTAAGGATGGGCTGCACATGACGAGGGCAACCAGCCCAAAACCAGTGCAAAGGATTAAAAAAAAAAAAAAAAAAAAAAAAAAAAAAAAAAAAAAAAAAGAGGTGAGCCAAATCGAGCGGAAAGGCTCACACGACTCTACACGAAATCAAGGGACGCACGAGCCTCATCGCGCATCAAGAGACCCATCAAGAGGGCCCAAGAAACCGCATGGAGGATTGTGCATTGTGTGGTTGTCCATACACACGTCTTAAAGACAAAAAGCGAGAGCGAGAGAGAGAGAGGGAGAGAGAGAGAGAGAGAGAGAGAGAGAAAAGAGTGAGAGAGAGGAGAGAAAGCGTTGCCTTTCCCCTATTGTTTCTCTTATGCACCACACTGCGTAGAACTTCTGGCTCCCACACCGCACCCCACTAGGTGCAAGCCGAGCCATGCAATGCAAAAAAAAAAAAAAAAAAAAAAAAAAAAAAAAACATCTCAAGAGAGCAACCATGTAACCGCGATTGGTCCACAAGCGTGGATACGTGCGAGTGTACACGGGGGCAAGTCGTTTAAGCCCACCACAACGGAGAGAAACACTCACATGCACTCACACATACACGCATACGCACACCCACTCAACACCCACACACACACACACGTACCCTCACACGCACACACACACACACACACGCACACACACACACACACACACGCACACACACACACACACGCACATGCACACACACACCAACACACATAATGCAAGGCACACGCACATCCACACACGTGGTCGCACTCGTGCAAAGGCACGGCGCCCAAGAGCACGGCTCACGCACGTGCTAACGTCGTGGAACTGCTGATCGTGCATGAAAACCCCACGCAGAAATTGACAACCGTTGGATCGGGACGACGCTCTCAACTCACGAATACGCGATAACTGACAAGACAGTGTTCATAATGCGAGGACGGCTCCACCAAGCACTACATTGGTGGCGCTCCTGGTGCGATAGTAGCCTCATCCTGTCGATTATCTCCCACGGATATTGGTTCCCATGGAAGGATGGGCCCCCGGCACCTTTCGAAAGAAAAAACCATGCAGGCGCTCAGACGCATTCGGATTTCACAAGCGAAGCCATTCAGGACCTCCTGCGAACAGGAGCAGCGGCAGAAGCTCCTGACCGATCAACACTGCTATGCATTAGCCCACTCAATGTGGTCGAACAGCGAGAAAAATGTCGACTCATCCTCGACCTGCGGAAGGTCAACGAGAACTTGTGCATTCCTAAATTCAAGTACGAAGGCCTCGCCCGGGTAGCGGAGTTGATCCAGCCAAACGACTGGATGCTATCGGTTGATCTCAAGTCAGGATATCATCACGTGGACATCCATCCTACCTGTTGGAAGTACTTAGGATTCCAGTTTGAAGGCAACTACTACTTCTTCCAATCCCTGCCATTTGGTCTGGCCACAGCCCCTTTCATCTTCACGCAGCTCATCAAACAGCTGGCCCGACGATGGCGATCTCTCGGTTGGCGAGTTATCCCTTACGTGTATGATATACTGATCCTGGCAGAGACCGCGCAACAAGCAGGAGCCGCATGCGCACAGATTGTAAGGGACCTGGGGAATGCCGGTATTGTAATCAACGAGAAAAAGTCGCGTCTGGTCCCCACACAGGAGCTTCGCTTCCTCGGACTTGAGTTGAACACACAACTCGGCTTATTCTCGGTCGGAGAAGAACGACGCTCCCTGTTACGAGCTACAATCACAAGTCTCATCGACTCTGGACGCGCCGGCCACCACGTGAACGTCCGTCAAATCGCTCGAGTGACTGGAATGCTTGCCTCCATGAGCCTCGCTTTGGGCGCAACCGCACGAGCCTTCAGCCACGAGCTATTGCAACTTATCAACAACGCACCCTCATGGCACTCGAATGTGTGGCTGTCAACAGAGGCCATCCATGAACTGTGCTTCTGGGTGGAACAGTTCGACCGCTTCAACGGTGCTCCATTCCACCATCCGCATCACTACGACGCCATCATCCAGGTGGATGCCAGCGCACACAGCTGGGGTGCCACCCTCTCTACTTTTCACGGAACACCGAGCAACGCAAGCGCCGGCATGCCCGACAATCTGTGGCCAACCTCAAGTACGCGACGCGAGTTGGAAGGCGTGCTCTGGGCGCTACGCACCTTCATGGACCGCATTCGACACGGCCACACGTTGGTTCGCGTGGACAACCAAGGGGTCATGTTCATTCTACGGAAAGGAGGCTCGCGCAATAATGAGCTCACGCGCATTTGCAAAGAGATCATCACTCTATGCACAGACAACGCGGTGCGACTAGCCATCGAATGGATTCCCTGAGACCTGAACACTTGCGCGGACGAGCTCTCAAAGCTGCAAGACCACGATGACTACACGTTGAAACAACCTTGGTTTCGTCTCTTGGACCGTCAGTGGGGGCCTCACTCTGTCGACTTGTTCGCCAATGCACAGAATGCATTGCTGCCTCGTTTCTTCTCAAAAGTCCCTCACCCGCGAGCCGAAGCCATCAACGCATTCTCCAAGGATTGGCACGGGGAACGGGGCTTCGCATTCCCACCCCCCCACCTCGTCCCTGCAACTCTCCATCACGCACGTCGCACACGGGCAAAGCTAACCCTGGTGATCCCGGAGTGGACAGGGGCAGCCTGGTGGCCCCTAGTGCAACCGGCTCCCCAAACATGGGCCATAGGAATTACTAGCCACCTTCGTCTCGCAAGCGGGAGTCAGTGCCTCCAACCGGGCACACACACTGCCGCATTCTCAGGCACAGGATTTCCCAATAGTACGATTATCGCATTGTCAATTGATTTTACAATGTAACTCATATATATTCCATGTATGGCAGAGATGTTATCCAAACTTCAAAGGCAACTCCTCTCGGTAATCAGCCAAGTACGAGCTCCTTCTACAATCCGCACCTACGACCCATACTGGAGAAAATTTCGCTCCTTTTGCAACAAGCTGTCACTGAGCTACCTACCCGCCACGGACTTGACACTCGCGCTGTACCTGGTATACGCCCTCAACAAGCACGCCACCTTGTCCGCCATCACGCTGACCTGTTCGGCAGTCGCATTTGCACACAAGATGACTGGCCTTACCTGTCCCACGAACGGCCCCTTCACCTCCCAAGTCCGCGAATTCGCCAAGCGCCACTCCCCTCGCCCAAGCAGGACTAAAGAACCCGTGTCTCTTCACCAGGTTCACCAGATGACACACGAATTCATCGCATCCGACACTCCCTCAGTATTCCAGAAAGGCCTCATCCCACTGCTCATGTATACGGGCTTTCTCCGCTTCTCGGATCTCGTCGCAATTCAGTGGCAAGACATCCAGTTTGAGGAGGCGGCGATGTGGCTACTGATTCCCCACTCCAAAACGGACCAAGAGGGTAAGGGAATATGGGTCCCAATCGCGACAACACCCGGACCATATTGCCCAGTCAAGATCACCAGACAGTTCATCTCGCTTGCCGGATACGACGCCTCGACCAAAGGACCCCTGATACGGATGTTCACACGTGACTCCAAAGCAACTCCGCACGACCACGCGCCTTCGTACCCAACTGTTCGCAATTGGTGCTTGGAAGCGTTTCAAAAAGTTGGCCTCGACGCCAACCACCTTGGCACACACTCCTTCCGCAAAGGAGCAGCAACGACGGCAGCAGGCATCGGAGTCTCAGATAGGATGTTCAAGCGGTTGGGCCGTTGGCGCAGCGACAACGCAAAGGACCTCTACGTCACCATCGCCCACGACCAGCTTGTGGCTGCTTCCCAGTTGATTCAGGATCCTACACGGGCTCCCTCCCCGAACCAGCACCAACTGTCCATCCAGCGGCATCGCCGACCGACCACTCACATGTCTCAGACGACCCATATGAAATGAAGCACGATGCCTTTACAAGTTGCAGAAAGCAAGCTTTCACAATATGTAAATTTTTAAAAGTGTGTAACACTTTTCATAAATTGTGTATTGTGACAGTTGTAGCGATTGCCAACGCAGCAAAGGCAGCGTCGCGTCGCTACTCGCCCTCTTTTGGCTACAAAAGAGGGGGTTGAGGCCATTTGGCCTCACCCACGTTCTTCTTTTCAATTTCGAAGTTTGAGTTCCCCACCCTCCCACCCAGGTCGTACTTGTCTCTACGATTCTTGCTGTCATTATTGTTATCATTGGACGAGATTGATGTACTCATGCCCATATGAAATGAAGCACGATGCCTTATGAAATGAAGCACGATGCCTTTACAAGTTGCAGAAAGCAAGCTTTCACAATATTGGGCTGTTCTGTAGGTAAATATCACGGAATTCTGGTTGGTATGACCACCGATGAACCATGCTGATTTAAAGCCCGAGTCCCAAATTGCGGGCCGCGCGGGTCAAGCTTTTAAAACTTGACGAACTAGTGTTTGCAAGGTTTGAAAAAAAACGTGCTTGCAATTTGGGACTTTTGGGAACTGAACCAACCCCCAGGGCGAAATACGAGGGCGGGCTGGGTTGGGCGAAAAATCGAGAAGAAAAACCAAAAAAACATAAAAAAAAAAAGGCGAAATCTAAATCTTTCGCCAAAACCCTCACCACAAAAACCCCCTCGCGTCAACTTTCTAAAAGTTGTGCCATTGGGGCTGCCGGTTTTAAACACCATACCGGATGGTGTTTTTTGCAAACTGAAGTGATTAACAATGCTGTAAACAATATTTGCGAATGGTGTCACATGCCGAGTGGTGTACATATCTGACCGTACATATCGGTGTACAGTGATCACTGCAAGACTGCACGCTACTTTAGGAGGACCACTCAACTGAAACATTCACTGTTTGGACCGTACTTTGCGTGCTTCCTGCTGCTGCGCTGCATGCTCCGCCTCTCATCTCCCGCTGCTCACGCCTCACCAACTATTCGGTTGCGCCATGGATGCGCTTCGGTTGCGATGAGGCTAGCCGACACGACTCGTCTCGGCTGGTGTGAACGTGCACTACTCTTAGCTAAGTGCCTAGTGCTGTAATTTTACTAACAACGCCTCCAGAGATTACTAAAGCGTCTAAGCGCTGCTTTGGCGATTCGACCACGACTAGGTTCGCAAGCGAGAGGGGCGTCGCACCGATCCTCCTTTGGAACCGCCTCTGTGGATCGCCAGGGCAAACGTCGCTCAGCCGCCATCTTGCGCGCGCGCATCACCGGCGCGCGTTGAACAGCGAGGCGCATTGAGGTGTGAGGCGCGGCGATGGGGTCGATAACAGCGGACGGCGATCACCTGCATGTGCGTGTGCCCAACGTGCCCGCCATCGTCGCCAAGAGCTTCCACGAGCGCGTCGCCGAGACCCAATCGTTGCTCTCCAATGTCGGCAGGTGCGCCCACCGCGCCTTGCGCCTTGTCCCCTCGCCGAGGTCCGATAGGTGCGACGCGCGAGATACGGTCGCCTTTTCTCTCTCTTTCACTTTCTTTCCCCTCTTTCTTCTCGTCCCCGTTATCAAGGTTTTCTATAATTCTTCAAAATATCCCCGTACGCGTGAACACCCACTACCCCCTTTCCGCCTGTTTCCGCCCTTTTCCCCCTCTCCTGCACGCCTCGCGCGCCAACCCCACTGCGTCTCCCCCGCCAGGCAAGCCAAGGCCATGGCGGAGCGGTCAACGGTGCGCGAGCGCGTGATAGCGGCGGTGGCGGCGCTGCTGGCGGTAGCGCTCGTGGCGTTCAGCGTCGCGCTCTCGCTGCGCTCCCCGCCGTCCATCGTCGACGCGCCGCTCCTGCTTGACACGCTATGCAAGCCCCTCCCCCCCTGCCCTGCCCTGCCCTTCCTTCCCCTACCCCGCCCGTTGCCTGCCCCGCGTCTCCCCACATCATCATGAACCCCATTCTGCCTGTCAATGTTGTCATCTGCCATTCCCATTCCCCTCGTTCACACCCCCCCACCTGAACCCCCCCTCCCCCTTCTTCCCCTCTTCCGCCCCAATTCCCTTCCCCCCCATTCTTCCCTTCCACACGTGCCACGTCACTTGTCTCTGTCGCCAGCGGGAGTGCAGGACATAACGTGGCGGGGCTACGCGGACTACGAGGTGCGCATCTCACCGCTCTCCCGCCACGTCTCGCGCCCCTCCCTGCCCTTCCAGGTGCGCCCTGCCTCGGATCCCACCCTGTCTCTCTCTCTCTCTCTCTGCCCCAATGCCCGCCCACCCTCCCCCAATCCCTTTCCCCCTAGCCCCCTCTGCCCATCATCCCTCGCACGCCCCTTGCTCTACCGCACACCTAGTTCCCATGCCACGTGCCTTCCCCCGTCCGCATCGCCCCCTCCCACCGCGCCCTGTCCTCCCGCAGCCCATAGCGCGCGGCCCCCACGGGTTCATCCAGTTCAGCGCATACCGGCTGTCGGCGCGCTCCTTTGCCATCGTGGGCTTCGGCGCGCACTTCCTCAAAGACCACCTGTGAGCACGGAGGGGGGGCGCTGGGGGAGCTCTAGGGTGAGTCATGATGTGACGGCCCGGGTGTCATGGGGTCATGATGTGACGGCCCGGGTGTCATGGGGTCACGATGTGGCGCTCCTTTGCCATCGTGGGCTTGGGGGCGCACTTCCTCAAATACCACTTGTGAGCACGGAGGGGGGAGGATGAAGGGGTGAGGCGCTGGGGGGAATGTGAGGCGCTGGGGGGAATGTGAGGCGCTGGGGGGAATGTGAGGCGGTGGGGGGAATTGTGGGGGAGGCCTTGCATTCTGGTGCTTTTTTGAAATCCGATCATGACGTCATATTGTTGCTGCCTATTGGCCTCCATAACCATATATATGTGTGCATGGCATGGCATGGCATGGCATGGCATGGCATGGCATGGCATGGCATGGCATGGCATGGAATGGCATGGCATGGCATGGCATGGAATGGCATGGCATGGCACCAGGGGCGAGTTGAAGTGTGTGTGGGCGGAGGGCGGCAATGCGAGCAGCACGGGCAGCAAGGGCGAGGTGAAGGCGGCTTATGGCGGGCTGAACGGGTGGGAAACCTACGATGCCGTTCTCATGAAGGTGCGATGCCGTTCTCATGAAGGTGCGATGCCGTTCTCATGAAGGTGCGATGCCGTTCTCATGAAGGTGCGTGCCAGCCACGTTGCTGCTTTGCCTCCTCATCCCAGTGTGATGTTTCCTTGACGGTGGAGAATCTCCGTTTCAGAACAGATTCCACCGGCTTCATTGCTTTCCACGTGAAGGTGTTCTCAAGACACCCACCGCTCGTCACTAGCGCACAGCTGGGCTGTGGAGGCCTTACTTGCAGTGGCTCTAGTTGTGTCTTAAGACAACGAAACGAACTCCATGGGTCAGGAGAGTGAGAGGAAGGCGTGTGGTTGAGTGCGTTTCTTAGACAGCCAGCTCAAACCCCAAGGCTCTACACCCTCAAACGCCCCTTTCTGCCCAACCTGCCTCCACTCTCACGCCTACCTGCCTCCAGTGCGACTTTGAGGCGGCCACGGGCACCATGGGAGGGGATCTCTTTCTCACCGTCGCCAGCGAGGAGTTCAGAGCCTTCCGGTGTGAACCCGCTAGTAGCCCTTCCTGTACCGTTGTGCACCTGCACTGCTGAGTGCCTTCCAGTAGCCAGCCAGCCCCATGCACGCCCTTCTCTCGCCCCATGCACGCCCTTCTCTCGCCCCATGCACGCCCTTCTCTCGCCCCATGCACGCCCTTCTCTCGCCCCATGCACGCCCTTCTCTCGCCCCATGCACGCCCTTCTCTCGCACCAAGCCTTCCATTCCTCCTGCCCGCTCGCACCTTCACGCTCCCCCACACCTCCCCCCCCCTCCTTCGTCGTCCCCCTCTCTCCCCCCCGGGCAGCGAGGAGGAGGGCGAGGAGCATGTGATCGACCCGCCCAGGGAGGACGCCCTGCCGCACACCCTCGCCGTGTGCGCCGTGCGCCTCGCCAACCCCCTGCAGCCGCGCCCGCTGTACGAGTGGCTGTCGTACCACTGGCATCTGGGCGTCTCCCTCTTCCGCCTCTACGACGCCGGCTCCATGGACGCTCACCTCGCTGCCGTGCTCGACCCGTGGCTCTCCAACCAGGTGTGCTTCATTCATCTCCACTCAAAAGACTCCCTCGGCGTCCCTCTTCCACCTCGACGATGCGGGGTCAATGGACGCTCACCTCTCCTCTGTCCTGTCGTCGACCCCCTGCCTCGCCAACCAGACGGCGCAGGTCATCCCCACGCGCCACCTGGCGCCCTTCAAGATGGAGCACGACGCGCATGCGCTCAGCGCGCTGGACTGCCTGCACAGCATGGCCTTCCTCGCACGCTGGGTCACGGTGCTCTCCCCCGACTCCTACCTCTTCGTGCCGCCGCCCGCCACCATTCTGGAGTATCTGAAGCAGCATGAGGAGAGGTCGTGGGTGACGGTGGGCACGCAGGAGTGGTCGCCTGTCAAGTGCCGTGACGGGCTGAGAATGCAGCCGCCCGGCGTGTGGGAGGGGCGGCAGGAGGCGGCACCATTTGCGGTGGAGTGGCTGGCGTTCAGAAGGAAGGATGCGCAGTGCTCGGACGAGGGGGCGGACAAGGAGACTTGCATTGGGGAGGCGGGGCAGCGCTCGCACTTCACCAACCCCAGGAAGGTGCGCTGCGTGCTGTGCATTGGGTGCTGCTGCTCATTGCATGTTGCTTGCTCCTGATTGTGCTGGGTGCAGCTCATTGTGCTCATGCCCTCCTGGCATGCCCTGCATTGACCTTGGCCTTGGCGTCTTCCCACATCTCCCTTCGCTGTCGTCTCGTGCTCTGTCGTGCCTAACTCATGTCTCTCCCCCTTTTCCTTGCACTGTTACCACTTAATGTGCCTGCATATAACCAACATATCTTGGTCGATCATGCATGCCTCCATGGCCCCGCCGCCTCTAATCGCTCTCCACGCGCCCTTGGCATGGCAGGCGGGCATTCTGGGCTACTTTGACGTGCGGGAGACGGACGACAACGGGCACCACGCGGGGTTCAGCGAGGTGCACAAGAACTGGTACCCCAACCTGCATGACCTCGCCGTCTTCAACTCCACGTGCTCTGAGGTCGTTGGCGACGACGAGTTTGCCGAAGGGTGGGTGCGAGATGTGTCGTTTGCAGACTATGTTAAATCTGTCAGGAAGAGTCCCCCGCCTCAAGGGTCGACGGAGGTTCCACCCCCACCAGCAGAGAATTGAAGTGGCTGGGGTCTTTTTGCTGCCACAGAGAGTCATAAAGAAATTATTGCAGCTGAATGCTAAGTTCATTGAACCCATCAATGATGTGCAGTCTATGACTAGAGGGAAGTTCATTGCTCTAACCACAGAGTTTAATGTCAGAAATCTGGATGGTTTCAGACTCTGGATGTGACAAAAGGATTAGGTTTTTATTGGGAACCCTCTACCTATCGAAGCCGATAATAGAGGGAAACGAATGAGCTGAGCTGAGGTGGGCTCTGCACTGTTGTACCGCGTCAACTACCTGAGGGCATTTCGGTTTTGTGTGACCTCGGGTTCGAGGAGAAATACAGGTGTTGAGATTTCTTTCCTCCAAAAAAACCCCGAAGTCGCTGTCTTGATGAAATCGCGAAATTTGAATTGGTGTCAGTCAGTTTTCCCGCCCCAAATCTGTCACGAATGCAGATCTAGCAACGCCCATGAATTTTGTGAACTTGAGGGCGTGCACCGTCAATTGCACTGAGAATGCGATGCGAGCCACGCAAAAGACGTGCACAACAGTCATTCATCTCGAGCGGTTCGCTCTACACCGACGCTCACCGATGCTCTAGATTGGTTTCGTCCTCCCCACACTTTCATCCCAGCCACAACTCCGCCGCCGTTGAAAACAGCAAGGATGAATCTTTTCCAGCACAGACGGGTCCGTACAACTGGCATATTTTGTCCTTCATTAGAGGAGCCACTTCCTGCCAGCCAAGAAGCCAGCTGGACAGCCCATCATCATGCCTCTCTGGATTTCCGACGAGCTTGCTTGTGTGGCGGGATTTTCGTCTCCTCCTTCCTTCCGCCTGCCCTAGGCAACGAACAACCTCCCATCACTGGCGTTTTCTGCTGGAACAACAGACAACCTTCGTTAGGAATTCACTCGCTTTGACTTGGATTTTGCACGGCTGGGCTATTTTTCGCCTCACTGTCATGCAACGGTGCGATGCGCGACTTGACTGGCTTGTGCTGACCTTTTCCTTGCAAGCCTGGCCGCGCGTGCGGTGCTGTGAAGCGTGCGCAGCTAGTGACATGTTACCCCCACTGGCTCCTCCTCTCTGCCATTGCCCGTTGAGGCGGTTGCTTTCATTTTGCCCTACTGCACCAGACCCAACCGCACGGCAGCCCAGATGATCGCATTTCGCCACCCGGCTGCTCAACATCACAATTAGATGTCAATCCGCTTTGTTGTATCTGTCTGCTGTCTGTACAGGGGTATCTGCTATCCCCGAATTGTCTCTCGCCATATTGTCTCTCTCCACTCCACTTATCTTTCGTCTCCCGCTCTCTCGTAAAAAGAAAGTTCTTTCTCCAGTGCCTTGCTACCATCGCAATAACAGCTCCTAAAAGCGCAAGAACGGTAGTACTACGAGTGACGAGACTCCTTGTATGTGAAAAGGAGCCATGATGACGAAACTACGTATCGAAATTCCCCAAGACGATGACTCCTCGTCAGAAACCTTCGACAGCTCAGGCAGTGGATCCATCATAGATTCCCATTCCTCCGAAATTGACGGATCATATGCCGAGGCTTCAAAATTCGTCGCATCTTCCAACGCCCATGGCAGAAGTCGTGTGGACTGGCACGTGCGCACGGCAAGCGGGTCCCTCACGTGGATACCACCGTCGCCGGTTGCCGTTAAGAGCCCGCACGCGAGTGCGATAAAAAAAAAGGCGGCGATGGCGAACGGACGTGCCAGGGCGATGGAATCCGCATGGGCGGAGGCGGAGGAGGAGGCGGAAACCGTTCTCGCGGTTGCCGCCGCTGCTGCCGCGCTTCCAGGCGATTCGTCCGAATCGTCGCCGTCTCGTTCACACGCGAAAGCAACGAGTCTGTTCAGCCTAAAGGCGCCGTCGTTCCCGCTAACGAAGCCATCTAGAATCACACGCACCAGCAGCAAAATTGGCGGCGCCAGCGGCGGAGGATCTCCTAACGGAATGATGCGCACGTGGTCGATCTCCTCTCTGCCGTCAATTTGGCGCAAGTCGCCACGCGGCTCACCAAAGGCTGTTGCATATTCAAATCAAGCAGATCATGATGACGTGGTTAGCCCGGTTGCTCTCGCTGACAGCAGCGAGCACCAATCATCGTGTCGCAATGTGAGAAGATCAGATCGTGAGGCATTCGCACGAAACGATGAGGCGGCCACGCAACCCAGCTCGCGTCAGTCGCGGCAGTCGCAGCAGCACAGAGTGCGGCGGCTTTCGCGGAGTTTGACATCGGACGGCGCGCTGTTGGCGGGCTTCGATGCTGACGAGACACCGCCGAACAAGGAACGAATCATGGCGGCGAGACGCGCTTCGGAGGCGAAGCCCCCACAGCCAGATCCGAATCGCAATCCGCATCGCGGCGGCTTCCGTTCGCTCGTGCGCACCGCGTCCGCCCCTGTCCCCGCCCGCGTGCCGCCTTCTCTCCCCCGCAGCGCACCCGAGCTAGCAGGCCGAGATGGGCGGTGCGAGATGGGCGGATACTCGAATGAGACGGCGAGACAAGCTGCGTCACGGCGAAGCTGTGTGGTGGCGCCGGTGGTGGAAGGGGAAGAGGAGGAGGCGGAGGTGGGGGAGGAGGACGACAACGACGAGATTCCAGTGGCGCTTGTGGCGACAGCAGCCGCGGGCATCGGCAGCTGCGAGTCGCGACATGCTCGAGGAGCGAAGGACGGTGGCTGTCTGCCGCACGCATGGGCGCACATGCCCTCCCGGCCCGCCTTCATGCACGCCGCACACGGCGCGTGCCGGCAGCGGCAGTCGCCATGTCATTCCCCTTCGTTACAGTCACTGTTGAGCCACATGCACTGCAGCAGCGACAGGCGTCGTCACAGCCTCGGCAGCGGCAGCAGCAGGCCCGAACCAGCCAATCCATGGCGCCGCGCGCAGCAACCAATCCTTCTCTCTCTTCCTCGCCCTCGCCCTCGCCCTCGCCCTCGCCCTCGCCCTCGCCCTCGCCCTCGCCCTCGCCCTCGCCCTCGCCCTCGCCCTCGCCCTCGCCCTCGCCCTCGCCCTCGCCCTCGCCTTTCTCGGTCATGCCCGCGTCGTCAGCTCACCTGGCAGTGCCTCGCCCAACTGCCCCACTCGCAGCGCGCAGCAGCCAATCCATGGCGCCGCGCGCTTCGGCCTCGCGTCCCCTCAGCGCCTCCCTCCCCCTTCACCACGCGCCGCCCCGCGTGCTCATTCCCCGCCTTGCCTCCTCCCCGTGCGCCCATTCCCTGTGCATCCATTCCCCATCCCCCGCGCCCCTCTCTCCCCCCACGCCCCCCACTCCCCCCACGCCCCTCACACCTGGCACGCCCATCACCCCCCCTTGCCTGCGCTCCTCTGCCACTGCGCCGACCATGCGCGCGCGCTCGTGCCTGCGCTCCTCCTCCTCTCCCCCCTCCTCCACACGCAGCCACCAGGCTCGGCGCGTGGCCTTCAGCCCCGTGGTTCGGGTCCGAACCTACTCGCTCTCGGACCAAGACTGGCCGGTGGTGCCCCTTTCCCCGGCGTGTCACGCTGCTGCCTCCCGCTCTGGTGGGCATGCCCCAGGGGTGGATGCCTCAGGGGTGGATGTGACTCCTCCAGCTTTTGCTGGCGATGCTCATGCACCTGCTGCTACCTCCATTACTGCCGCCGCTGTTGCTGCGGCCGCGGCTGGTGCTGCTACGGCTGGTGTAAGTGCAGCAGCAGCGGGAAGAAATGAAACGGATATGACAGACAGCAGCGGTGAGACAGAACCTGTGCTGCAGGCTCTCCTTCCTCCGCACGAGGTGGCAGGCAGAGGTGTGAAGAGAGTGTGTGCTCCCCGGCAGAGAGTCCCCCTGCAAGCCTGTTGAGGCCTCTATGCCATCGTAATAACGCCGCCCTTTTTTCATGTGGCAGGCAAGTCCTTAGCCAGGACGAATGTAGGCATTTCTATGCAATGCCAATCCTTGATGTACTGACCCTGCTCTGTGAAGCACCCCTGATGTACCTTGAAACATTTTACCAATGAATACTGGTTCTGATTAATGATTTTGCCACAGGCTGATGATTGCAGCAGCAGCACTACAATGAGCAAGTACAGGTGAAACAGTGCCAAAACTGCAGTACTACAATGAGGATCAAACTTCAGTAATAAAATCGGCAAAACTCCACGACCTTCCATAGGATAACTACCGTATGAGCTTCATTTCAGGAAGGGATGTTTGTTTACTACTGGAAAAACAACGGCGTCCTTCCCTTCAATCAACACACCTACGGTAGTTCAGTGAAGACCATTCTCAAGGAAAGAGCTACTGTGCAGGCCAAGAGTAAAAAGAGGGAGTCAGTCTGTCAGCAAATGTTGAAGTTAGGTACAGAGGAAGCAGCGTTTGAGGGAGGATGCGAGGCAGACACGCCACGGCAGTCAACCAGTTTCAACCCAGCAGCCCGCCTCCCTCCATCTCCAACCCGCCTGTCACTCCCACCACCTCTCACACTCATCCTTCACTCCGCTTAGCAGTCAGCCCCCATGGCCACTGCACAAATCACACCCTCTCTCGCCTTGGTCTCACATCACAACCTTCCCATTCCCACCAACGCCCTGCTTCCACCCTCCGCCCACCGTCCTCCCTCACCCCCGCCACCACCCCCTTTCGCCCCCCGCCCCCTACTTCTTCCCAGCAGCGCGCAGGGCGGGCGCGCGGACGGCGATCTCCCCCACCGCGCCGCCTGCTGCGAGCAGCGTCCCCACCACCGCCACCTCCTCTTCCTCCCACGCGGGAACCTTCCGCGACACCTGCGGGCTTAAAGGGCCCGAGCACGAGTGCGCGCTGCGGAGCGCGGGAGGGGAGGCCTTGCCTTTGGATCGCGGGGAGGGGTGCGAGAGGGAGGAGAAGGAAGGGATGCGCAGAGAGGGCGAGCGCGGGGAAGGGAGACGCGGGGACGAGGAGCGCGGGGAGGAGATGATGCGGAGACCGGCAGAGACGGCGGGAGGCATGCAGCTGTGCCCAAAAACCGCGCGCGGGGAGTCCGGGGGGGAATCCGCATCCCCCCCGCTGTGCGCGCAGGGCACGCTCTGTGCGGCCGGGAACTCCCACTCGGAGGAGAAAAAGTCAAGGTCGGCGCAACCAGCGGTGCTCTCGCTTGCGCGCCTCACGTCCACCGTTAGATTTCGAGCCATCCTAGGGCTAGCAACGATCTGCTCTTTGTCAGGCTCTCTACTGGATAGCCCCCCTGACCAATCGATGCGCTCCGGACATTCGACGCTGCCTTTCAGCGACCTGGTGCGCCGCCCGCTCTCGCGCTCGCTGGCGGACCCTCCCCCTTTCAGCGCACTCGCGCGCGCAGACCCTGTCCCCCTCGCCTCCTTCTCGCACGAACCCGCTGCGCTGCTGCTGGATTTGCGCGCTGACGAGGATGCGAGCACGGGCGCCAGCAGCATTCGCCTGAGCGACTTGGGCGACACCATGCTCATGGCGCTGGGCGACCGACACGGCGACGTCGGCGTGCTCTGTGCAATCTGTGCGACGTGCTGGTCCTCCCAGGCACTATCCATCGTCTCCTGCGACGCCATTGCGCGCCGAGCGCGTTCCCGAATAGCTTCCGCGTACTGACTGCGCACGCCGACGGGCGAGCTGGGCTGCCATAGCGGCGGCTGCGACGACGAATGGAAAAGCTCTAGCGTGCTTCTCGGGTCGCGACCACCGCAAAGAGCGGCGGAGTTTGTGGAAGGGTCTGGTAGGCTCTGCGAAACCGGCAGGTGCGGGAGGGTGTCGTCGGGGATTTCGATTCTGACGGACCGGTTGAGCGACGCGAAGAAGCGGAAGCTGCTGCTGGGCTTGGTCATGCCTTTGCGCGAGGACGGAGCGGGGGACCACGCGTCGGTGCTGCAAATGCACGCCGAAGCCTCGAGAGCTCCGCACTCGCAGGGATCCCCTCGCGACGAGGCACAATCCTCTTTGGTTTGTCCCGGATCGGCACCCATCAGATCCCTAATCGTTTTCCGCGTCAGTTGGGAATTGTTAGAGAGCCATGAAGAGGGAGGAAAAGAAGGGAGAGGGGACTAATTGAGAGCCATGATGCACGAATTAAACCATGCACGCGGAAAGGAGCACAGAAAGTGTATTGAAGCTATATATTCTTCGTTTTACCTCATTGAACCTCCATTGAAGGATGCGCCGCGGAAAGATGTCTGCTCTTGAAGAGAAGCACCAGCCATCCGGTTACGAATGTCGCGGTAAGTGATGCTTGAAGATAAGAATCAAGTGGCTCTCCGCCTAAATCTACAACTACCGCCTCTCTCTAGTCACAGAACGGAACAAGAATCTCCTGCGGCGCAAGAATCGTCAGATGAGCATCATGAAGTGTCTAGACCATTGCTGCGCAACGCAAATATTCTACAACGATCGACCCGAACCAGCGCAATGCAAGACAGCAAGCAGAAGGGTGTCCTCCCCCCGTCAACCCTTCCGACGCCACGCGAATGCAAGTCGCTGCTGGCCCACAGAGCACTTTCCTGCAGCCCGCTGCCCGACAACCTCCGCCCACCGCTGCGGACTTGCGGGGGAACGCGGCGGGCGGGAGCGCGGCCCTCGAGGGACCACCTCCCCGCCTTCCGCAGCAGACTCCCCCTTGTTTGAGGCGGGCGGATCTGCCTCACAGTCGGTCAGAAGGGTTTGAAATTTTGTACAGCTTGTGTTGATTGGTCCGAAGCTGCCCATAACAAGCCACGCAGGGAAATGCGACCATCCACCCCACCATGCCGAACATCCCCAGTCCCCTGGCTGGCGGGGCGGCCCAGCAGTTGTGATGGGGAGGGGAGCGAATGGGCGCTAGCCAGCCAACGTCGCAGCAAACGATGGGTAGTGAAGAGGATCCTTGACCTTTCCGCGCCGGCGAGTGAAATTGGTGGTATCGGGATGAAGTACACCTCCTAACCCGTTCCCCTTCGGCTCGACAAAAAATGGTATAAAACGTCCTGAATATTCTCTGCATATCTTGAGAAATATCTTAGCAAAAAGTGTTTCTGTATTTAGCAGCACAGCTCTGGTTTGAATCCAGGTAAGTATGCTACCCTGCACACGTGTCCCCTAGAGATACCGTGGGCATTGCAGACATCTGATGCATGCTTCACCACTGTGAGGGCATGGCATAGACAGGTGGCATTCTAAAAGTCCAGTGGATCCGCAGCACGCCACCATGGAAACAGCTTCCTCATGTTCCGCACCCGCCACTTCCTCTTTTCTCTCCCAAAAGACTCCGACCTCTCAGAGCCTCCGCATGCCCGTGCTATATCCCACATGCTAGACAGGTTACTGGAGTCGCCCTCATCGGTATAAAGCCTAACAAAAGCTCTGTGGTCAGTCCGGCATGGCTCGTCCCAAGAGGTCACAACAGGAGAGGCCTGTGGTGAAATAAGGTGGCCAGATGGCGATACTGGAGCGGATTTCAGCCTTCGGCCACCAGTAGCAAGCGGCGACAAGCCTTCAGGACTGTGAGGCACCTCATGGGCGGATCTGTGCTGCCACTTTGGCTGCTTCTGGTGCAGGCTGGAACGATCAGGAGCGGTGCTGCTGGATGCAATGGCTTTAGAAGGGATATGGTAGATACGCATGTTGGAGGCTTGAGAGCGACACGAGCCGTCTATGGACAGATCACCGCACGCCTTCTCCCCCTCTCGCCTCTCATGGCCCGGTGAGCCTGTGATGCCCTGCTGCTGCTTCGGGGAATGGATTGGACTAGCAGGGCAGCGAGGCGATGCACTGGAGGCGGGCTGAGTGTGGCCGGCATCAGAAGGCACGTGATAGGACGCGTTTGTCAGGTCAGAGGTGGTATGTGGGAGGTCGTAGCACTTGCCAATCATTGACTTGCGTGGACTAGCGGCCCTGGGCGAGATAGGCTTGGCATGTGCACGGGCAGAAGGGCCCCTGGGTAGTGATGCCTGTTGCTCCGTTGGCGGGGAGAGCGAGCAAGAAGTGTGTTCAGCTTCAGGCGAATGAGTGTATTTTCTTGACTGAGGGGAGTGCACTGAGTGAGGGTCCTGCCTTGGCTGAGGCAATTGCAGTGACTGAGGCGACTGCATTGACCAAGGGGCGTGGCTTGGCTCAGGCAGCTGTATTGACACAGGTGACTGTCTTGACTGGGGTGACTGCCTTGACTGAAGAGATTGCCTTGACTGAGGAGATTGCCTTGACTGAGGAGACTGCCTTGACTGAGGAGACTGCATTGACTGAGGGGAGTGCATTGATTTAGGGGAATGCTTAGATGGAAAGGACTGCTTTGCTTGAGGAGAATTGCTCGACTGAAGTGGCTGCGTTGACCTAGGAGACAGCCTTGACTGAGGTGACTGTTTTGACTGAGAGTATAAATCTGGATGCTCATAGCTCATGAAGGGCGAAGATCGCACTGCTGGCAGGCGGGGAGAGGGTGGCTGTAGAGGCGACGCCACCGAGCGGGCCACTGGGATCGCCCTTCCACTCTTTGCACCCGGCTGCCCGTGCCACCCTGCATGGGCGCCCTGTGCAGCACGCAAGGAGGGGCCTTGAGAGGGCGGGCTTAACGGCGACTGTGACAAGCGGTGCATGGCGAGCTCGCTCGCTGCTCTCTGCTTCAACCCCGCCGCCTCCGCGTGGATCGAGTCCATCGAATGTCGTTGCCGCCGCCGACGCCGCCGCAGCACGTCTCCCTCCCCAACCGCAATCTCCAGCTGCTGCCAGCCGTCATTCCCAACAGTGGCGTGCCGCGAGATGCTGCCGCGGCTGTCAGTGCTGGCAACGCTGTCACGGCTGTCTGAGCGCTGCACAGACTCCCTGCGCACGACCAGCAGCCGCTTGATGGCGGGCAGCGCGCCTCTGGATTCTTTGGGGGAGGACGGCAGCGACGCAAACTCCCTCTGCACGTACAGCTCCTCCCACACTCGATCCATGTCCCCGCCCTCCTCCGCTCGCCCCTGTTCTGGCCCGTCTGGGTGCGTGGAAACCCCGAACGGGCTCTGCACCACCGCGGGAGGTGTGGGGTGCCACCCTTCAGCTGCGTCATCCCCCCCCTCTGCTTCCCCTCCGCTCCTGCCACCCCCCCCTGCCTCCACTCCACTCCGCACCTGCGCTGACATGGCCGAACCTGCCCTGCCCTCCCTCTCCTTCCCCTCCGGATCACTTTGCAATTGGCTCTTTCCCAGTTCGCCGATGCTCAAGGAGGGGGCAAGCAGGCAGTCCGGGGCAGCAAGAGTGAGTTGCCCCTGCGAGCTGCTCGCGGGAAACCAACCAGCGGTACTGGTGGTGGTGCTGCTTGCCCCGTTGCTGCTCCCCATGAGCCACAGGTTCATGCTGAACTCCTCCTCTTGCGCGCGCCTACTCCCACCCCTCCCCTGCCCCTTCTTGCCCTGCTCCCCTTCCCCCGCCCCGTGCTCCTCATGCCCCAACCGAGGAACCACAAAGCCCTCTCCTACGCTGTTAACGCCCTCTGACTCGGGATGATCTGGACCGTTCATCTCAGGCACTTGCGTGCTGGCGTGCATCAAGCTGACGGGGAACTGATCGGGTGAGATCAAAGGCTCTGATTGGTCAGCAGCAGCGGCATCGGTGTCAGTGGGATGCGGTGGGGTGGTATCATCGGGGCTAGGATCACTGGCGGGGCGATCGCTCGGAAGAAAGCGGTCAACGTCGGACCAGAGGGAGGGATACGCATTGCCCCGGGGACTTGTCCGGGCCTGGCGGTGCTTCGACGGACTCTGCAGAGGCGCCAAGACGTCGGTGCTATCGGTGCAGTCGTAATATGCCACGTCAGCGTCAATCTTCGTGCTGAGAATCCGGGAACGTGCAACGGGAAAAAAAGAGCGGAAACGAGAGCAATCTTATTCTGCTGCAGCATCAGCTGAAACCAGTGCTGGAGCTCACAGCATAAGCTCAAGCCAGAGCCAAGCCTGACGCAGAACATAAACACTTTGCGCAATGAGCAATCAAAAGAAAACATCTCGAGCAAGTAGATCTGCATTTGCACGATCTCTCTATGCGACATTGGCAATGCAGGACATCCCCAACGGATCAGTTTTTTTTTTTTTCGCTTGCCCGGAAGCTATGACCGATCGACGGCTGCGATGAATCTGGGCGTACCTGGTGGCTTGTGGACAGCTTCCTAGCGAGGTAAGCGAGGTCTTCAGGGCCTCCTTGATCTGCGTCGTTTTCGACACCATCTCCCCCGCAATGTTCGCCGTTTTAGACACCACCTCCCCCGCAATATTCGCTGTTTTTCCCTTGATCTCGCCCGAGACTACTGCAGCCGTACCTCTCAGCGTTTCCCGCACCGTTTCAGATCTGGACACGAATTCAGCACCCACGGCCTTTGTTCTCGACGCCATTTCCTCGCCTAGGACCGCTGTTTTCGTTACTAGTTGCTTCGTCATCGTTGCGACGCGATCATTGAGCGAATTTGCTTTTTTAAGTACCTTATTGTCGGCTGCTTTGGCCTTTTGTGACAACTCCATGGCTAGAGTTGAAGATTGAGATACCACGGATTCGTAAGTCGTACGTTCATCCATCATTCGTAAATATTGAGGTATGGATCTAACTTTACCAGTATCCTGTCAGGTAAGCCCGCGTTCTCGGTAAGTCAAGAGCCGTAACAATTCATTCTATCCGTACTTATGCGTCCACAAGAATCCTATCCATTATCTAAGCGAGCCGTTGCGCTTCGTTCTCTCTAGCCGTGGCGGGCTGGGGAGACAATGAGCAGGCATGGAAGGGTCCCCGAGGTGGTGGGAAGGAGAAGCCTTGAGTTTTGAGACATGCAAAGATAAAGCAAAATAATGCAAGAAGTCTGTGGAGGGGAGGCATAATGCTGCACAAAGCCGGATTCCTGCTTTTCCAATCCCAAGGTTACTTGCCTGACTGGGCAGGGCACTCACTGACTGAACGCCAGCACAACAGCTGTCAGCCGAGCTTCTCCTCCATCCCAAATCACTCCACTCCATCTCACTGCAGACCACTCCACTCCAGGAAATCCAAGCCCCAATACAACGCACAAACCACTGTACGGCGCTACAGTATCTTGGGACTGAACTGTGGATGTGGGGCTGGGTTGGGTTGCGTTGCTGAGCTTATGGTGCGGTGGGGGGGAGTGGTCTAAAATTCTCAAAGGTGTAGAGTGGAGCTCACTGGCGAGGGGGTGGACAGGTGTCGTCGAGGTTGAAGGAATAATCACTGTAGAGACAGATTTTGACGATTGGTGATTGGTCAAGCCAGCCACAACCAACACGGACGGAGGAACTCCGTCCGACGGAAACGAAAAGCTCAGCATAGGGTAACCAAGAAATGGTGGAGGCTCTGTTTGCTCTATCTGTGGTGCTTCCTTCCTATCCTGCAAGCGAGCCATTTCTTGTACTGCTACAAAGCCTTCGCGCTCGATTATTTCAAAGACTGCGCATTGCGTTGCCTCTCTTTACGCCAGACCACCCACCACGACTGGACATCGATCGTCTCAGGCGCCGCGGCATGGGGTCGTTAGCATTCGCGGTCAGTCCGCCTATCGTCCAAGATAAAGTTGTTCCTTGTGTGCCGTTGTCGTTGTCACGCCGATGCACTTATTCGAGACCACAGACACGCTCCTCCCGCAGCTCTGAGCACGATCATGCGAAAAGGCGACACGTTTCTTTCAAAACTCAAAGCTTTCGATCGACAGTTAGCGCTGGCAATCTTCAATGCTCTTTAACCTCGAGGTTGTATCGGTCAGTAGTCACTCGAGCCGAGGCTTCGAACAGATCCGAACCTGGAGGCTCGGCAGCGGACCTCGCTGCTTTGGAGGAGGGCGAGCCTTGGCTCGGCGCCGTGGTCTACCGTCGTAGCGCGGCTCGTCAGGAATTCGTTTTCGTTACCTCCTTGGAGCGCCTCGCGCTTCCGCATCTCTCCTCCCCGGCGTCCCGCGCGCAGGCCGCGGATACACTGATGGCGGAGATCCCGCAAGACGAGCGCATGGGGGCCGATGGAGAAGGGGAGGCGGAGGGTACAGCTGTGGTGGTGCGCATGCGTTCTTCAAAAGAGGGTCGCGATATAAGGCTGGATGGCACTGCGCAGACGGTGTTCGCCATGCAGTGCCACAGGTGAGCCTTCAACGGGTGACAGATTAGGTCCACTTAAATGCCCCGCGCACCTTATCCCTCTCTACCGCCCTTTCCCGCGTTCGTAGTTCTCCCCTCTACCCAAATTCCTAACCCTCAATTCCTTCTCCCATCCTCTCCAGGTGCTTATGCCCTGTTACCGAGCCCATCTATAGCGATTTCAGCCTGCTACTCTCCGCGTCGCCCCTCCACGAGCCCACGAAGCGCAGCCTGGGGGTCATCCTCGACGCCCCCTCCTCCAGCTTCAACTCGCTCCCTGCAGACTATGACGATGGCGATGAGGGCGACATGTTGGACTTAGACCTAGACGATAAGCTCTACTTCCCCCCAGACCAGCGGATTATAGACGTCTCGAAGTACGTGCGCGACACGGTGCACCTGGAGATCCCTCTCAAGGTCCGGTGCAGCCCCGGGTGCCGAGGCATGTGCCTCGGGTGCGGGGCGAACCTAAACGTGAAGGAATGTGCTTGCGGCGATGAGGAGTGGGGGACTGGGGGCAGCAGCGGCAAGGGGCAAGCGGTGATGGGCGGGCAAGGGCAAGGGCTTGATGGGTTCGGGATGGGGAAAGCGAAGGGGAAGGGCATGGGGATGGGGGGTTTGAAGGGGGGGAAGGCGGGGGGCAAGGGGTCGTTGAAAGAGCAGCTGGAGCAGCTGTACAGGCGCGAAGACGTTGGGGGTGTTGACGGCGGTGGTGATGAGCAGCAGGGGAGATGATTTGGAGCAAGAGGCATGGAGCAGAGGAGGAGGCATTGAGCAGAGCAGGAGGCATTGAGCAGGAGGCATTGAGCAGGAGACGTGGACAAAGAAGCGGCATCAAGGCAGCATGATCCATTCTATACCGATTTAATGCAAGCTACACTGTGTCCGAGGCGACAATACTCCTTCCCACAAGAGAAGTGTGCCCAACTGCTGCGCATGCTCTGCAGCTGTTCTCCTCCAACCATGTCTGCATGTTCAAGGCTTACGATGTGAACTACTTTCCAGCATTCAGACGGTGCATTCATGTGCAATACCTGCTATAATTGATTACACATGCCATAGCTGCTTTGTCATGCCAGGTTCAATTGTTCCACTCCAAGTCGTTCAAAATATTGCATTGCATCCATGAACAGTGTTACAGTGCATCTGTGGCAAGGCCCCACGCTATTGATTTCAGTAGCGTACTTTTTTAAATACATGGCTGGGACACAAGGGTAATTAATTACCCTGCCACATGAGTCTGCTAGCCAGAGACCCGGTCACCTGGGTTCCCTTCCTGAACCAGTACCGAATTTGCCTCTATCTTGACCTCCCTCCTCACCCACCACCCCTTGATCCACACTAATGGTCCTGTGGAACAGGGCAGGTAATATCGTGACCCAGCTTTCCGTATAAACAAATTGCTACCCGGCGTTTCACATCATCTGGGGGAAGGGGTGGAACCACGAGTCGAGGCGGATCCAGGCCTTGTTGAGGAAGTATCGGCGGGCGGCGGGCGTCAAGGTCTTGAGCCACAGCACGCGCCCGTCCAGGTTGGCTCCAATGCCCGTGTTGTTGTACTCCGCGTAAAACGTCGTCCACTCTCGTGACCGCACGTAGAAATTATTCCATGCTGGAAAGCGTGTGAAGGGGGTGGAGAGGGGAATAAGTGGGAGAGGTGGAGGGAGAGATGTCTGAGGGAGGTAATGGGAAAAGTGGGGGTGATGTTGAACTCAGCATAGAATGCCGACCAGTCCCTCCACCTCACGTAGAGAAAGCGAGCTCAGTGAGAAGACCCTCATGCTGTTCAAGACATGTGTGGTGGAGGGCGAATAATGCTCCCCCCACTCTCATGCTGTTCAAGACATGGTGTCGGTGTTCTCTCAAGCGATCACGTGCACCCAGGAAGTCAGTTTCCAGTACGAGTCAGTGAGCACCCTCAGTGGTCTCACCTTCAGCGCCGATGATCTCGTCCATGTACGAGTGGGCGAAGATGGTGCACGCGTATTGACCCCACGACCGCCCCAGCCACCCCTGCAGGCACCACCACCGCACACACACACACGAGGGCAGCAGGGAGGATACATTAGATCCCGTCAACATCACCTGCATGATGATGTGGGCTGCTGGCCAATGGCATTGCTCTGCACCGTCAGCATCACCAATCGCCTATCGCCCGTCTTAACGCCCGCCTAGACGTCTGCGTTCTGAAGCAGTGTTCGTCAATCCTGGTGTCTCCGTGTCCCACTCCCTCCCACCCACTCGCTGCTTCCTCCTGGTATTCTGCGCTTCCCATGGTCTTCCCCAACCGTTAGACCCTATCAAACGCACCTGAGCAATGATGGGTTGTTGTCCGATGATCCGGTTCCCCACCATAACGAAGCAGTTGTCGTCGTCTTTAATGTCGCGCTTCTGCGCCGTCACCGACGCGAACCCGTAGCTCGACATCTGCAGCACGCACGACTCGAACCGCGCCTTCGCCTGCCCGAAAATAAAATCCACCGTCCCGAAGATGTAGCCTGGACAGCGGGGATGGCGAGGACGAGTCGCGGGTCCGTGGGGGAGAGAGTGAGGGTCCGTGGGGGAGAGAGTGAGGGTCCGTGGGGGAGAGAGTGAGGGGGCGTGGGGAAGTGAGGACGATGAAATCCACCGTCCCGAAGATGTAGCCTGGACAGTGGGGATGGCCGGGACGACAGGCGGGGAGCCGTGAGCGGGCGTGGGGTGGGGGGCGTGAAGGGGCGCGGGGGGGAAAGTTGAGGGGGCGTGGGGGAGTGTGGGGGAGCGTGTGGGGGGCGTGGGGGAGCTAGGCGTGAGGAGGAAGGAGAGTGAAGGATCGCTAATGGGAACACTACCGTCCAGAGAGGCGCAATACTGGGAGCACTACCATCCAGAGAGGCGCAATACTGGGAGCACTACCGTCCTCTTCCCCTCAGATCGCACTCCCGTGCCGCTCTTTCCTCTCCTCTCCTCCCCTCTCGCGCGCATATCCCCGCGGCCTCCCACTCGCGTTCCTCCGCGGCTTCACTGTACGGTCCCCACAACCCCCTTCCGCCCGTTGCGCCGCACACTTTTCACATGACCCCCTTTTCCCGCATACCCCCCAACCCCGTCGAGCAACTTACAGTCTTTGTAGTATTGCCACCCCTTATGCGCGTATAGGGTGTCCTGCGCGGGCGACGCGGACACCAAGAGAAGGGGGAGGAGAGGAGGGGGAGGGAGAAGCGGGGAACGCTGAAGAGGGGGGGAAGGTGCGCGCGTGCGGGAACGTAGGGACAGAGTGGGGGTATGTACAGAGGGAGTCGGACCAGTGATGATGATGACGATGACGTTGACGGTAACGTTGACGATGCAGATGACGGCGACGGTGGCGACAGGGCCTACCTGGAACGACTTGATGGAGCAGTTGTAAAACGCGGTGCGGTTGGCCGTCACTCTGACGGCCACCGCTTGGTAGATGTAGCTGTTGGGCGGCGGCCGCGGCGACGCGTTTTCGAAGTTAAAGTTCACGGCCGTAAAGTCGTCCGCGAATACGACAAAACAGCCCGTGTTCACTGCGGGAGGGAGGGGCGGTAGGGGCGGCGCGACAGAAGTGTAAAGCGAGGAGGGCAAATCGAGGGACTATATCGAGGAACGATCACATCAAGGACAAATCGATCGGAGCAATGGCAATCGCGGTGCGTACACGTGGAGCCAGTGCGGTGCTTACACGTGGAGCCAGTGCGGTGCTTACACGTGGAGAGCATGTCGCCGTTCTCGTTGAGCATGCCGCTGTAGCGGTTGCACGACACCGTGCTGCCGCCGCCCTCGGGATCGCCGATCAGCGCCAGGTAGCGCTGCGGGGGGAAGCGGGGGGAGCGTTGGGGAGGAGGATAGCGGACGGGGAGGGGAAAGGGTTTGGGCGGAGCGTTGGGGGGATGGCGAGGCGAACATGCGAGAATGCGGTCACGCGTGCGACGCTCGTGCGATCATGCGGACGCGTGCGGGGAAGCGATGACGCGCACATGCGAGCCGACGTTTTCCTGCGTGGTATGCGCGCTGGGAGGATACTGCACGCGACGTGCGACTCATGCGACGCACATGCGACGTGCGACTCATGCGACGCGCATGCGACGTTCGAGCGACGCACCATGTACGGTCGGATGATGATCGTCTCGTTGTACCACCCCGCCTTGACGAAGATCTTCGTCCCTTGGTTCGGCAGATACGCTGGCGGCACGTAGTATATCGCCTCCTGCCACGGCACACACCGATCACCATGCCACGTCAGTCGCCATCCAGACACTCGCCACGTGAAAGCAGAATAGCACGCGCGATGTGCGGGCGAGTAGCACACGAGCACGCGGTTATCGCAAGGCAGGAGTTCCGTTTAGCAATAGCCTAGCAATGGGCGGTTGGTAAATCGTCTCACTACCTCCTCCTTCCGCCGCCACCTATCTGCCTGCTTCTCCCTATATGCTCGTGTACTCGACTCTTCCCCCGCGTCCATTCTACCTTCCGCCCGATCGCTCGTCATATCTACCGGCCAGCTGCCTCTCGCTTGGCGCGCTCCGCCTCGCGAAGCCGACGAAGCCGCGAAATTGGTCATAATCACAATCGCATGCCTCGTGACCATGCGCCATTGCACGCGTCGCACGCGTCGTACGCACCTGGAGGGTGGTGAAGTCGCCCGAGCCGTCCTTTGCGACAACCATGTTGGGCACCACTGGCACGCCGTTGAGGAGAATCGTCATGTTGGTTCGCGACACCACGCCCGCCACCAAACCCGCCGCTCTACACGGCGCAATCGCAACGGTCAAGAGCGCGAGGAGCGCGAGTGGGAGGGAGAAGAGAGAGGAAACGACGAGCCGTTGTTGCCGTCGCGCGGGGCTTTGTGGGAGGGAGAATGGACGGCGGTTCGCTCCTAATACTTGTGTATCTCGACAGTGCTGGGAGTTGAGTTGTGTGCATGACGAACTGTGTCCTTCTAACGATATCGAGCCCATCTTTACGAAGGCTTCTGGTTGACAATCGTGGTTCCTACGACACGCTGGGCTCCCGGTTTCTGTTCGTACTACACTTCGCTTCGTCGAGAGATCCGTCTCGCGCCGCATGAGGTCTCCGAAGCTAGAGGCCTTTCTTCTTCGGCTAATTGCAAATGCGTGGAACAAGCGACTTGGGGGAGGAGAAACTAAATGGAGAGATTTGCCTTCGGAAGAATGGCAACAGAAGAGTCCGTAAGGATATAGCAGGTCCGAGAGGCTGGCAAAAGAAATCGACGAAAGAACCACGCTATCTATGGGCTCACGACGGGACAAGGAGTTAACAACTGAACGTGGAGGAAGGATGGGGTCGGTGGCACTCGCAAACTCGGAGGGGCCGATCTAGTCGGTCGGAAATGTCACCAAACAGCCCTACGCTGCGAACCGTGGCAAGACTTTAGCTGAAGCAACAGCACGAAGTGACTTCAAACATCAACTCCCCTACCGTAATTCACAAAGTAGGGAGAAAGGCAGCCCTTTTCGCTCTAGCCCTGCGCCGTCATCCAGCTCCACGACTTGTATCAGCATTGGATATGGTGCCACTTTCATTCCAACAGTGGCCGTGTCTCATCACTTTCACTTGCTTCCTTTCCTGATGTTCCTCCTCTCCTCCCCTCCCTCCCCTCACTGCTTCACCGTTGCCCGGACCAGGCCTCGAAATTCTTCGCACCGACAGGCGGGAGAAGTCTGCTGTGAGTGTGCGTGAGGGATTTGCGTTGCGAGGGAAGCTGGACGGCCTGCAACTCGCGCGGCTCGCACAGACCAAATTTGAGCCTCCGAGGCGCGCTCGGCTTCAGGACAGAAAGGAGGCGAGGCTGGGGGATGGTTGGAATTGAAAGCGTGCGAAAAAATGAAATACGGTACACATGAGCTAGGGATATACAGTTATACGGTGCCTGCTGAATATTATGCACAAACAATGTCCAAGAAGCTGAATGTGGAAACACTATGGATAATTGCCACCGTAGGAGCATAAACAAGAGCGAATACTAGTAACTGACACTACCACACTACTACTATGAGATGGCATGTAGGGGCGTCACTGGAAAGGGCTGAACGACGTAATCAGAAGCATTTACGCCGTGCATCCTCCTCATGCTACGACCTGCCGGTGTGCTTCCAGCAACAAAACCACGATAATTCACTAGCTTGGGTGTAGGAGCATCTCGAGGCAGCACAGGAAGTGGAGTATTAGGAGCCGAGGCCACGTTACGGGAGAACCAGTCCTTCATCTGTGTCAGGTCGTTGCTTGAAGAATCAGAAGAGGCATAGCGCGGCACAAGGTGCTGAAGCTCCAAGTGAGATCTCCTCGCCGCCCGCCTCACCCAGCCCTGATGCACATGCAAGCTTTGCTGCGCTATGACCCAAGCCACTATCCGTATGGCTTGAAAAACTTCTGTTTAACCCATCAGCATGTGTTCCTTCCACTGCTGCTGCTTTCTCAGCAGCATGCTCGCCAAGGACAGCAGCAGCAGAGGGGCGGGCAACGTGCAGGCGGAGGGACTTGAACAGAGCGAGGCGGTGGGACGCCGCCTGCAGCCGACCCTTGCTGCTGCTGCTGACGCTGCTGCTGTCATTGGTGTTGGCGTTAATACTGCCGCTGCTACTGCCAGCAACACTGGTCCGGCTTGCTCTCCAGCTGTTGCCTCCTCCGCCGCTGCAACCACTCACAGGGCTCTCAGATCTGCGTCGAGTCATGCCAAGACTGCCCTGACTGGACACTCTGCACATGTACCCCGTTGACTGCGTTGACTGCACTGAATCCACGGCATTCCGCCTCTGCTGCTCAGGCCTTCGCAAGGGCTGCTGCGCTCCCTCTCCGCTCTCAGACGCGGTCTCAACGGGCGACAGCAGCGGGAGGCCTCTGGGCGTCAGCCCTCCCGACCAGTTCGCCTGCCTGGGTGCCTCATTTCGCCCACCAAAGTAACGAACGCCCCCGTTTCGCTGCCTTTCGCTACTCTCCGCGTCGCCCTCGTCGTCACGCTCACCTCGCGAGATCTTAAGATCGCGGATGGCGTTTTCCCACGAGCACATATCTTCTGCGGAAATCGTATAATCACTGAGCTGCGCAGTAGTATCATTTTCAGCGCGCGACGCGCTCGCGGCGCCTTTTGGAGAGACGAGGTCCATCAGCGACCACGGGCCTGCCGCGCCGTGATTGCTGACGTCACGCGGGACGCGGCTCCGTTCCGTCCCGTCGCGCTCACGTGACGAATTTCTATGCGGCCGCGGGAGGGCGGTCAAAGCGCGCACAAGCTTCCGCGACCCGCTGGAAAGAAGCGCGCGAGGGGAGACGAGGGACGAAGCGGAGGCAGGGGGTGCCCGCGGGGAGACGAGGGCGGACGCAGAGGATGGTGGCGCGCGCGGGGAGATGAGGGCGGAAGCGGCGGAGGACGGTGGCGCGCGCTGCGTCGGGACGGTGCCGCTGGTAGTCCGCGCAAGGGGAGGAAGAGTTGTTGCTGGGATGGTCGCCGCGGCGGCGGCACTAGGCGATGGTGGCAACGCGACGGCGCCACTGGCGGCAACGGTAGTAGGCTTGCGCGGCGTGGTGGGCATCATTAGCGCGGCGCGCAGCGAGTGGGGTATGGGGGGCATGGACGCCGCGCGCTCCAAGCCGGATCCGCCGCCTGTCGCTGCGACCGCAGCGCGTTGGCGGGTCGAGGCGCGGGATGCACGCGGCGTGAAGCAGCTTACAATGGTTGCATCGCCTGACGGCGACTCCGAGTCGTCCGTCCTGTTGTCCGCGTCGCCCGCCGTGCTTTCCGCCGCGCACGTCGTCAAATCATGCGGCCGCGCGTGATTAGCCGAATGAGCATCGTGTGCGGCTAAAAACGGATGCTCCAGCAAGCAATAGGTTCCCCCAGGCCGCAAAAAACGCTCCGGCGGAAGAGGAGCCGCATTTGGCGGTTGTGATGGTCGCGACGTCGTGGAACAATAGTCAGCAGAAGCAGAAGCTAGCGCCCCCCGCGCAGTGTGATTCAGCGACGCGAGGCCGTGGTGGGGAAACTCTTTTAGGACGTCCCTTACTTGCATGAGCTGCTCGTGATACAAGCGGATGGAGCCATCGGGAAGGAGAACGATGACGGGATCTGCGGATGACGCGGGCTGCGGGACAGAAAATGCCATGAGTTCGATGAACAGCAAGAGGCGTCAAGCCATACGCGAAGGAATACGAGGAACGCGTGCTCGGGAAGAAGAATCCGAACTTGTACGAAGAGATAGACCGCAGAATACGTCGAATCAAGTCAGACACCGAGGAAAATGACATAATTTTGGCTCGCGATTCTATACTAATGTATTGGCTGAAGAGTCTTCACAGATAACGAGGAAAGAATTGCTCGAGGCGTGCGTGGTGCTGTGTGGTTCTGCTTGGTATCAAGTAGTATGGTGCGATGTGGTACAGGGTGTTTGGGTGGGGTTCCAGGCTAGGTGTTCTGCTGGTGATCCTGCTGATCAGGCAAGAGAAAAATCCAACCAAGCAGATTCCTCTGACACCATTCCGTCTAAGTCCAGACCTCCCAAGCCAGACCAAACCAAATCTGGTCAGGTCAGCGAGCACACCATACCGTACCATGTTATCCGAGGCTCACATGAAGGTCATGGGTGATTCCATACCAAACCTCCTACGTGTACACGTACAGCTCATTTGTAGTGTACAACGCGACGTGAGTGCCGGCGAAGGCGAAGTCAGTCCGGCAATGAAATGACGGCGACCTCCTCCCGATGCGACGGGCAGTCATGTGAAATGACCGTCGCCAGTGACCCGCGCTGCATTCTTTTCCAGCTCACCATTGCACCCCATCCGACCGTTGCGCTATTGCTGTCCGTACGATTTATGCCACTTGCAAGTCAAGCACTTCGTGAAGAACGAAAAAAACACAACAGAAGCTGCAAGCCTTGGGCAAATCAACCATCGTTTCTACACAATGCATGCACCTACAGTGTGAACGCTTCACAAGGAATATAGCGTTGCTCCGCCTGATGTGGTACCAGTGCATGTACACTGAACTCGAAATATCCAAGGTTCAATGTGTTCAACCGTACTGTACCGAACGTTGACAAAAGGAGACAAACAACCACACAACGTTGACGAAGCTAGTGTACAGTGGAGATGCCGAGCCGAGTTTATCCTGCCAAACCCCAAACCACAGACAAGCACCCCACATCCGTCCAAATCGGTAGGCCCCCCGACCACACTTGCAGCGAAGGATCGACGACAGACAGGCACATCCGCATGCTCGCTATAGGCTCACCCAGAAGTACAGAGAGTTCAATTGATCACTATTCTTAAGGTATACCAGATCCAGAACAGTCTGACGTACGTTTCATCTATTGAATTCACCATTCCTAACTCTCTCTGCTAGCCGTTTCCCAATCATGAACGCCACTGACTCAATAGACACCATAGGATTCACCCCCACAGGCGTCGGAAACATACTACCATCGCCCAAGAACAACCCGGACGCTTCCCAACTCTCCCCATTTTCATCTACAACAGAGGTCTTAGGGGATATACCCATAGGGCAGCTACCAGTCTGGTGCGCCGAGAACAGCGTGCAGTCATTGAGCTTAAAGCCCGCTGCAGCCACGGATTTTAAATACGCCTCAAACTCTGCATCGGACGTGCGATGCCATCCATCCATCCCCACGGGACCATCAGTGCCATCCAACTCGGCGTTGGCTGTACTTGCTGCTGCATCAGCTAAGTCGGCTTGAACGGTGGGTGGAACGAGGCAGCGGAAGGGCTTGAGAGACTGGTGAAGCGTGCCCAGCTCCACTGCTCCCGCTGCTCTCAGGATGCGCAGAGACAGCAGCAACGCCTCCTGGTGATGGATAGCAGATGATTAGTAGCACATTGGGGAACAAGAAGAGGGAGATGGGGAGAGACGTGTTCTGAGATGGCTCAAAAGGCGACAGCACGAGAGACTTGGAAGCACAATACCTGACCCGCCTTGCCCATCTGGGGTGACTTTTGAGTCAATTTACATGTCTGCACAACCTTCCCACATCCCACAACCTTCCCACATCCCTCTCCACCCCCCCCTCACACGCTTGCCCCTCCCCAACCCCTATTCCCCACTCTCCTCTCCCCTACATCCCACCTGCATGCTCTTCTGGTCCTCCTTGCACAGCCGGTACGTCACAACAGGCCGACCGCTGCCGTCCGCACGCACAGTGCCACGGCCTCGGTCCCTAACAATGGCAATGAGCGATGCAGTGCGGTCAAAGCGCACTGCCGACTGCTTGATGGTCTGACTGCCCAGCCAGGGGATGGCGCAGCCCAGCAGACCCGGGTGCATGGTGGGGGTCTGGTGGTCGGGGGATAGGGTGACAGGGTGGGGCGGCACAGGCAGGGAGGAGAAGAATCCCAGGGTGAGAAGACGGAGGCTTCGGGCCAAAAGACCCCGGGTTCATGGTGGGGGTGTGCAAGGCGGGGAGGGAGCTAAGGGCGAGACGAGACAGGGGAAGGATAGGTGGAGGACGGTGGAGGATAGGCACGGCGGAGAGGCGAGGGAGATGCAGAAATGATCAATGACATTGCAGAAACTTTGTGATTCAAATGCTTTGATTGACGTGACGTGATTTACACCTTCCAACGGATACCATTCATGGGACCAGTACACTAACCTGAATTGTGGCGATGTATCCACTTGTCTCCTAGTTGGCCGTCTCCTGCGAGCTGACGCTCATGATGGCCCCCAGATAGCCCGGACCAGACAGCACGGCGGGCCAAATGTGGTGCGATTGTTATGGCCACCTGCTCCCTTACCTGAATCATGGCGCCGTATCCAGTTGTCTCCCAGTTAGCCACCTCCCGCGAGTTCACGCTCATGATGGGCCCCAGGTAGCCCGGGCCAGCGGGCAGCGAGGGCGGCAGGGAGGGAGCGGTTTCTGGAAAGAAGCCCCAGGCGGAGGTGACGGGGTGCACACGCAGCGAGGAGCCGATGGCAGGGTTGGTGAGACCACTGGCGAGCAGCAGAGGAGGCGTGCGCAGGCTGGTGGGGGGCGGGGAGGGGGAAGAGGAGTAAGTGGGTGGAATGGGGGACAACGGGGGAAGCGAGGTGCCATACCAGATGCGTTGAGGAGCTGTTGATGATTCTCACCCTCAACTTCAAAGCACGCGGGCATGTGGACTGCGTTGGGAGTGGGACGCCACCTGTAATAGAGGTAGAATACTACGGATCTAGACACTGCATGTCCCCACCTGCCACACGCCACAACGACCAGGTTGGCCTCCACCACAACTCTCTGCCGCACGCCCTGCCGCTCTACCCTCGCCTCCACCCCCACCACACGCTTCTTCCGCGTGACGCCAGCAGCCTTGTCACTAGCAGCACCAGGCGTGGTGCTAGCATGGCGGTTAGGGGAGAGGAGGAGGCGGAGGGCGGCGCAGCGGGAGAGGATGAGGGCGCCGTGTGTAACGGCGTCTGGTAACCAGGTTTCCAGCATGGATTGTTTCTCGCCTGACCAGCAGCCAAAGGTGCACCAGGCGCCTGGGAGGGGAGCAGAGGGGAAGGGAGAGGCGTGGGTATGAACCGAGGAAGAGAGAAGAAGAGGGGACAGCAACGAGGTTGTGAATTTTTGAGAGCAGTGAGCGCACCAGTGAGCGCACCAGGGGTGGATAGCCCCTGGAAACGCTGTCACTTACGTAGATGCGTGAAGGCATGCAGCAAGGGACTCACACGATTGAGGCTACTCACAGGGGTGCGGCTGGTTGGTGTTGCGGGGGGTGATGGCATGGTGGCAGCCCAAAGCTGAGCAACCGGCCTTGAGAGCCGCGTTGCTCAGGCTGTGCGGGGTGAGGGTCTCGTCTGCTGTCACCTGTGTGGCAGGCCAAGGGCAGCGAGAAAAAAAAAAAAAAAAAACTACTCAGGGGCCCGCCTTAAGCTGAGTTGCTCCTGCTGTGGGGGCTGATAATCTTTGTCCTCAATCGTTTCACACACCCCTGCATATCCCTGCATTCTTTTCACACGCCCCTGCATTCTCTCACACACCCCTGCGGTCTCTCACACGCACCTGAATCTTCTCACACACAGCATCCATGGCTGCTGCATACTCCGGCGACTCAAATTGCTGCCAGCAGTGCGGGGCAGAGAGGAGAGGGAAGTAAAAGGGTGCAAGGCAGGAAAAGGGAAAGTGTGAGACAGAAAAGTGGCAAGCGAGTGAGCGAGGTTGAAGAGTGTTTCACAGCATCCATTTGCAGCCATGACTTGCCGAGCTGAGCTGTGACTGGCATACAGTTCAGGAGCCCCAGCACTCATATGCGCGGCCCCAGCACTCATATGCGCGGCAGCATCTCAAACCCCCCCCACATGCCTATCTTCACCTCCTTGCTGCTGCCTCCCCACCTTGAGCCCGTACTCGCTGGCCCACTCCCTGGTGACGTGGGGCGGTGTGCGAAAGGATGCAGACCAGTTGACAGCGCTGCCGCCACCCACTGTTCTCCCTGCCAGCAGCGCCACCCCACCGTCCTCCGTGGTCAGAAAGCCCTGCGTGTCGTACCTGATAGCGAGGGTGATGGAGTGCGGAATGGAGGGTGAGAAGAGGGAGCAATGGGGAGGAACGTTTCGGATCGACTCACTCTCTCCCCACCACCAGCCATCCTCCGTGGTAAAGAAAGCATGCATGTCATACCAAATGGGGAGGGTGAGGCGAGGGAGGGCGAGCAGAGGGAGGAAAGGGAACGAGAGGGAAAGAAAAACGGAAGGGAATGGGTGTACTCACATCTGAGCTGAGGGGGCTTCGAGAAGAGAGAGGTCAGAGCGGAAGAAGTAGCCCCCTGCTTCCAGCACCAGCACCCTCCTCTGCCACCCGCTGCCGCCTGTGTCACCATTAGCAGCAGCACCACCACCACCAGCTGCTGCTTCAGCGAGCTGAGCCGCGATGATGGCTCCTCCACAGCCGGAACCGATCACCACCGCATCGCACCGCACCACCACAGGCTGACACGGGGGCTTAGGTGGTGTGCAGTTGGAAGGGGTGAATGGCAGTAAAATCGGGGCAGGAAAAAGGCTGATGATTGATGGTACGAGAGGGGGGGAGAAATGACTCGGTGGAAAGAGATGCAACAAGGTGGAGTGAGTGAGAGGTGGGACGAAAGAGAGGGGGATGGATGGATGAAGTGTGTGTACGGGGTGTAGAACGTTCTTCATGAAAAGAAGTTAACCTCATTAACGCTCCCCTCTGCACCTCCCACAACACACACATCACATCACCCCACGCACCCACCTCGCCTTCCCCTTCATCTCCCCAGCCCAGCAGCCCTATGGTCTGCCTGGGCCCTGCCAGCACCTCCACGCCCTTCCCCTGCAGCACTGCTGCGAGGCCCAGCCACACCCCTCACACGGCACACACACATCACACACACATCACACACACATCACACACACACACATCACACACACACACACATCACACACACATCACACACACATCACACACACATCACACACACATCACACACACACACACACACACACACACACACACCACACACACACACACACACCACACACACATCGCCCCACGCACCCTCCTCGCCTTCCCCATCACCCCCCCGGCCGAGCAGCCCTATGGTCTGCGTGGGCCCTGCCAGCACATCCACGCCCTTGCCTTGCAGCACTGCCGCCAGCCCCAGCCCCGCCCCTTACACGGCACCAACACACACACATCAACCCACGTACCCACCTCTCCTTCACATTTCTCCCTTTGGCCCAGCAGACCAATCGTCTGCCTGGGCCCTGCCAGCACGTCCACGCCCTTGCCCTGCAGCACGGCTGCCAGCCCCTCGCCCTCTGCTGCACAGTCCACCACCGCTGCGTCTAGAGGCCTCGCCTCGCCCCCCTGAACCCCACACCCACCACTCTCCCCCTCTCCCCTCATCGTTCCGTTGCTATGCTCTGCTTCTCCTTCGCCACTGTCGGATCGCTGAGCTGGCCGCTGTGCTGCGTCAGCATGTTGAGCTGGACGTTGTGCCACGTCAGGATCACAAGCAGGTGAGCTGTCTTGGCCTCGGTGCTTTTGAGCAGCGAGCATGTTGGGATCGGGTCCACAGTACCCCATGGCTCGCCACATCATGCTGTTGCCAGAGCCGTCATGCTGCAGCGCATGGGGTGATTGTGGTGCATGCATGCATGGAGTGAACGTCATACATGCATGGAGTGAACGTCATACATGCATGGAGTGAACGTCATACATGCATGGAGTGAACGTCATACACGGAGTGATTGTGGTGCATGGGGTGCATTGAAGGTGGCTGACCCCGACAATAACAGTACATAATTAGGCTACCCTTTTCTTAAGCCGCACACGTCAAGAATAAATTCCACACGTGCCGACTGGGAGGGAGGGTACAAAAAACTTCTGCTGACCATGCCTCGCCCTATCTCAGCAAGAGCAAACCTTTTAGGTAATTCAAAGGGGATACCATGAGGGGAGTGAGCGAGGGAGGTGCAGGGTGTAGTGCGGGGTGGGAGCGGGGTTGCGGTGTAAACTCGAAGCGAGGGCATGGATTGGATAGAAAGGGAGAGGCTCACCTGTGCGCCTACGTGGAAGAATGTGAAGCTGCGGAACGTCTGTGAGGGGCAAGGGGACACATGGCGAACACGAGGTATAGGCATGAGGGAGACTTGCACGAAACTGCACGAAACTCAGCCACGAAAAGCATGGACTGCACCACGACTCCCTCTTGCTGTCCCCATCCGCCATCACAAAACCCCCCCTCCCCCTCTTCCCGCTCCTATTCCCCACCTTGAACACAGCGCGCAGCAGGAAGTTGCTGCTGACAGACCATCGCAGCAGCACTGCCTCGCGAGCCTGGGGCGTCAGCTTTGCGAAGGGCTGCACGAACGGCGGCCGCCGGGTGAAGGCCCTGCGGCCGGCCAGCAGCAGCGTGCCCAGGCGAGTGGAGAGGAGCCAGAGCACCGTGCTGAAGACACTCAGAGGCAGGGGCTTCAGGCACTGCTGCATTGTCGCGGCCACCTGAACGAAGGGGAGACAAAGGCGGCGAGTTTTGAGATGCCTTCACAAAAGCATACGGCCGTGCTGAAGACGCGCAATGGCAGTGGCTTCAGGCACTGCTGCATGTCGCGGCCACCTGATCAGGAGGGGAGCAGAGACGGCGACTTTTGAAATGTGTACAGAAAGGCGATTGGAGAGGAGCCACAGCACCGTGCTGAAGACTCCCAGCGCCAACGGCTTCTGGCATTGCTGCATTGCCGCGGCCACCTGCACAGGAGGGGAGTAGACACTGCGACGGAGATGAGAAGGTGCGATGCTGCGACGGGGATGAAAATGCAAGCGATAGAAAGTATGATAACACGCGATTCGCCGCTACGTTTGTGCAAATGCACGGTCGAGCGAGGGAAGGCTGGGTAATAGAGCCGCACGGAGGACTGTCGGGTCAGAATGCTGAGCGAACGGCAGGGGAGAGCGGGGCGATTCTATCACGGGCCGACGAACCTTGTCGACGATGCCGAGGCTAGACGCGGATTCCGCGAAGTACGCCGTGATGGCCTCCTTCCGCGGCTCGCCGTAAAACTCGCTCCATTGGCTATCCGACTGCGAGCCTTCCTTTCGCTTCCCGACGAGCTGAAAATACGGGTCGTCGGAGTCCGTCGGAACCGGCATGGAGAATACGAGCGTGTCGCATATGGCGGTCAACGCGGCGAACTGACGAGGCGACATGCCATGCTTGGGAGATATGTCTTTCTCCTTGAGCTTCTTACTACTACAAGTCGGCATTCTGACGATTCGTCGGAAGCACGGGGAATAGGCCCTGGAAACACACCGATGAAAGGTAGAAAAGGCGATCAAATGTAGGACGACTGCAATCCGGCGTAGGAATGGCTAATATAAGGAGATGCCTGAAATGCCTGAAAGCTGGATTGCCTGAAATGCCTGAAAGCCCGAAGTGCCTGAAGTGCCTCATATTTCAGGCATGCAGCGTGGAGCTTGATTGAGAACCTCCTTCCCAGGTTCCCAGGGTGTACCAGAGCCCGAGAAATCGAGGCGGCGCATTCTCCCTTATAGAGATCCGAATAACTTCGATAGTGAGCTGAACTATCAGTACTTTTTACGTTGCACTGAAGAGTGTAGTCTCGGCAAAATTTTGGAGGGTCAGCCCGACGGTTGCGAATTGGCAGGACGACACTGCGACATCGACATTTCATCGTGCATTTGAGAGCGGACTGAAATCAGCCGTCCGATATTCATTCGCCAACGCCAAACGGTCTGGTCGCATGGCCCAGGGTGCTGCGAACAACTTCTCGTCGGCCCAGGGTCTTTTTCTGACAAAGCCCCATGTGCGACGAAACTCATCGCATGGATCTGGTCATCCTTCCCGTCCTACACACTGGTTGTCCTGCTGTTTGTGTGTAGTGCTACAGTGACACAGCCCAAACCTAGATTTCTCACGAGTTTGGGTTGTGGGTTTCAGAAAGTTGCATTGCGTTTGAAAGAAATAAGCGTAGATCTTAAACGGCGGTGTAGGGTTTCAAGGTAAGAAACTCCCCTGCATGCAAGCTCATTTCGAGCAGTAGGGAAGTGAGCTCAGCTCATTCTTAGCCGAAATTGCAGGTTCTAGGAGATACGTAGAACTGACAAAAGCATTCAACAGCAGAAGCCCCCTTACCCAAGAAAGTCGCTAGAGGGTCTCATAGTTCTCTCAGCTGTTGGAAATATTAGTTCGGCGCAAGGCCTGATTCTTTATCTCGGCGCGTCTTATCTCTGGTTGTGTGCGATATTGTGGAATCCAAGAGGGAGGCGAATAGACGGAGTGATACCCGAGATGGATGACTTCGAGGTTGGTGCATTCCATTGGTTCTTATGGCTATCAATTATTCATTCGCTAGTTTCTGCACCACTATACGACGTTTACTATCATCGTGCGTCATCTGATTCACCCTTCCTCGTTGAGCTCAAGTGAATTTCCTTACGCGCTTGTCGTCATCTCTTTTCCCCTCCGTCCTTTTTTCCCGCGCTTTATTCTCTGTGCGCTCCCTGGCATCAGCTGATGGGCGATGCGAGCGATACGGACATGGCGGAGCAGCACGAAGTCACAGACGCCGACAATCGCTACATAGAGCAGCAGGATGACACGGACAGCGACTATCGCCACACGGAGCAGCACGAAAACACGAATGCCGGCTATGACCGTACACATCAGCGCCGAGTCTACTACGACGCGGGTCCAGCTGGTGGCGATCCGGAGCAGCGGCAGGTGTACTACGACACGGATGAATCGCTCGCAGCGAGCGACGACGACGACGACGACGACAACGATGCCTTTCCGGGCGACGACGACTTCGGGTTCTCGTGGAGGCGACGAGGCGCTCAGCGAGGCGGTACCCGGTCGTTTCAAGACAACTCCGACGACGATAATGATCTCGTAGGTTTCCGGATCGTCGGCTGGCCGCTGGGTGGCGTGTTTTTCGCCTCATTACATGATGGATGCATGTTCGTTGCGTGCTCCTTATCCGTGTTACCGTGCGAGCCGCAGCGACTACGCATTTACGGGTGTAATCTCGTTCAGCCGCCTTCTCGTGCAACGATTATAAATACCTATAGTTACGTCGCCAGCCTGATTCGGATTAGGTCCGGTCGCGGCGCCATTCCCCGTCGCCGTGCATCCTGCCTCTTCTTCAACTGAACAAATCGCCTTTCCCTTCCCCCCACCTCCCCGCTTCTCCTGTCGCACCCTGTATCACCCTGATGCCAGCTGGAAGGCCCGGAGGACGTGAGCGCGCGGCAGGTGCGGCGGGGGCGGGACATTCAGGGGATTCCGTGGGAGCGGCTGCACCTGAGCCGGGAGAAGTACCGCGCGATGCGGCTGCAGCAGTACAAGAACTACAAGAACCTCGACGTGTCGTTGGATGTCGTGGATAAGGTGCGCGCGCAGGTGATGGACGCGCGCAGACACGCTTTAGCACGTATGGCATGCGGCTGCACAAGAACAAAAACAAGTGTTAGGGGTACTGTTCTGTCTCTTCCGTACCTACCTCGATTTACTCCTCTTATCCCTTTTCCCGCATTATTCTTAACCACCAGATACTGCTCGCCTCCATTATCGTGCGGCCTCTCGTCTCCCAGGAAGTGCAGCAGGTGGTGTAGTTTCTCTTGGCCTCCTCAATCCCCTCCTCTTTCTCCCGCTTCCCCCTCCCCCCGACTGCCTGCTTCATCTCCCAGGAAGTGCAGCAGGTAACGACGGGCAGCACGCTGTACGAGTTCGCCCACAACACGCGCGCAGTCAAGTCCACCATCGTGCACTTCCAGCTGCGCAACCTCGTGTGGGCCACGTCAGCGCATGACGTGTACTCGCTGCACAACCACGTCATCAACCACTTCTCGCCGCTCACGCGCAAGTCCACCCCGGTCCTGGACCTGGGGAACCCCCTCGCCGCCAGGCGTCACGCCCCCAATCACGCCCACGCGCCCACAGCAGGCGCGCGGGGCGCAGGAGGCGCGGGGGTTGCAGCAGGCTGGGGGAATCAGCGCAGCGGAGTGGAGCTGGAGCCCTCTGCGCGGGCAATTTACACTGGAGCCATGCCCTCCGCTGCGGGCTCCGCTGCTGCTGGGAGAAGCAACAGCAGCAACGGTACAGAGGAGGGCAGAGCGGTGCTGGGGAGAGAAGCAGGGGGATTGCCCCCCTCCCAACAGCAGCAGCAGCAGCAGCAGCAGCAGCAGCAGCAGCAGCAGGAGGGGGTGTGGGAGTCGGTAGATCGGGTACAAGTGAGCACCATGTGCGTCAGGCACGGACTGCTCGTGGCAGGGGGCTTCCACGGGGAGATGGTCTGCACCAGGCTCGGCACAGGCTCGGACGCGGACGCAGGCTCGGGGTCGGAAGCAGGAGTAGCGTTCACAGGGCGGATCTCCCAAGATCAGAGCGCAATCACGAACGCTGTTGAGATCTTCAGACCTAACAGGTGAGAGGAGAGGCGGGCCATGGGGATTGGATAGATGGCACTCGTGACTACCATGGGCATGGGGATGCCTCGATGGGCTTTTCTTGCTCAGGGTAGACTTTGGGCGTCCCACAATGGGATGGCGTGGGTTTACATTATGGTAGTTGGTTTTCCAAGTGTGATGAGGCTGTGATGTGAAGCATTGCCTGCTGCACGTCCTGTTGCAGCAAGCGTCTGTACTGCCCTGCTGCTCTTCTCATCCGTCTCCTCCCGTTTTCCTTTCTCTTCCCTTTTGCCCCTCTCTTTCTCCCCTGTCGCCTCACTCTCTCTTTCTCTCCCCTCTCTCTCCCCTCTCCCTCACCCGCAGTGGAGCACTGAGCGTGCTCACATCCAACAACGACTGTGTGGTGAGGGACTTCGACGTTGCTACCTTCTCCATCCTCTCACGCCACGCCTTCCCCTGGCCCGTCAATGTGAGCCCCCGCCTTCCCCTGGCCCGTCAATGTGAGCCCCCGCCTTCCCCTGGCCCGTCAATGTGAGCCCCGCCATGCCTTCCCTTCCCTACAAGCAGCCATGTGTGCCTTGTTCTCTGCCCTTCGCCTGTTTCTCATCCACCCTCTCTCATCCGGCCTGTTTCTCATCCACCCTCTCGCATCTTCACATGTCACCCGTCCTCTCCCACGCCCTCGTCCTCTCCCACGCCCTCGTCCTCTCCCACGCCCTCGTCCTCTCCCACGCCCTCGTCCTCTCCCACGCCCTCGTCCTCTCCCACGCCCTCGTCCTCTCCCACGCCCTCGTCCTCTCCCACGCCCTCGTCCTCTCCCACGCCCTCGTCCTCTCCCACGCCCTCGTCCTCTCCCACGCCCTCGTCCTCTCCCATGCCCTCGTCCTCTCCCACGCCCTCGTCCTCTCCCACGCCCTCGTCCTCTCCCACGCCCTCGTCCTCTCCCACGCCCTCGTCCTCTCCCACGCCCTCGTCCTCTCCCACGCCCTCGTCCTCTCCCACGCCCTCGTCCTCTCCCACGCCCTCGTCCTCTCCCACGCCCTCGTCCTCTCCCACGCCCTCGTCCTCTCCCACGCCCTCGTCCTCTCCCACGCCCTCGTCCTCTCCCACGCCCTCGTCCTCTCCCACGCCCTGGTCCTCTCCCACGCCCTCGTCCTCTCCCACGCCCTCGTCCTCTCCGTGGCTCCAGCCTATATCAGCCCCACAAGCATCCCGTGTTGCATCCTCTCACTCTCCCTCTTGTCTCCTTCTCCCTCTTCTCCGTCCCCTCCCTCCCCCTCACCAGCACACGGCAGTGGCGCCGGACAGCCAGCTGGTGTCAGTGGTGGGGGACGACCCCGAGGCGTTACTGCTCGACCTAGCCTCTGGAAAGGTTTGTGCCTCCCTTTGCCTCTCTCATCACTCCATCCCTTTCCTACTTCGCCCTCCTTCTCACCCCATGCCTGCTTATTCCACCCATGTCGTTCCTTGCTTGCTGCATTCCCGAATTTGTTTACCCTTTTCTTGGCAATGCATATCCACCATCTTTTCTATGAACACTTTCTTGCTTCCATCTTTTTTTGCCGTCTTGTCTCTCCACCTCCCAACCTCCTTTCATCTCCCCTGTCTCGTCTGCCATTCTCAACGCATGCCCTCATCCCCATATCCCACAAATCCCACCCCATATCCCCTCTCAATCCGCTCGCTGCCCTCACAGGTAGTAGCGCGCATGCAGGGCCACATGGGCTACTCCTTCGCTACAGCCTCTCAATCCCCCCACTGCCCTCCCACCCCCTCGCTGCCCTCCCACCCCCTCGCTGCCCTCCCACCCCCTCGCTGCCCTCCCACCCCCTCGCTGCCCTCCCACCCCCCTCGCTGCCCTCTCACCCCCCTCGCTGCCCTCCCACCCCCCTCGCTGCCCTCTCACCCCCCTCGCTGCCCTCCCACCCCCCTCGCTGCCCTCTCACCCCCCTCGCTGCCCTCTCACCCCCTTCGCTGCCCTCTCACCCCCCTCGCTGCCCTCCCACCCCCCTCGCTGCCCTCTCACCCCCCTCGCTGCCCTGTCACCCCCCTCGCTGCCCTCTCACCCCCTTCGCTGCCTGCACAGGTTGTAGCGCGCATGCAGGGCCACGTGGACTACTCCTTTGCTACAGCCTGGCCTCCTTGCCTCTTGTATCACATCCCCCACATCCCCCACATCCCCCACGTCCCCCACGTCCCCCACATCCCCTACCGCCCCCACATCCCCATCCCCCGTCCCTGCCCTCACAGGTTGTAGCGCGCATGCAGGGCCACGTGGACTACTCCTTCGCTACAGCCTGGCACCCAGGTGGCTACCTCTTTGCTACGGGCAACCAAGACACCACGTGCCGTGTGTGGGACCGCCGGCGACTAGACAACTCCCTGTTCACCCTCAAGGGGCGCCTGGGGGCCATTCGGTCACTCAGATTCACTAGTGACGGCAGGTCAGTGTGTGTGGTGGAGGAAGGGGGAAAAAGGGGGGGGGGGGGGGGAGGGAGGGGTAGGCAATGGCAGGTTCTTGGTTCACAGATTACACACTTCCTGTTTCATGGCAAGTTGATGGTCGTGTCATCTGACATGTCACTCCCTGCCTCTCCCTCGCTCCACCCAAGTAAGTTGATGGTCATGGCTGACCCAGCACACTTCCCTCAACACCTTTCTCGTTTCCATGTCACATATGACCCTGCTCCCTCTCTCCCTTCTTTCCCTCCTCCTCGCCACATGCTTGCACATGGTACATCATCTCAAACCCCCTTCCTCCCCCCTCCCCTCCCTCGCTTCGCCCAGGTTCATGGCCATGGCTGAGCCAGCAGACTTCGTGCATGTCTTTGACACGAGCAGCGGGTTTACTCGAGCACAGGAGATTGACATATTCGGCGAGATTGCAGGGATATCGTTCTCCCCCGATACAGAGGCGCTCTTTATTGGCGTGGCGGACCGCACGTACAGTAGTCTCCTGGAGTACACCCGCGCACACTCGTATGCTTATTTTGATGCTTGCATCTAAATTTCCATAGAAACAGCATTGTGTTACTTGTTCGGCCGATTTCTCTTCGGCCAAGACGTGTAGCGGATGGATGCATGGTATGGTACAAGACTACGCACATGGAATCTGGAAGGTTCATTCGACTGCCAGCTGGCAGTCGAATGAGTCAGCAAGCTGGCCGCGGGCAGGAAAAAAGCTACCGTAAAACCCACTTGGAAGGCATGCCATTCGGGAGCCTCAACCCTAAAATTTTAGGGTTGAGGCTCCCGAATGGCATGCCAGTCGCGATGGGGTTTAGTTTTTTCCTGCCCGTGGTCAGCTTGCCAGCTCATTCCTCCAACACGTTTCCTTCAACACGGGGAGTTGTAGGGTTCCCGCGCTCCAGCACCCGTTAGGTACTGCAATAATGCCAGGCGAGTGTCGCAATTGGGCTCATTCCAACATTTGAGTCCTGTATAGAGCTCCCATGCTGACAATATAAGATAATTGAAATATGGATGTGAGAGTTGGGCACAAGGACTTCCACTGTGCTAGAACCTCATCATGCAAGGCTCCCAAGTGTGGTCTGAACTGAAGATAAGTGGGGAGATGTAGGTTGCTTCAGAATAATCAACAGTGATGTATTGTCAACTTTGGTCAGTGTACATTGTAACACCAAAGTCTCAACTCATGTTGCTGTGCAGCCGCAGCTCAACCACACTCAAATCGAACGCGATTCGCGGCTTGTGTCGGGTGCATCATGTCCGCAAGCCATTTTTCAGAAACTTTTGTACCTCCCGAATGTGGTTTCTGCCGCGTCGCTCCAGGGTTTGAGCAATCTGTTACCAGACATCACGAGAATGAACATTCCCGCGCAATCCTTCTCGTCTCACCCATCTGCACTTCGCCAGTCTGGGTTACACCCTCGCGACTCGAGGGACTGGAACGCCGCAACCAGCCAGAACCCGCCTTCTTCAAAACCAGTTTGGAGGTACTCCCGAGGTGTGTTTGCGGGGGCAGCCTTCGTAAAATTGAATGCTGAACCTAATACACGAATTAGAAGAATCATGAATGCTATCATGGGGTGTTTTTGGGGGTGTTTTTGCGTAGGATCAATTTCAGGAACTTTCAGTTCATCAGCCCTTCACTCGGCCACAGCTCAAAATTTTTTATCACATGATTCCCTGCAAATCCGAACTCGTGGGGTGGGGACCACCAAACCTTCTTCAGAGACTCCGAGGTAAGTTCTTGGGCAGCCTTTTCCACCTAGGTTGGTCAACCAGTTACTGTACAGTACCACAATCACGAGGGTTGTCCTGGGGTGTGGAGGTGTGCGTGTGGAATATGAACTGCAGGAAATTCTGTACAACTTCAGTTATTAGCACTTTCCTCCGGGACACCTCCAAAATTTACACTATGACTGCCACCGCAAATCCAAATTCCCGTGGGGGGCGGGGGGTGGTGGGGACCACACCATTCCCAGAGTTCCTTTCGTAGAGTTTTTTTCTGATGAGTGAACAGATACTAGCAGGCATAAAGAGGAATGCTGTTTAATTTAGGGGGCTCGCTTTAGATTGTCGCTGCAGAGCTATTTATGGCAGAGCTAACCAGAACCGGGGGGGAGATTGTGGTCAGCCTGGTGCTTAGCCTGAATCGTGTTGACATTTTGCTCGGTGGGAAAATTGTCCTTGAAAGTGACTATTCTTGAACTTCCTCCAAATGTTCACTCCCTTTGTCTTGAATCTGACACTGTTCCAACTTCTGCTGCACCCTCCTCTTCCCGCCTGGGTCAGCTAGGGTTTGCTCAAGCTGACTCCACACACAAGCATGAGGAAAGCAACCCGTCAGAATTAGCGGCTACCATGGCAGGTTAGCGGCTCCTTCCCAGAGCTTGATCGATGCGCGGTCAATTCTGGTGCTGCAACAGATTAGGATCCGACCCGCAAAATGTTAGGTTGTGTTTCCCCGAACCTCTACTCTCAGATCCACTTTCTCCCAAACCTTGGATGAAGCATGAAATTTCAAGCGGTTAAGAGAGTCGCTTGGCCGTTCATCCAATCCGGATCGTTTTTATTTCAAAAAATGCGAAGAAGTTATAGGTTGGGATCCGAACCACCGATACTTCTCCCAAACCAGGACCCCCGTTCAAACATCCTGTCAAGCCCATCCTTGTGATTGAGCCAACTTGATGGTAGTGCAGCAGATGTGGTCACTCTGAGCGCAGAACTCGATGTATTCTCTTCTAGCACTCGGAGTCTTTTCTTCCAGCACTGCGGGCAACTCAACCAATTCTTCTTGTGGACGCGAACTATCACTTCCATCAATGGAGGGTGTGCGAAGGCGGTGATGAGCGTGGCATGAAGGCGGATCTGCTCACGATGACCGCAACTGGGAAGTTTCATTCCCTTCTTAACGTTCTTTAAGTTTTGTTTTTTCCGCTCAATGTCGTTTTTTTTCTCACATGCACACATCATTCATATTTCATTGTGCACCGTCCCTCTGATTCGATGGTGGTCGCAGCGAGCAGATGATCCTCCTCGGTTTGGGTTTGGGTTTGGGTAGCAGTTAGATCCTCCCTCTGCGAGCTGTGGCCACTCGGAGAATCATGGATGCTTCCATTTCTCATTCATTTCATTTTCCATTGTTTCGATTTTCGATTTGCTCTTGTTTTATTTTTTCTTTTTCTTTTTCTTGCAACTGTATTTATTGGCGTCTAACTTTTTTTTTTTTTTTTTTTTTTGTCTTTTCACCCCATCCCCCAGTGAAGAAGAACACGCGTACTAAGAGATGACGCGGTTGATGGAGCTGCAACGACCTCAACCCGCTGCTGGGAGGAGCTATTGGGAGGAGATCTGGGAGGAGATGCTGTTGCTGTACCGTTTTGGATCTTGCTACTACTGTATGTTTGCTTTCGATTCCACGTTCGCTACTCTTGTATGTTTGTTTGTTACCTATTTCAGTATACTTAGTGTATTTGTCATGCGCAGGGAACAACAACTCCGCTGCGCAATGGGCTGCCTCAACAAGAAGAGGGCTGAGACGTGGCCAAGAATGATCGAGTTGCTGGGAGGAGCCATCCGCCACCCGCCACCCGCCACCCTTGTTCTTCACTTTACTTTACCTCGGTACGATTTCGTTTTTCGTTTTGTTACTGCTGCATGTCTAATCTCAGTTCAGTTCTGGCTTTCTTTGTATAATTTTCTGTTTAAGAAGCTCGTTGGCAAGTGTTAACTTCGTGTTGTTGCCTTTTGCAGGGAAGGGAGCTGCTGCTGCTGCTGCTGGAACGAAGCTCGAACGGAGCTGCAAACGAGATCAACAAATCTGCCAATAAAGGAGATCAACGGATCTGCAAATGAGAGAAACGAATCTGCAAATGAGACCAACGGATCTGCAAATTAGATCAACGGATCTGCAAAGAAGATTAACGGATCTGGAAAGAAGATTAATAGATCCGCAAAGGAGATCAACGGATCTGCTGGGACGAGCTGCTGGAAGGAGGTGTTTCTGGTGTCATTTCAGAGTAAGTATTTGTCTAATGCTTCATCTCCACACTCGCTGTGTTGCTTGCTTTCGCCTTGTCTTTACAATATCAAGCTTTTTGAAAAGAGATGACATTGTTTTGTTGCCTGGTGCAGGGAAGGAGCTGCTGAAAACGAAGAAAACTGAAGCTGCTCGTCCAATTGAAGCCACCCATCCGCCATCCGCCATCACCATCCACCTCCCCGCCATTCACTGGCTCTCCAACTTACATCCCAAGGTAAGTTATATTGCGCTAAAGTTCATTTCGTTGTCACTTTTGCTATTGCTTCATCTCCGCACACTCTTTCGTGCTTGCTTTCTTTTTTTCTTTTCTATATACCTTGGTGATTTCTAATTTAGTTTGGTGGTGTTGTGCAGGAATCCAAACGCCACATCTGGTGTTGAACGTACTCCATTGTTGCTGCTGAAGTCCAAGAGAAGTCACATGCGTGGGTGCTGCTCAAGTCTAAACGAAGGCATCACGCCTTTCACCGGATCTCCAACTCAAATCCCTAGGTATGTTCATTTTGCACCAGAGCTAGTTCCTTGTCAGTTGCTTTTGCTTGATCTACTCGCTTCCGTGCTTGCTTTCTCCCTGCCTTTACGATATAGCTCTGATTCCGAACTCTGCTTGGTGGCCTTTTTGCAGGATTCCTACCTCTGGAGTCGAAATGAACTCCATTGTTGCTGCCGAAGTCAGAGAGAAGCCGCGTGCGTGATGCTGCTGACGCCGAAGACAAGTCACGTGGTGCTGCTAAATCTGAAGACAAGTCACGTGGTGCTGCTGAAGTCAACGAAAAGGCATCCTTGGGTTTCTTTCATCCATCCGCCATCCACCACCGCGCCTTTCACCGGATCTTCAACTCAAAGTCCCGAGGTATGCTTTTTTGCATCAGAGAGTTAGTTGTTCCTTGTCAGTTTTTGCTAGTTCTTTATCTCCTTTCTCGCTTCCGTGCTTGCTTTCTCCCTGCCTGTACGATATAACTCGGATTTCTAACTCAATTTGGTGGCCTTGTTGCAGGAAACCAACCGCTACTTCTGGAGCCGAAATGAACTCCATTGTTGCTGCTGAAGTCAAAGAGAAGCCGCGTGCGTGGTGCTGCTGACGTCGAAGACAAGTCACGTGGTGCTGCTAAATTCGAAGACAAGTCACGTGGTGCTGCTGCCCAAGTCAACAAGAAGGCATCCTTGGGTTTCCTCCATCCACCCGCCATCCACCACCGCGCCTTTCACCGGATCTCCAACTCAAAGTCCCGAGGTATGTTCGTTTGCACCAGAGAGTTAGTTGTTCCTTGTCAGTTTTCGCTATTGCTTGATCTCCTTTCTCACTTCCGTGCTTGCTTTCTCCCTGGCTTTACGATATAACTCGGATTTCTAACTCACTTCGGTGGCCTTGTTGCAGGAAACCAACCGCTACTTCTGGAGCCGAAATGAACTCATTTGTTGCTGCTGAAGTCAAAGAGAAGCCGCGTGCGTGGTGCTGCTGACGTCGAAGACAAGTCACGTGGTGCTGCTAAGTTTGAAGACAAGTCACGTGGTGCTGCTGCTGAAGTCAACGAGAAGGCATCCTTGGGTTTCCTCCATCCGCCATCCACCACCCCTCCTTTCACTGGATCTCCAACTCAAAGTCCCGAGGTATGTTCGTTTGCACCAGAGTTAGTTGTTCCTTGTCAGTTTTTGCTATTGCTTTATCTCCTTTCTCGCTTCCGTGCTTGCTTTCTCCCTGCCTTTACAATATAACTCGGATTTCTAACTCACTTTGGTGGCCTCGTTGCAGAAAACCAACTGCTACTTCTGGAGCCGAAATGAACTCCATTGTTGCTGCTGAAGTCAAAAAGAAGCTGTGCGTGGTGCTGCTGACGTCGAAGACAAGTCACGTGGTGCTGGAGGAGCTGCACGGCACTTCAACTTACCTTCAACTCCTTGTCAAGTAAGTCCTCCTTCCGTTCTGTCCATCCCTTCTCCTTGCGCTCTCCCGAACATGATTCAGTTTCCGTTTTTCCAGCCATGTTTCTTTCCCTTTACTAACTTGGTGCATTAATCCTGTACAGAAAACGAGGAGCTGAAGGCAAGGAGCTGCTGGGAGGCGCTGCTGGGAGGAGGCGCTGCCTTTGTACCCTCAAAGTAAGTTCCTGCTCCGATTCTTGCTACTGCAGTATGCTGCATTTCAATTCCACGTGTTTCATTTCAATTCAGAATTTGTTACACAATTCATTATACTGACTCAATGTTTTTGCCCTGTGCAGGAAACAATGATTCCGCCGCGCATGGGGGCTGCCTGGGTGCCTCGACCAGGAGGGGGCTGAGCTGTGGCTGAGACGTGGCCAAGGCTTGATGGGGCCTTGGAATGGCAAGCATGGGACAGCATGCGAGGGTGCTTTCCCACACTGGGGAGGGTGTGGGGGGCAGAGGGCGGAGCCTGCTCCAGTGGTGATGTGATGTGCAACCGGGCCGGGACGTTTTTGGAGCCCTGACGGTGTGCAGTCGGCCGGCCGGCTTCTGCACATTGGAGGGAGGTTCAGGCCTCTGAAAGCGTTCTGGGCACCCGGATGGCCAGGTAGCATCACTGCTGGAGTGGGTGACGTTCTCTTCAAGTCAGCATCACACCGGGGCGGGTGTGAGGGGCTTGAGCTCTCATGAGGCCTGATCACACTGGGGTGGGTGTGAGGCTCTCAGCCACTTAAGAGAGAGAGAGTAGTCCACACCGGCGTGGGTGTGGAGAAATCTCCTCTTTCCACACAAGGGTTTTCCCACACTGGGGTGGGTGTGGGGGGCTCTGTCTCGGTCACTTAAAAGGCTTTCTCACACCGGGGTGGGTGTGGGGGGTTCTCGGTTCCCTAGGCTAGTCCACACCCAGGTGGGTGTGGCTAGACCTCAGCAACTAAGGGGAAGACCGCACTGGGGTGGGTGTGGCTAGAGCAAGCCCGTTTCAGCCCTGCTGGAATGGTTTGCTTTACAAAGGGAAAGACCACACTGGGGTGGGTGTGGCTAGAGCAAGCGCAATGTTGCTTTACGTCGGAGGGATTTTTAGCCGAGTTACACGGCAGTACCCGTGACGCAACGCCTCCGGGTCTCAGCCCGTAAGCATCGCGCCAGGAGATGCTGATGGGACGGATTTTTATCCCTGGCTCTGATGGTGAGGCCTAAAAAAAAAAAAAAAACAAAGCGAGAAGGTGGCTGGCTGGATGGATAAGTGAAGGGAGAAGGATGGTGAAAGGTGGCTGGCTGGATGGAGAAGAGGAGTCTTTCCATGGTGGGATGGCCATGGAGGGCTGGATGATGGCGAATGGCTGGTTGGATGGTGGATGGTGCAATGGAAAAATGGAGCAGAGTTGCAGTGAAGCTGCTAACTCTTTTAGGGGAAAAGTTCTAGGGTGGAAGACTTCTAGGGGAAAAGTTCTAGGGGGAAAGTTCTTGGGGAAGGGGAAAAGTTCTAGGGGGAAGACTTCTAGGGGTAAGTTCTAGTGGGGAAGACTTCTAGGGGAAAAGTTCTAGGGGGAAGACTTCTAGGGGGAAAGTTCTACCGGTAGGGGGAAAGACTTGGGGGAAATGTTCTAGGGGGGAAGACTTCCAGGGGAAAAGTTCTAGTGGTGAAGACTTCCAGGGAAAAAAGTTATAGGAGGGAAGACTTAAAGGGGACTACCGTACTTCTAGTGAAGCAATTGAGCTGTGAACTTCTAGGGACCGGGTACTGGTATGAATGCAATTCTAGGGGCAAAGACTTCTGATCCAAGGGACTAGTTCTAGGGGTAAGGACTCCTGATCTGAGGGACTAGTTCTAGGGGTAAGCACTTCTGATCCGAGGGACTAGTTCTAGGGGGAATAGCTTTATTGAGAAGCAGTGGAGTGTGAACTTCTAGGGGACTTGGTTGCTCTTCATGTGAAATTCTTCTAGGGACTACGAATGCAATTCAATGCTCTCTCATGTGCACTTCTTCTAGGGGGCACACAGTGCAATTCAATACCATACTCATGTGCACTTTCTAAGAGACTACGGTATGCATGTTCATTACGGTACATGCCAAACTAGTCCCCGAAGTTGAATCATTCTACGGTACATATAAACACGATTTTGCAGTGCCGTAAATTGAGGTCACCCCATTGCACGAAAGGACTCCTGTGCGGGAAAGGTGTGAGAATCTTGTCTCCAAAGAGCTCCAGCTTGTTAACGTGAGTCCTCAAAGTACCCATGCCCCCATCCTCAAAGTACCCATGCCCCCATCCTCAAAGTACCCATGCCCCCATCCTTACAACACTCCTTGTGAGTCAGCTCAAGAGTTTCGAGGATGCAGGCAGAAGCGGCTTGAGGAAGGACTCCTGTGCGGGCATTTTGTTCCAAAAGAGCTGAGCATCTCATCTCCAAAGAGCTACGAAGATGCGGGAACGAGCGGCTTGAGGAAGGACTCCTGTGCGGGCATCTCATCCCAAAAGAGCTGCAGCTTGTCCCCTGGGTGAAACTTCTTGGTCGCTCCCTCCTTGTCAATCTGTGGGGGGTGGGAAAATGCAGAAGTCGTGTGGAATCGGGTGTGCGTAAGGCTTAACACGAGCACTTGAGAAACGGAAGGCTTAACACGAGCACTTGAGAAACGGAAGGCTTAACACGAGCACTTGAGAAACGGAAGGCTTAACACGAGCACTTGAGAAACGGAAGGCTTAACACGAGCACTTGAGAAACGGAAGGCTTAACACGAGCACTTGAGAAACGGAAGGCTTAACACGAGCACTTGAGAAACGGAAGGCTTAACACGAGCACTTGAGAAACGGAAGGCTTAACACGAGCACTTGAGAAACGGAAGGCTTAACACGAGCACTTGAGAAACGGAAGGCTTAACACGAGCACTTGAGAAACGGAAGGCTTAACACGAGCACTTGAGAAACGGAAGGCTTAACACGAGCACTTGAGAAATGGAAGGCTTAACACGAGCACTTGAGAAACGGAAGGCTTAACACGAGCACTTGAGAAACGAGCACTTGAGAAACGAGCACTTGAGAAACGAGCACTTGAGAAACGCAACCGGAAACAAGTGTAGGGAGGAGCAGGGAGAACCGCACCATGCACATAGGCCAGGGCAGTAAAATAGGATTGTGAAGGACAGCAGAGAGACAGCACGCGGGAGTGCAGGTTTTTTCACAAGACACGCAAGTAGAGACATTTGAGCGGCGTGGCAGTTTTAAGGAGAGGCAACACTACTGAGGTAAGGTGCAGGGGACCCACCGTGACGGTGCGCACGCATCCCCCACTCGCCCCGTCGCGAGCCATGGCTAGTGACACTGCCTTGACTACATAGGCCTGCCAGGACACGCACGCGGGCAGACAGGGGAAATGAGGTCAGGTGAGGCGATGAAGGGGAGTGACACCACCTTCACTACATCGGCCTAGCATGGACGGACACACATGCAAGGAAAGATGAGATCAGTTGAGGCACTAAGCACAGGGCACAGGTCAGAGGGCAGAGGGCAGAGGGCACAGGGCACAGGGCACAGGGCACAGGGCACAGGGCACAGGGCACAGGGCACAGGGCACAGGAGCGCATACATCCCCCACACGCCCCGTTGCGAGGCACAAAGCTCAGAGCACAGAATACATGACTGAGGAATAGTTAAATGCACCCCCAAGCCATCATTCAGCTTATGTAACGCAGCCTCACGTCTGCCCCCTCCTTGCCCATGCACACCCATGCACACCCATGCACACCTCATGCACACCTCATGCACACCTCATGCACACCTCATGCACATTTTAGAGTGCACATCACAAAATACACAGGCGGACTATGGCGAATCACATCTGTTGTTAGCACCACAAAACAAAAGAATCAACTCAACATTTCCTCCTTGAAGTACACGTCACAGAAGTTGTAAATGGACGACAGGGGAGCTGACCTTCCATGTTCCTCCTTGCTCATGCCCTCCTTGAAGGCAAAGAGGTATGAGGAGCCCGGCCCTCCAATGCGCTTAATGATGTACAGATGCGCTTAATGATGTACAGATGCGCTTAATGATGTACAGATGCGCTTAATGATGTACAGATGCGCTTAATGATGTACAGATGCGCTTAATGATGTACAGATGCGCTTAATGATGTACAGATGCGCTTAATGATGTACAGATGCGCTTAATGATGTACAGATGCGCTGACAGAGCCTTACGACAAAAGGAAGCCTCACCTCGGCCTCCTCCTTGCTCGTGTCTTTCTTGATAATTGCGTCACAGAAGGCAAAGAGATACGAGGAGCCAGACCCGCCGATGGCGAAGGGCGCAAAAAGTACATCTCCTTCCTAAACCCACAATTCTGTATTCAACCCCTTGACCCCTTGACCCCTTGACCCCTCACCTCCGCCTCCTCCTGGCTCATGCCCTCCTTGAAGGTGGCATCGCAGAACGCAAAGAGGTACGAGGAGCCAGAGCCCCCAATGGCGAAGGGCGCCTTGAGCAGCGTGCCTCCCTGCGGCAGTGCGTACACTGACGCCCCGTCGTACTGGTCCCACCCGCCCACTATCATGCCCGCTGATAGCATGTTCTGTTGGGATGAGAGTGCAGGGGGGATGAAGGTAAAGGGAGGATAAAGGTAAAGGGAGGATAAAGGTGAAGGGAGGATAAAGGTGAAGGGAGGATAAAGGTGAAGGGAGGATGAGGCAGAAATGAGGATGAAGCAGCGCGAAAACTGATGCTCCATCCTACTGGTCCCACCCGCCCACTATCATGCCCGCTGATAGCATGTTCTGCGGGATACGGAAGGATGAGAGCGCAGGGAAGAAGGGAGGAGGGGGGACGAGTGCGGAATGAGGACGGTCATGCATGTTGACAACATGTTGTGCCGCAGCAACGAGGAAATGGAATTGCGAGGCAGTCGACAAAACGTAAACCATAAATGGAAGGAATATATGTTAAAAAAAGGAAGGGGAAACATGGGATGGAAGAGGGGGGGGAGGGCGGGAGGGAGTGGGGGCGAGGGGGTGGGATGTTCGGGAGAATAGTGTATATAATAGCATATGGGTGCTAATAGGTTGTGGACAAGAAGGAGTCACCTTGTTGTGGTAGCTGATCTGCTTGACGACATTCGCCACCGTCTTCACATCCGTGGGCTTGCCCAACTCCATCCTGATGCCATGCCATGCCATGCCATGCCATGCCATGCCATGCCATGCCATGCCATGCCATGCCATGCCATGCCATGCCATGCCATGCCATGCCATGCCATACCATGCCATGCCACCCCACGGGATGAGTTGAGGTGGAAGGCTTATGATGTGAGAAGGTGTGATACAATGCAATGTTGTGATGTGATGTGATGTGATGCGATGTGATGTGTGCAAACATGTGTGAACAAAGTCAAGTTGCAGGTCCAACCATAAGCTATGCACAAACAACCAATTCACAACATGTGCATAAAGATCTCGAAGAGTCGCTGGTAGTATGCATAGACCAGAACCGGAGAGAAGAATCATGTAATAAATGTGCACTCATTGCTGGCACCCAAATCCTGGAAAAAACATCTCAGCCCGAATTCACTCACTATGCTGGCAAGGTGGTAGCGTGCAAAGGTGGACACCGCTACCTGCACTCCCTGCTGCCACCGACACTCACATCGTTGAGTAAGCTCTGCACTCACTGGTGTTGCGAGAGGTAGTAGCGTGCATAAATGGATACTGTCTGTGTGTCTTTGTTGCTATCCTTACACAAGTAAGCTCTGCACTCACTGGTGTTGCGAGAGGTAGTAGCGTGCATAGGTGGAGACTGTCTGTGTGTCCGCAGCCTGCAGAGGAAAAGAGGGTTGCAACCAGATGTTAGGAACGCGAGAGCGTCAGCAAAAAAGGTTGACAGCCAGAGAAGATATCTAGGTTAATATTCAGCCAAACATCTAGATTGACATTCAGGCAGACTGACATTCAGGCAGACTGACATTCAGGCAGATTGACATTCAGGTAGACTGACATTCAGGTAGACTGACATTCAGGTAGACTGACATTCAGGTAGACTGACATTCAGGCAGACTGACATTCAGGTAGACTGACATTCAGGTAGACTGACATTCAGGCAGATTGACATTCAGGTAGACTGACATTCAGGTAGACTGACATTCAGGTAGACTGACATTCAGGTAGACTGACATTCAGGCAGACTGACATTCAGGCAGACTGACATTCAGGCAGACTGACATTCAGGTAGACTGACATTCAGGCAGACTGACATTCAGGCAGACTGACATTCAGGCAGACTGACATTCAGGTAGACTGACATTCAGGCAGACTGACATTCAGGTAGACTGACATTCAGGTAGACTGACATTCAGGCAGACTGACATAAAGCAGACTGACATAAAGCAGACTGACATAAAGCAGACTGACATAAAGCAGACTGACATAAAGCAGACTGACATAAAGCAGAGTGACAGTACTGAGTAAGTTGAAGCAGAAACAGGGCAGTTGCCTTCATTAGAAACTGAAATCCCTTCCAACAGCTGAGATTGGAATCACTCACAGATCCCGATCGGCAGAGATAAGCGAAGTCTGTGAGGGCAGTGATCTTCTCAGACGCTCTGTTGCTGATGTAAGTGCCTGGCGACCGCAGCAGGGGAAAGACACGGGAGATCATGGGAGAGGAGGGAGTGAGAGGGCCATCAGAAAGCACGAACAGCAGTGATACTCTCAGACGCTCTGTTGCTGATGTACGTTCCTGGCGATGGCGCAGGTGACGCCAAGTGAGAAGGCACGGGAGAAGGGGAGGAAAACGCAGGAGAGAAGAGAATGAGAAGGCCAGAGAGGGACCGATGGAAGGACGTGACTTGAGGAGAGAACGAATGAACGAAACAAAGGAACGGACGAACTGACGAACGGACAAGGAAAGAACGACGAGCGACGAAACCGTCTCAACTTGAAACGCGAATTGACGAGTATTCCTGAAACAATTCGATATTACCTGTGGTAACCCGAGTATCAGCGCCAAGCACGACACCCCCATCGTACGCCACTCCCATAATGGTCGTCTGCCGGAGAAGCAAGGGAAGCACGCGGTTCAAGCAAAAAAAAAAGAGAACAAACTGCTAGATTAGAGCCAAACCAACTGTTGCGTCTACAGTTGACTGAATCAGGGCGAAGGGGAGTTAAAATTTGGACCAAGCGAAGGTGAGGAGGAAAAGAAACTGCGACAATCCCAAGGAAAGCGCAGTTAGAATGGTGAAAGCAAGGCCTAGAGGGAGACCTGACACACGGGAGGTGGAAACGGTTCTGCGAATTCGCTGACCGGAAAAACACCAGAAGATTTTCATAAATCTGGCTACTCTGAGCCATTTAGCAAGTATTAACCACACGAATGATATGATTCTACTGTATTCACGAAGAGACTCTTGCTGATGCGTTTGGGAAAACAAATCCGTTCATTCTGGCACATTTAGCGTTGGGAAGTTACGCGTATGATTCCTATCAATCCAGATAAGCTAGCAACAGCTCAAGGGCTCGTTATCGTGTGCTGACACGAATATTATAAGCGTAACGTCCGTGTGCAGATCGCTTCCTGGAAAAGCTAAGCGCTGACGGCGACGCACAGAGGAGCAGCTGGAGCAATCGAAACCATTTCCGAAGCGCCTCACAAGCACGCTAGCTGCTGCTGGGATCTGAATCAGGATCTATTGTTAACGTAAGGAGAAGTAACAGATAATCTGTGCTGGAACACCCACCCCGGTTGATACGGCTCCATACGAGCTCGCGCAATCCACCTCCATGACGACGCGACACTTCGCCGACCAACTTAGTTTGGGTCGAGCAGAACAGAGACTACTAAGTCTACCGTCTGAAACTACCGCGCGTAGCTCGAATCGCGGTAACGAACAACAAGGGATACTGCCTCTAAGCTTTTAGGAACCAGGTAATACGGCGGTGACGCGATCTGAGAAGTGAGCGTGGGAAATGTCGTGGGTGGGGGTGAAGTGGAGAAAGGCATGCTTCACATTCATGCTGCTTACTTCGGTGCGCAATGGTGGAAAGCGGTCATGCTCTGAGACAAAGCTACTGAACCACGAAAATTGCAAGCAAAACAAAGCTAGAGGATCAAGAGAGTGGAGTGCGCTTATCGTTTTAGTGTTTCGGGCTTTTAGCTTCTGATATAATTGTTGTGACCGCTTTTCTTCAGCTTTTGTGGATCAAGGAATCAACGCAAATTCAGATACAGGCTGGCAGCGTGGACACGTTTCAGTGCTACTAAATGGAGTGCTGGGATTTCTTTGAAGGTGCCTACAATGTTTCAGTGCTTCGGGTTCCGCCTGTAATCCTATAGATACGTTTTGGTTGACTTGTGAATCTCTTCAATGCTTGATGGAGCGCCAGTACTCCTGAAGATACATTATACGTCGACTCGTGCTTTGGTTCAATGCTTGATGGAGCGCTTGTACTCCTTGAAGGTGCCGTTGAAGGGCTTAGCCACTCCCTTGTCCACCGCCCATAGCTGGTCCACACTGCCACTGATCAGATGCTCGTCGTGACTCACCTGTGGATGGAGGGTTGCAGGGTGGAGGGAGAGAGGGAGAGTGGGGGATGGGGGTGAAAAAGAGTGGCGGTCAGACGAGCACAGCTGGCCCACAAGTAGGGCTTGGCCACTCCCTTGTCCACCGCCCACAGATGGTCCACACTGCCACTGATCAGATGCTCATCGTGACTCACCTGTGGATGGAGGGTTGCAGGGTGGAGTGAGAGAGGGAGAGAGTGGGGGGTGGGGGTGCAACAAGGAGGCAGTCAGTGAGATGAGCACAACTGGCCCACACGAAGGGCTTGGCCACTCCCTTGTCCACCGCCCACAGCTGGTCCACACTGCCACTGATCAGATGCTCGTCGTGGCTCGCCTGTGAGCGGAAGGGGAGAAGGGGGAGGGATGGGGGTTGAAGGGTTGGGGGAGAAAAGAGAGATGCATTCAGAGGAGCACAGGTCGAGAGGAGGATGAGAGGGTGAAGGTAGAGAAGAGAGGCAGTCAGACGAGTACAGCTGGTCTTCACTGCCGCACATGGAATGCCCACATTGACTCAAGTGGCAGAGGGAAAGGGGAGGAAGGGAGAGGGCGGGGGTTATGGGGGGTTGACAACAGAAGTGGGAGAGTTGATGAATTAGGCAATGAAAAACAAGCACAGCAACGACAGCCAATTGCTGCTAGCGTGCGGGAAATACCATAACATACGACCTTCCATGCATGTGCCATCTCATCCCACACTGCACCCCATCCAACTGCACCACTATCGCCCACTCTCCTCTCCCCTAATTTCCTACCTATCAGTGCCTCACAAGGCTCAACATGAGAATACTCTATATGAGACGCCTCAACAAGAGACAAGGCTCACCATGAGAACACCGCCTTGGAAGAGAGCCAGGCCCTGGATCAACGCCTCCACTGCATCTATGTCCTGATGGGGGGAGAAGGGACAGGAGGGTATGAGCAGAGGAGGTGGAGGGGAAGAGAGGAGTTGAGTGCGGTTACAGAAGAAGAGAGCAAGGCCCTGAATCAATGCCTCCACTGCAACAATGTCCTGATGGGGAGGAGGGGACAGGAGGGGAGGGCATGGTGAAGACACGAGGTGGAGAAGAAGAGAGGAGTTGAGTGCGGTGGTGGCAGAAGAGAGCAAGGCCCTGAATCAATGCCTCCACTGCATCAATGTCCTGATGGGGGGAACAAACAAGAGGGGAGGGAATGAGAAAGAGAGAGGAGTGGAGAACGGAAAAGTAAAAAAGGCCAAGAGCACAAAGGGCAAAGAGGGCAGGTGGATACATTGACAAGAATATGAGAAATTGAGGAAATGAGTGCACTGATGGAAACAGAGACCGAGGCCCTGAATCACCACACCCACAGCATCGAGCAACTGAAGAAGCGATGGGCAGAAGAGTCCAAACAGAGGGCATAAAGGGCCGTCAGAAAACAGCAAGGAAGGCATGCTGGACGAGGTTGTGCGTGAGGGTGAGGTGAGGTTCCTCCGAGGAGCTTGTACCAGATGGTTGGAGGGCGTACCAGATGGTTGGAGGGCGTACCAGATGGTTGGAGGGCGTACCAGATGGTTGGAGGGCTCGTCGAGCAGCAGAATGTGCGGCTTGTGGAATGTGATCTTAGCGAAGGACACTCTGCTCTTCTGCCCTCCTGTTATGTGCACGGGCAACACGCAGAACATTAGCTGCGGTCTCAGCAGAAACGTCTATTTTCGACCTTTGCTACTGATTCCTATATGACTTTTGACATTGCTCAGTGGACCCCTAAGAATGCATGAGATACAAGCACAAGAGCAGGGGAGGAGGAGGGGGCGTAGCAGACCTGACAGCGTGTACATGGGCTGCAGTGCTAGATTGCCTCCCAGCCCAAAGGAGCCCAGATGCGCCCTCAGCTTCTGCTCCGGTACTCCCTGGGCGGTGGGGAGAGGGAGAGGGCAGCATTGGCAGGGAGCGGGAGGAGGAGATGCGCGGTGCAGTGGGAGGTGAGGAGAAAGAGTGAGAGGGCCATGCATCCAAACGCGTAAATTCTCCACAAGTGCTACAGGTCCTCATTGATGCATGCATGTATTTACCATCTCGCAAACAATGGGGCTGAAGGAAAGTGCTGGGAAAAGGAGGCCTGAACGGAAGTGACAGGAAGAAGCAGGTGAAAGGGAGGTACCGGGAAGAAGCAGGGGAAAGGGAGGTACCGGGAAGGAGTGCGCCATGTAGAGCAGCGGCGACTTGGAGAGCTCTAGGCCATCGACGTGGTGCTGGGCGAACACCGCCATGCGCACCTGGTGGTCACATAGGGAGGGGTTGGATGGAGGGGGGAGTGCGTGTTGAAGGTTGGAAGCACGGACATGCCAGGTGACATGGATCACAACTGGAGAGCTCGAGACCGTCCACAAGGTGCTGGGCGAACACTGGCATGCGCACCTGGTGGTGTGGAGAATGGTGTTGAGGGTTGGAAATACAAACATGCCATGTGGCATGTGTGACATGCTTGCATGCATGAGAGCTCGAGGCCGTCCACGTGGTGCCGGGCGAACACTGCCATGCGCACCTGTTGCTCTCATGGGGGGTAGTGGTGGCGGGCGTTGCATGGATGGTAGGGGGTGTGATGGGCGTCAAACACCTGCTATGCGGCATGGTTAACAAGCATGCCTGGTTGGAACGATGCATGAAGATCATGATGTCAACAGCATGGGGCTCGAGCCCGACCACATGCTGCTGAGCAAACAACACTGCCATGCGCACCTGGTGCTCGCACAAGGAAGGTGGCGGGAGGGAGTGGGAGTATGAATGAATAGGCGTCGCGGATTACACGTACATGCCGTGCTGCATGGGTTACATCGGTGCACACCCCCGAGAAGAAGGCATGCAGAACGGATTCTCGGTCAGGGTTTGGGAAGAAACTCTTACCTTGGGGGAGCGGAATGCAGTGCCGGAGGTGGGCTTGAGCTCGCCCGATATGAGCTTGAGCAGCGTGGTCTTGCCTATGCCGTTGGGGCCCACGACTGCATGGGTGGGGACAGGGAGGGAGGAAGAAAAAGATTGGGGTGGGCGGGTGTGAGATGAGCTTCAGCAGCGTTAGGAACCACGACTGCGTCGTGGGAGGGCGGGGGAGGAGGACGGGGAAGAGGCAACACGATGGTGAGAATAAATGGCAGTTGGGGGGGGGGGGGGGGGGACAGGGGGGGACGGGGGGGAGGAGGAGGGGAGGAGGAGGGGAGGAGGAGGGGAGGAGGAGGAGGGGAGGAGGAGGGGAGGAGGGAGGGGAGGGAGGAGGGGGGGGAGGACGGGGGGAGGGGGGGGGGTGGGGGGTGAGGACAGGGGGAGGAGGGGGGTGAGGACGGGGGGAGGCGAGGAAGGGCGAGAGGTGGCAGGGTGAGTTGAAGGAGGTGGTGAGACGTAAACATACAAGAGAAGTAAGGCCCAGCAGCATAGCAACAGCTAAGGCACAAATGGAAGTGGGCTGCTGAGGTCAACTCAAAAGTCATTGCAGGATGCACATGGCAGCACGGCAGGAGGCAAGGCAGCTAATGAGCATACCAAGAGGCACATACGAGCATGGCAAGAGGCACATACGAGCATGGCAAGAGGCACATACGAGCATGGCAAGAGGCAGATACGAGCATGGCAAGAAGCACATACGACCATGGCAACAGGCACATACGACCATGGCAACAGGCACATACGACCATGGCAACAGGCACATACGACCATGGCAACAGGCACATACGACCATGGCAACAGGCACATACGACCATGGCAACAGGCACATACGAGCATGACAAGAGGCAGGGGGCACATACTGGCAAGTCGGCTGTCAAGGTCAATGCCAAAGTTGAGGTTCTTGAAGAGCAGAGGCCCGCCAGGGTAGCCAAAGGACACATCGCTGCAGGCAGGTAAGGAACGGGAGGAGGAACACGGGGGTGATCGACTGGCAGAGATAGAGCGTCGACTCCCAGAGATAACTATTAGAGACACAACGGACATTCACCTTTACTGAATCGATGTCAGCATGCGAGTATGCGAAATGTGGGTCTGTGAAGAATGAGCAATTCGTCAGCATTGTGACACAACCCATCGCATTCCCCATTGAGTACAGTTCAAGCACGTGCCACCGAGAGTGCACTGACCTTGCTCATGTTACACCAGCAACTGGATACCACAGTGCCAGGGACAGAGCTATGGGCAATGTGAGTGCCACAGTGCCTCTCACGTGAAGCTGATGAGGGGCACATGTGGCCCATACTCAGCCTAGTGTTGAGTCGCCTCAACAGTAGACCAATGCCACTCCCATGCAGCCAACATTGGTGCAACTCACATGCGGCCAGCACCACCGGTGTGGCAGGGCTACTCACGTGAAGCTGATGATGGGCGCCTGTGGCCGGTCCTCTGGCGTGGGGAACTCAAAGCGGTACCTGCGAATAGAGTAGGGGGTTGGGTGGGGTGGGTTGGGATGGGGCGGGATGTGGTGTGGTGGGATGGGGTCGAGTGGGGCGGGGACGAATGGGATGGGGTGGGGTTGGGAGGAGTGGGATGGGGTTGGCGGGCCAACTAGCAACAACAGGTTCAGAGGGCTTGAGCGTTTGGCCTAGTCAGCAGGTTAAACCAATGGCAGCAGCAACAAGCAGTGCACGAGATGAGGAGCATGCAATGTGTATAATAACTCTGTTTGCAAATACAGTAAGGAGGTGGGATGGGGTGGAATGGTGGTGATGACGTGGATAACGACGGCATGGCGACAAATGTAGAGCAACAGACGCGGGAGTGACGCCATGTTCAGCGCGAGCTGAGGCAGGTGCGCGCAGAGAATGCGGCGCTGTTGCTCAGACTGGCTGCGGCATACCACTCACTCTGGCCCCACTCAATGCGCGCCCACCACTAACTCTCCACCCTCCAGTCACCCCACCCACTCTGGCCCCTCTCACTGCCCACCCCCCCCTCACTCCCAACCCTCCACGCCCCCCTCTCACTCGGGATCTGCCACCACAGAATCCACAGTGCCGATTCTCTCCAGCGCCTGCAGAGAGGGGGGGAGAGTGAAGTGAAGAGCACAGAGGGGGAGAGGGGCGCAGTGTTGGGCAGGAAAGGGAAGGAGGGGCAAAGAAGGGAGAAGTTCAGAGGAGGAGTAAGGCAGTTGAAGGGAGCGCGCAGAGGGTGGGAGGAGTGTTGACAGGGAGGGGGGTAAGGGCGAAGAAGGGGGAGATTGCATGTGGAAAATTCATGGGAAAAGCGCAAGGGAACAAGGGGCGGGTTGTAGGGGAGAAGACACGATAGCAATGGAATTGAGAAGAAGTGGAATCAGAGTGAGATGGGTGGGTTGAAAAGGGCGGGAGGTTGCACGGGAGAAGTTACAGGAAAAGCGCATGGGAAAGGGGAGCGGGTGGGGGGTAGAGAGGGCACGATGGCAGTGGAATCCAGGAAAGTTGAGCAAGAGTGAGATGCATGGGTGGTGAGGGTGGTGAGGGTGGTGAGGGGCAGAGAGGACATGGGCAGGGCGAAAGGAGACACCTTGATTCGCGACTGCACGAGGGAGGCGCGCTTGGCATTGTAGCGGAACTTGTCAATGAAGGCCTGTGGCAGCAGACGCACACACAGGAAGGCACACAGAGGGGAGGTACGGGGAGGGGAGGCATGTGCACGGGGAGGGACGCACAGGGAGGGGAGGCACAGGGTGGCAGACACACACAGTGGCGTTTCTTTTTAAGTTGTATCCAACCAGGACTGCACGAGGGAGACGTGCCTGGCATGGCACTGTTGTGGAACTTGTCAATGCAGCCCTGTGGTGATGGCTGCACAGGGCGGGGGTGAGACAGGGAGGGAGGCACACAGAAGGAGCACAGGGAGGCACACAGAGGGGACGAGCGCATGTAAAGGGGATTGCACGTGAGGGGGATGGCACGCGATGGGGATGGCAAGCGAGGGGGATGGCACGCGAAGGGATTGCATGCAAAGCATGCTAGGGGGATTGCATGCAAAGCATGCTAGGGGGATTGCATGCAAGGGGCGTGACATGGCACAGCACGGCATGGCAAGGGCGACGCACCTGGATGTGAGCGCGCTTGGCATCGTTGGCCTCGGCCGCCTTGTTCTGATTGCAAATGCGCTCATTGGCATGGCATGCATTGCGTGCGTGCAAGGAGCATGGCGTGCCGGGGGTATGATAATGACACGTCATGTCATGGGACAGATGGCATCGCAAAGAGCGCCCACCTGGATGTGAGCGCGCTTGGCATCGTTGGCCTCGGCCGCCTTGTTCTGGTTGCGGATGCGCTCGTCGCGTGTCTTCTCAAACGTGTCGTAGTTGCCCTACTCGTGCCAAACATGGGGGGGGGTAGTGGAAAAGGGAGTTAGTTGAGATGCAACTGCATACGGGTGACAAGTGAGTCTCCTCAGATGTGACTCTCTTGCCCTGTTCGGGCCAGCCAGACTACCACCGAAAACGATGCGAATGGGGTGGTACAATGGGGAGTGAGTGATAATGCTACTGCATGGGAGTGACAAGTGAGGCTGGGTGACCGAGTTCCTCGGTCTTGAAAGGAAATCCAGAATTATGCCCTAATGGTGTCACAAGAAGAAACGTAGCATGCAGCAGGACGGGAGCCAGTAAGACAGTACCACAATGCATGGGTTTGACAACTGAGGCTTCTCTAACATGCGCTGAACTTGTACCAGGTGAGCTTCAGGCTGTGCAGGTGAACGATGTCCGTGACAACAGTGAAAATGTGTGCGAATGAGTGAGTGTGTGTGCGTGTGTGAAAATGTGTGCGTGCCAGCTCCCACCTTGTAGGTGGTGAGTTTCTGGTTGTGCAGGTGAACGATGTCCGTGACAACAGTGTTGAGGAACTCGCGCGCATGGGACACCACCACCAGCGTCTTGGGCCACGAGAGTAGGTGATCCTCCAACCATAGCACTGCGTGCAGGTCCAGATGATTCTGGGGGGAGAGGGGCATGAGGGGAGGGGGAAGCAGAGACGGGGGAAAAGAGCAAACGAGGCAGGGGGATGGGGAGTCCAAAGGGAGACAGAGTGTGAGGCGCGGGTCAGTAAAGGGCTTGGGCCATGACAGATGGTCCTCCAGCCACAGCAAAGCGTGCAAAACCAGATGGTTCTGGGGGGACAGGGAGAAAAAGAAAGCGGCAGACAAGGAGGGAAGAGCAAGAGAAGTCGACCACTGGCTCCCAGTGCATGCACCATGCATGCATGTCACAACGGACTGCAAGCACCACGACTGAGCCCAGAGACAACCAGCACTCGCCGCGCTTAACCCAGCTGTACCACTCCACTCACCGTGGGTTCATCCAGCAGCAGCAAGTCGGGTTGGATGAAGAGGGCACGGGCGAGGGACACTCGCATGCGCCACCCTCCTGAGAAGGTCCGTGTGGCTCGGTTCTGCATGTCCTTGCTGAAACTCAAGCCCTGCCGAGGGAAGCAACGAGACACAGGGGTGGAGGTGGGGACAAGACAAATGGTCACTTAACGTGCCTCAGATCAGAAGAGAGAGCCACTACGCATCTCAGAAAGGACCACACTCGCATCCACCACTTTCCAGGTCCGCGTGGTATGGCTCTGCATGTCCTTGTTGGTGTAGCTCAGGCCCTGCAGTCTCCACATGGTGTGGCTCTGCATGTCCAAGCCTTGGACCAAGTAGCGCGCGCGGACCACGTCGCGCGGGCGATCGTACCAAGACGCGCGCGCGGACCAAGGCGCGCGCCCGGACCAAGGCGCGCGCCCGAACCAAGGCGCGCGCGCGGACCAAGCGCGTGCCCGGACCAAGGCGCGCGCCCGGACCAAGGCGCGCGCGCGAGGACCAAGGCACGCGCGCGGACCAAGGCGCGCGCGCCAGGACCAAGGCGCGCGCGCGGACCAAGGCACGCGTGGATGTGGGGATGTCAGAGCTCTGAAAAAAATGCTCCTCTTTTGCAAAACGTGAAGGGCTCCCTCAACATTCCTTGCTCTCAATCACAGCAAGGATGGAAGCAGTCCAGGACTCAGCAGAATAAACATCAGTTTTCTCCAACTAGATAACACCTCTGCCCACCACCAGTAACTGCATCCATAACACACTTCCTCCCATCTCCACCTCTCTCACTTACAGCAAGGATGGAAGCAGCCCGGGACTCTGCAGAATACGCATCAATCTCCTCCAACCGCTTATAAACCTCCGCCAACCGCTTCGCCGCCGCCTCATCCTCCCCTGCACCCGCCTCCGCCCCTCCCCCATCCCGCTTCTTCCCCTCCCCCTCCCCACCCGCCTCCCCATCCTCCCCACCGGTTTTCCTCGCTAGAAGCTGCTTCTCTTCCTCTAGAAGCGCTGTGCGTTCGAGGTCGGCACTGAGCACGCATTGTAGGACGGAGGTATCGTCCCCCACCACCTCCTGCTCCACGTGCAGCACCTGGCACGAGCGCGGGATGCCGTCTATGGCATGCATCGCCATGTGCTTTAGGAGCGTGGTTTTGCCTGTCCCGTTGCGCCCGATCAGCCCTGTGCGCACGGACAGGGCAGGGAGACACAGAAAAAGAGACACAGATCGCAGGCAACAAGAACGAGTTCAATCAAATTAAGGGCCGACGAACTGTCTCCTCTTGGTGGGAGAGGAGCACTGCAGGCAGCACGGAGGTATCGTCCCCCACCACCTCCTGCTCCATATGCACCACCTGGCACGAGCGTGGGATGCCATCTATCGCATGCATTGCCATGTGCTTCAACAGGGTAGTTTTTTCTGTCCTGTTGCGCCCAATCAGCCCTGCACGGATGGGAAACGCAGAAGGTGGGATGGGAGCAGTGCAGCACGGCGGTGTCACGAGCGAGGAATGCCGTAAAAGGCATGAATCATCACGTGTTTCAACAGGATGGTCTTTCCGTATCGCTGGCCGAATGCCAGGGTAGTCGACGCATCGCTGATAAGATCTTTCCCCGCCATGGTGACGGTGAAGTTGCTGAGGTGGATGTCCCTCGCCCCGCCCTCCTGTGCTTACCCCCCACTCCCACTCAACCCATCTACACACACTTTCACCGCACTCCACCACTCCATAACCCACCATATCGCTGCCCGAAAGCAAGGGTAATGGAAGCGTCGCTGAAGAGGTCTTTCCCCGCCACGGTGACAGTGAAGTTGCTGAGATGGATGTCCCTCGCCCCGCCCTCCTATGTTTCCCCCCACTCTCCCTCTACCCCTCTCCACCTCTATCGTAACCGCACTACATCGCCCCAAACCTCACCATATCGCCTGCCGAAAGCCAGAGTGATAGAGGCGTCGCTGATAAGATCTTTGCCCGCGACGGTGACAGTGAAGTTGCTGAGATGGATGTCCCTCGCTCCGCCCTCCATGCCATCGCCCCCATGCGACACCGTCACCAGCGGCATTGCCGCAAGTATCGACTCGCTCTCCTTCACGTGCGCCTCGTACGCGTCCTGGGGTGAGCGGAGGCGGACAGGAAGCGGGGGGAAGTGGGAGGGAGAAAGGGAAGATGGAGAGGCGTCACCAGCGGCATGGATGATAACCTCGCTCTCCTTCACGTGTGCTTTGTACATGCCTTGGGGTGCCAAGCAGGGGCGCGGGAGGCGGAAGGGGAAGGTGGGAAGGCGGACAGGGGAGGGGGAAAGAAAGGCGAGAGAGGGTAGGCGAAGAGGGAAGCGGAAGGCAGCAGTATGGCAGTCAAGCAAACATGAGCCTCGCCTTGCTAGCATACATTCTGCAAGGAGATGTGCCTTGTGCAAACAAAAGACTGGACACATTGCCAATCCGTGCAAGCGCAACCCCCCTCTGCCACCTTCTCCCACCTTTCCACCTCCCCACCTTCCCCCGCCTCCCCCCTCCCCCTCTCCCCTCCCACCCCCATCCTCCCCGCACGTGGAAACCCTGAAACCCACCATGCGCTGGCGCTCCTCCTTGCGCTTGTTGCGCTCGAGCTTGCGAAGATCGCGCTCCGTCACGAAATACATGGACTCCTCCTCCCCCTCCGCCGCCACCGCCTGAATCACCCCCGTCTTCCCCTCCCCCAGCAGCGCCTGCTCCGCCATGCCCTCCCCCATGCGCAGCGGCGCCTGCAGGCTCCGCACGTTCTCCGTCGAGGCTGCGGCATGCGCGTCGCCGAACCTGGCGGCTAGGGTTTGGAAGAAGGCGCGCGCGGAGGGAGCGTCCGGGAAGCAGCCGACGTTGAGAAGGAGCGGACCGACGGCGTCGTATGCGAGGTCGCCGCGCAGACCGAAGTCAAACGTCTCATCCTGGCGGAGAGGAGAGGGGGAAGGGGGAGGAATGGGGGAAACGGGGGGAGAATGGGGGGGAAGGGGGGGAAAGGTGGGGGGGAACGGGGGGTGAGGGGGAAAAGTAGATTCGGGACAAGAAGTTCAACGTTAGGAAGCTTGGTTGGGGCGAGCAATACAATTGGCCAAGATTTTGGGTGCGAGGGCCACACTCAACCGAGGTTAGGAAGGTTGAACCAATTTGGGCTTTCTTGGCCCTACGGTGTTAACGACATGTTAGAATTATCAGAAGCGACGGCGTCGTATGCGAGATGGGCTCGCGGACCGAAGTCAAACGACTCGTCCTGGGAAAAGGGGGGGAAGGGTGGGGAGAGCAGATTCGGAACGAGGTCATTACAATGAGTCCTGAAAAGCGTCAGCATCGTACGCGAGCTCGCCGTGCGAACCGAAGCCAAGCGTCTTGTACTGTTGAACGGGGGAATAGAGGAAATAGACTTGGATGTCGTATGAAAGAACAGAATTAGTAGCTCTTGTGTTCAGAATCAACTTCGCAAACCCAAGGCGAACCTTTTCTTGGTAAGGGGACTGAAAAGAGAGATACGAAATGAGAGGCTGGAAACGCTTAAAAGCGTAAGGCGAAATCCCAATACAGACGCCAGGACAATATAAATCGACAGGTCCAGTAAATTAGTCGGCTGCAGCGAAAAGTCGTCAGGTTCAGTGAAGTCAAAAAGGTCCGTCCAGTGCGATATCACGAGATTCAGTGTCGGCATCAGATTCGATAACGTTGACAGATTCAGACACCTCGCGCCATGCAATCAGCTTCGCAGACTAACAGACTAAGGACGGCTTATGACAACGGAGAGCTCTTTCAAGATGATACTAAACCTCGGCTTTAAGGTCTGGAAAGATACGAATGTAAACCTCTCATCGCTCACCTTTAAGACGTTAACGACATAGTCTATGATAATGGGGTCCACTTCGTTTGCAGTGGGACCAAGTCCCTGACGGATCGCGGTTGCAATTTCGGCCATGGCTGACTAAAAATCCGCAAGGTGTGACTGGAAGGGATGATTCTCATTCGAGGAAGGAAATATGAAGGCAAATGCTTGAGAATACCGATGTACTCGATATTGTATGTTCCGCGTCGCAGATTTCTATCTATGAACACATCTCAGCAGTTTCTAAAAAGTATGCCATAATGCCACCAAAGGTACAATCATCCATGTACTGTACCGTGTAGTTTTTCCAAAAAACAAAAAAAAAACTAGAGATTTCCATATTTTGAATCCAATGAACAGAATTTTCAGTTAGGAAAGTACTATATTTTTCCGATTTTAGCGGTTCGAATTACTATTTTTACTACCTCTGTAAGTTCTGTAACCCTCCTGGAATGTCCGTATACACACCCAGTCAGATTGCTCTAACGGGGCTCAAAATAGCCGCTCTCTCCTTGCAACCCCCAGCAAGCCACAATTTCGCTCACTGACAGTCAACCACCCCTCACCACAAACTTCATCAAGCCATCTCCAGCTTCGTATCGCTCGCTGCCCACTTCGCGAGTCAAGGTGCTAGAGCAAGCGGCGTCAAGCAATCTCTACTTCCCCGTCACACACGAGAGGTTGCAGCCGCTCGTCTGCTCGCTCCGTACATGGCCATGAGGCAAGGCAAGGTCAAGGCCAGGATGCACGCTACCTTTCCATCACCCGCCTCCTACACGCACTTGCGCGTCACGCCGGCATCCGTGACCTCGCGAGGTCATAACCTATCCGTGTGGCCGAGCTTCGAACGGCTCCTACTATTCGTACACAAAGTGGCGGGACCGATGTTGCATGATTTCTTGAGCGGGAAACTCGAGGTACTAGAATAGCCTCTGCCGAGACCAGAAAAGCTACAAGGTTGATAACGAGTAGCTTTTGACAGAAGACATTCCGGCGAGACATCCCGGCATCCGTACGGCAATGGAGACTCTTTTCGTTAAGCACAAGACGCGTCATGTCGTACGGCGCCGTACGCGCTACAATCCAATTCGTTTCTCAACATGGAGCTGCTTCACGCTGATATTGTTCGTGTCTTTGTTCTTGACTGGCAGTGCAAGCAGCACGCCCGGTTTCTCAGTCCTGACCGATGTTTGATCTTTTTTCAGTCATCAGTTTTCGCGGGAAACCAGGACAATGGAGGTCCAGACCAGTAATCCTACGATGCGCCACGATCAATATTCGCGGGAAACTATTATGGATGCCGCGGGCAAGAGGACGAGTAACGGGTCGCTGGTGCTCAAACCTCCCGAATTTCCCACATCTGAAGGACGCAACGGCGGAAGTCGACGAAAGCTACTTTCCGCTAACGACTGGTCACCTGGAGCATCTCGGCGGAATCGAGGCACTCATTTCGCATCAGCGGGTGATTTGCGAAATGCGATCGACAGCAAGCGCCTTGAAGCTGTCGATCTCAACCCTAATCCGCCTCCGAGCGCTCTTTCGCGAAAGGGCCGGCGACGGCTTACAGCAGTAACCAGCAGGCGAAAATATGCGACTTGCGCCAAAGCCCTCCGCTGCCCAGAATTCCGGATGTGCGAAGACGCGGGTTTCGAGGATATTTTCGTCTGCCATAATCCGGATTACAAGGATCTAGCCCCGCGAATCGCGGCGCAGCACAATGCCTAAGCCCCGGGGAAACGATGAATATGTGGGAGTGGAGGAGGAGGAAGAAGACGAAGAGGAGGAGGAAGGGGGAGCAGACGGGGAAGGGGCGGAAGAAAAGGAAGGGGGAGGCGGGGGAGGCGGTACCGGGGGGGAAGGGGGTGGTGCTCCCGACATGGTGTGGTCAGGGCGGGTGTTTGCGCTGCACGACGTGTATGTGAACAACAAGGGGCAGGTGTTCAACTCCACGCACGTCTTCAACCCCAATGGCTGCTACACCGAAGACAAGGTGCGTGTGCGTGGGGGTGGAGGGAGGGGGGGGGGAGTGACGAAGAGAGGGGGGTTGAGAAAAGAGGGCGTTGGGGTTGGGGGGCTGGAAGGGGGAGGAGCGTGGCTGCTGGAAGGGGGAAAGTGGGAAGGCGGGGGAGGAGCTGGGAAGGAGAGGGTACCTCAGTAGTATCCCCTCTCTCCTACCTTCCCCAGTTACACTACAAGTCCGGCATGCGCGACCCCTCCTACAACTCGCTGGTCAACCTGCTGGTCATCGAGAGCACCTCCGAAGCCTCCTACTGCTCTTCCCTTCTCTCCCCTCCCCCCCCCTTCCTCCCCCACCCTCTGCTACAGTTCCACTACGCGGCAGGCACGCGCGTCTCCTCGCACAACTCGCTGGTCAACCTGCTGGTCATCGGGGCCACGCCCAGTGCACGGCTGCCCTTCCACGACGCCCATGGGGGTATGCAGAGCAGAGAAGGTCATTGGAAGCAAGCACCTCCCACCCTGTCTCACACCACCCCGTCCTCTCCACCCCACCTCCTCTCCCCTCGAGAACAGTTTCACTATGAGTCGTGTGTGTCCTCACACGACTCGCTGGTGAACCTGCTGGTCGTGGGGGCCACGCCCAGCGCCTGTCTGCCCTTCCACGAGATCCTTGAGCTCGTGCCGCTCTTCCTTGAGCTCGTGCCGCTCTTCCTTGAGCTCGTGCCGCTCTTCCTGCCGCTCTGCTGTGTGCTCAAGAAGCACGGAAAGCCGGCACTCGTCATGCGCGTAGTGTGCAGACGTGCATGGGAAAGGAAAGGGCCATCACCTCAGCCATCCCCTCTGGCCTCCCCGCACTGCCAGCTCCTCAGCCATCCCCTCTGGCCTGCCTCTCCTCTTTCTCCCCCTCCTTCCCTTCCCTCTCCTCCCGTGCAGCCCACGTTCCAGCACTGCCAGCAACCCAGCCCCTCCCTCTGGTCCAAACTCCCACTTTTGAGCTGCCAAAACACAAACGTGCTCTCAGAAGGTGCCGCGTCCCTTATCTCACAACTCTCCCCCCCTCTCTCCACCCCACCCACAGCCCACCTTCCAGCACTGCCAGCAACCCAGCCCCTCCCTCTGGTCCAAACTCTGCACCTCCCACTTCCTGCAACCCCGCGGCGTGCCCCTCCTCCTCAACCCTGATTGGTCCGAGCGCCTTCCCCCCACCTCCCCCGAGACCCGCTCTCCCCCTGCCACCCTCCCCCCTGGGAGACGGGTGAAAGAGGTAATTATGTTTGAGCCACCTGCAGCAGTTCAGGTGAAGGGATCCGCAGGGATAGTTGAGGGGTTGATGGGGAAGTTTGGCACCGAACATGTGAGGCTAGTGGGGAGGTTTCAAAGGGACGATGCCAAAAAAAAAAAAAAAAATCCCCGGGCGGCGCTGCTCGTCAGCATCACGATCCGGTTTCTTATCAACCTCGCGTTTCTGCCGCCCCGCGCCGCCCTGCTGGAGCTCCGCCCACCGCCCGCTGAGGTGCACGCGGTCGTCGCTGACTCAGTCGCCAGCCTGGCAGCCGCTTGCCAGATTCACCACCGTGTGATTCGAGGAAGCTTTGCGGAAGGAGCAGCTGGTGAGTGGAAAAGAAAAGGGGGCGAGGAGGGTGCAGGAAAGGGTGTGGTGGAGTGGAGGAGCGGGGCAGTAGAGGCAGCAGCGATGTTTCTGGCTCGAACGGCCGACGAGAAAGTAGTGGAGGAGGCAGTTTTGGCCGCTGCTGACCAACGAATGAGAGCCGCACAGCTGGCGCAGGCGTCCGCCAATGAGAAGCCTGTCATTCTCGGCACGCAGATCCAATCTCTGCAGTCTGCCGCCCGCTTCCGGCACTGGCTGCGATGGGTGAGTCAGCGCGGGCGGTGGGCGCCCTTGGGAGTACCTCGGTACAATGAACCTGTGCGACCACCGGCATCGCGACACGATCGGAGGACTCGTGACAAAGAAAGCCGACCAGTATGTGGTGGAGGGCGGCGAGCCGGGCGGCTGGAGCGTGCACGAGTCGCTCAAATACGCCGCCAGGGAAAGTGCCCTATCGGGCCGTTGAGGCAGTTTGATGGAGAGGTGTTCTGCCGGAAAGCGGAGGGGAGGAAAGGCGGGTGAATGTGCTGTTTCTGGGGGATTCCCTGGCGCACCAGATGGTTGACAGCTTCCTCAACGGCCTTCCGAGACACATTCCCAAGCCTGCGGTGTGGGCAGTGAATGAAACGATTCCCAAGGAGTGCTCTGATTGGCTGGTGGATCCCCCCAGGCATGCCTACTGCCGAGTGTACACTTTCAATGAGAGTGTATGTCCCGGGCTTATGGTGCAATTCGTGAGGAATGACCATCTATGGTTTACTTCGCGTGGAGAAGCTAAGTTTGACCACATTCCATGGCATCTGTATTCAGGGTTGAAGGATGCTGATGTGGTGGTGGTGAATCGGGGCGTGCATTTCATTGGAGGGAAAGATTTTGAGAGTATTGTGCCGGCCTCTTTGGATTTTCTGCGGAAGAAGCTGCCCGATGCGCTGATTATATGGAGAAGTACCCCTCCTGGGCATGCTAACTGGACATCCTACATCGGGCCGATCAAGAAGCGGCAGAATCCGGAAATTCTGCCATTCCATTGGGACATGTTTTCTGTGCAGAACGAGATGGTTCGCGGCATGTTGTATGATGTGGGAGCAGTGTACATGGATGTGGATACTGCTACAGCATTGAGACCAGATTCGCACAAGGGCTTTGTGGAAGAAAGGGGGATTCTTGACTGTCTCCATTTCTGCACGCTGCTCCTAGGATATGTGGGTGGAGCTCCTATGCGATATAATATTGCGTGGAGTGTATGGGGATGGGCTTATTCCTGTAAGCGTGATGTAAAAGATTGGAGTCACTGTTGCTTTGATGGGCTGCTCGGTTACCAGCTCAGCTGACGTCGTATTTTTCCTTAACGTTGCGGTAGCTTCGGGTGCGCGTTGCTGCAGACGCTCTGTGCGAGGCTGCAAGTGGCTGGTCGGTGCGCTTCAGTCCACGCTCGTCCACCAGCTTCATAATCCCAAATCGAATCACACTGTACGGGCAGCTTCTACTGACCGACCTGCTCCAACAACAGCCAGCCGCAGCTTTT